GCATCAGAGGAATGTTTATTTGATTCGGATATAATCAATGGTTCATTACTCATCTCTAGTGTATGCCGACTGTCTGCATCTCTACCAAGGGGCATAGGCCAATTATGGCAAGACATTAGGTTTGAGATATGACGTTGTTATGGACCTAGTAGACAAGCTCCCGACTTAGCGGTCCTACTACATCTATTTTGACAGTATTTTTACAGGCTTGTCGCTAATGAAAGCCTTAGCCAACAAAAGCATAAGAACGACGGAAACAGTTCGAACAAATAGGACAGAGAAGTGCCCCATCGACACGAAGGCCCTAGGAAAACTAAACAGGGGTACTTATGACTGTACGTTTGATAAAACAGACGACGTGTTCCTTTTTGTCTGGGAATGATGTTTCCGTTGTGACTCTTGCCAATAACTCTATTGGCGCATATCCTCTAACTAAAGTGGAAGAGGTTGTAGGCGAAGGACAAAATGCAAATACATGTTGATTTACCTAGCATCCTTACCCAGTATAACACCTCAATGGATGATGTGGATTGATTGGACCAAAATGTCGGACAGTATAGAACCAATTTTTGCAGCAAAAAATGATGGTGGTTGGACGCTTTAATAAACACTGCTTGGATTATGTACAGAAAATCAGCTGCACGTAAACAAGAGCAACATCACATGCTTCCCCTCAACCTATCCGTCGTAAAGGTCTACTTGCAAGTGTATCCAGCAGAGATAATATCCCCCAAAATCTTACACCCAGCATAAAACGACAAAAGCTTGAATACAGCGTCAGGAAACCTGGCTCTGCACACAACTTGGAATCTATGCCGAAACAAAGAAAATTTCGGCATTGTAGGAAGGTTAATCTACGCTGCCCAGTGTGTGATGTGCCACTACAAGTGGTCTGCTATGCGACATACCACGCATGAATCTTACAACACCTTTTTGTGTAATGGGTTTCATATTCTTTTATAATGAACAACTGCTTGGTACATTATCTTTTTGAAAGAAATATTAAACACTCACATCAAACCTGCAATCAATTGTCGTTGCTCGGAAAATGCAGTTTTTGTTTTCACTTGCATCCCGAAGTCATTTCTTGTTAGCGTCATTCAAAAAGGACAGTTCGAAAAATCTTCATCTTACCTCATATATGTAAATTTGCAAAACCAAAACCTGTGTTTGTGCGCCATTTTCTACAAATGCTAAAATGAAGATTAGCAACTTCAGTCGAAAATGGGTTAAAGAGGCAGGTTCCTTGCGGCTTTCACTGCTCCGCGCCATAATCAACCGTGACGCCATAGAGAACTACGCATCAGTCGCGAGCAGTCCGACTTTGAGACAATGGCAGACGCTCCAATGTTGCGGACTCCAAGCCAGATTTTATAAGATCACGAGGCAAGTAGAGGTTGTCCACATAAACTCCAGTCTGGAAGGCTTGACGGCACCGAGTTTGATTGTCACTGACTTCCTTTTTCACTGCCAATTTTACTTTTACCTACCTCGGGCCTTGCACCACCCTACAGCTGACAAACAAACAAGGCCCTCATCGGTAAGCAGCATACGTAGTACGTGCCAAGCCAACGCATCTTATTCAGTGCTTTCTGGTGTTCTAGGGAACTAGCCTGGGTTTCACTGCCTAGCACGCGCCTACCCGCATCATCGATATGGAGATGCTGGTATCATTTTACTCCAGCACTGCTCCACACGAAACGATGATGAAACACTTGGAGAGGCCTCAGACCGAAGGAGCCAACTCTCACTCCCATAGTGCAGGACGGCCCTTACTGTGGCCTTGTAAACACAGCCTTTTAGATCGAGAGAAGCTCACTCCAGACATCGCAGATGTCGCAGATTCAAGAAGACAGTTCTAGCTTTGCAATACGTGAAATGATTTCAGTGGTTATGCACCCATCGTTGCTGATGGAGCTGCCAAGGTAAGGCAATATACCGACTACTTCGAGTTCCTCGCCATCACGTTCAAAGAGTCACAAGTGCTGGTGGCCTTGTAACAACTCTTGCACTTTGAATATGCGAAGCGCATGACAAATAATGAGACCACTCTTGAGAGGATTTGCTGGGTTGATTAGGTTTCCGCAACATATCTAAACAACGATGCAAGATCACTCTCATATTCAATATTAACTAGCTATTCTTTAGGCAGCACCTCAACGACTGCATCATAAGATTCCACAACGGAGCACTCCGGGATGGAGTGCACGGCGAAGCTGGACAGAAATTCAGCAATTAAACTTCCCTGAAAAACTCCATTTATTGTGGCGAAGACATCTGATATGTCATCATAGGTCATGATGTGGTCTATCATGTATGAGTACAAGGCACGTACAATGTTTACGCTCAGATATTTCGAACAGAATGCATCGATAGACTGAATGGAAAGCACTCTTGTAATCAACGGACGCAGCTATTGTCAGTCGACGGTACGTGTGGCGCTGCTCTAGCACCTGCGGCGGAATGAATATTTGGTCTATGCAGCCACTTCCAGAGCGGAAAGCGGTCTTCTATCTTTTAATCAGGGATTCCCGTTCTGTAGTGAGGTGAAGAACAAGAATAGGCGCCATTAATTTTATCATCTCTGGCATTAGGCTAATACCGCTGTGGTTAGCACAGTCAGTGCGGCTGCTCTCCTTGTATATTGCCACTATAATCGATCCATTCCAGTTAGCTGGAATTGCCTCTTCCTTCCAGAACGGTTCGAACAGGGAGCCGATTACCTTACCGTGGATCGCACCTCCATCCTTCAATAGTGCGGGTGCGAGAGAATCCGGGCGGGTAGCACGAAAACGATTGAGGACCCTGATCACGATTTGGACCTCAGCCTTTGATGGAGCCTCTAAACTAAACGTCCATGGCTCGTCTGATATCACCGGAGTAGGAAGAGTTCCGGGCGCAGGGGGCCAACAGAACTGATCATGAAAGGGCTCTACCAAACGCGCCATACGGCGTTACTTATTGTGAAGCAGCACACCACGCACTTTCTCGGATTGTCTCACGGACGCTTGATTTTCTGGGACTAGTGTACCGGATCAGCTGGAAGAGCTTGCTTACTGCTCCCACTTCCTCCACTTCTTGAACCCTACTGGTCCACCAGGCTCCCTTGTTAGCACGCAGATTTCGATTTAGTTCGCGCCTAATAGTCCGTCTAGTCACTTTGTGCTCAGAACCAGCCGGGAGGTTTCTTTTGGATTCAAACAGGTTCACGGACCTTAGCCTTGTAGCTGAGAACGATGTCTACCCCAGCTTTATTCGTGATTGCCGAATCAACGTCTCCGCATGCTTGCAACCAACAGCAAAAGGACAAGCCGGGTGCAGTAAGTGCAATAACCCCATGTGGGTTATTGCTGCTAGTTTGGGATACGCAACGCATAGTGTGTCCAACGTGCATGCGAGTGCAGCCTGTTAAGCTATTTGTCTTGGAGTGCGAACGTTAAACACCGCCAGGGAAACGGGACAGCATAGCTTTATGAGGGACGGTTGTCGATAGGTGTCCAGTGGGTGGTGCGGAAAGGTAGCTGCAGGTGCTTCGGCGCCAGTTGCATTAAGGATGCCGTCAATTAAGCTGGGAATAGTAGAAGGTTGGTAATGGGTATTATGAGGTGAGTAAGGGGAACAGGTACAAAAGAATGAGGGCCAGCAGTAGCATGTATGCGGCAGACAAGGCGACCCTTAATGACCTACGCGACGGTCGATGCGGGATGCGGTTTAGTAGTGCACTTATAGTTACGGTATTATGTGGGCTAAGTTATTGCCAGGGCGCTCAGACCTAAACAGGAGGACGATTAGGGTCCTCAGTCAAAGTACTTGACTCAAAAGCCTGTTCTCTAAGCCGCAATGAGGTGGCGATGGTTTAGTTTTGCAGAAATATACACCATCCCCATTCAGACTTTCAATCTGGATGACCAAGAGACAGTTCGTGCGACCTCAAACCATAGATCAACCTGGTAGGAGTAGTTCTCAAGGGGCTAAGGGGTCCGCCCATTATTGCTCAGTGGGTCGAAGATGTATGCACACCGTCGCACTATTTTGAGGTTCAATCTCGTTGCGACGGGGTAACACGAGCGTGCTCTATCCTGACGCCCAGCGCATATGTTTTGCGTACAAACGCAGCTTCTGCACTTGGTCCTAAGCGGTTCTAACTCCACTCTTCCTTTTCTTCCTAAGGTTAAAGCTAGAGTGCTGCTCGTCCACCTATTGTCAGTTCACCCGAGGCGAGGTGAAGAATATTAGACGATTCCGTCATGCTGCCATCTTTATTACCTCTGGCTTACAGGGTTTGTCTTTTGAAGACCGTCTGTACGTCGTGTTCTGTCAGGTGTGAGTGGTCCTCATCGTGACCTACCATATCTTACATTTCGTTGACTTTCCTATGTTAAGGCCGCTGCTACCAATGCGAACGTCCTGCAACACACGAGGACACCAATACAAGCTTGTGGTCCTGGACATGGAACGAGTTTCCCACCCCCTCTGTTTCGAATGGTGAGTGGTCAACGTTTGGAACTGTCTGCCGGAGCGCACAGTGGAGTCCAACTTGGTGCAACAGTTCCACACATTATTGGATGTGCCTTTCTCCACTGTTAGATTACGTGAACGATTACCCACTGACGATGACATCTTGCGTTCGTGTCCTGAATTATGATAACGCGTTAGAACCTGAAAGTGATGAGAGTACCGACAATTCATCCGCGATCTTTCATTTATTTTTAACAGTTTTGCGCTTATTTCGATGAAAATTTCTAATTACTCCAACAATACAGCATCTTGTATTCAATACATACGAATTACTCATCAACCAAAGATAAGGCAATAAATTACAGTATGGATCGGTTTACTTGTCTGAGCCCTATCCATATGCATTATATCCATGCTCAGCTTTAATGACTCCAGGTTCTTCGTTGTTTCCCTTTTAGCCTGGAATCAACCCAAAGACTGTCTCTTCTCTCGTATTTTTTCTCAGGTCGCAATGGATGTTCATTTGCATTTCCTAACCTGATATGACTGTTATTGATACCAGCCTGGACAGTATTCAGAATCTTGTGGAAAAACTCGGTATTTTTCCTTTTCGTCTTACTCTTACTTGGACTGAATTTATAGATAATCCGATCGATGAAATTAGATTTCGGGCATTGGCTGCGATTTCCTCAAAGTTGCAACGCGAGCTGCTCGTCCCTGACGAACGAACTTCAGTTGCTCTTGCTGAGAAATCATTAGATTGGTTGAATAAGTCGCCACTGCTGAACTCTTTGGATATTTTGAAAATTCTTCAGTTTTTGGTCGCTGTATGATCCCTTTCGTTTTTCAAGCCGCCACATTTTAGAAAGAATCTGTTAGACAAACTGTCATTCGTGCTAGTGGATTGGCCATCTTAGCCAGGGTTCGAAACCAGCTACCAGTTACTTCAATTCGCGACCTCATCGATGACATTTTGAGACTCATTTCCGGTGGGGAGATCTTTGCGCCAGACTCTTCTCAGCATGTCGTCTTTCAACAACCCGCAAAATGGATACAACCCTCTGGATATTTTAACTTTACTGGGTCAAGCATTCTCTCAACCACCTCTGCATTTTCTAATACTCAGAGCCAGAGTTGGAAGTGGTTTCTTCGCTCCAAAGAACCATATATTTTTCCTTCATGCACTTCCAATTCAAACGTATGCGCAGTTTATGATGTGCTGTCTCACTCGCAACCTTCAACTTCCATCTCACATTTATCAGGTGAGCTATGACAGGAACTGGACAAATTTGCTGTGTCCCTCGTTGGAATCATAATAGTGAATTTCGGTAGCTCAAGTTGTTCATTCTTTGGTCAAACCCTTCGCTGATCTTGGCAATTTTACCACAAACGTTTCGTCCCAAATTGCGGTGACATCACCAGCGTATTTATGTATGGCGGAACGGAGCGGTGCTTGACTAGTTGTGACTTGGCTTTCCGCATGCGTGTGTTTTTTATTGATCATCATCCTTGGTCGTTTAAGCAATCTGTGTTTTGTTAGTGGTTTTAAAACCAATTCGCCTGAGGCGCTTTGACACACAAGCAAGTGGTGGGGCGTACCGACTGAACGCGAGACTGGTTTTACTCATACTAGCGGTGATGGATGCAGAGATATTGGTAGTAGTAGTAGTAGTAATGATATAGTACTAATAAGGGAACTATTGGTACCAGTTTGTGACAACTCCTCGAACTTATCAGTCCTAATAACTGAATTGCCACACGACACTTGTGCCACGCATGCCAACCAATGACTTTGTATATGTTCTATGACATGGCTTAACACCTGTTAGTATTGACCATATTTTTCCCCTCCATGTTATAATAAATGGATGGTTCGCGGCTTTTACCACATCAAAAGCATCACATGTGCTATTCGACTTCCTTCCCGGGGATCGTTGGACACATTCTGAAGGCAGACCCACGTACAACCAGTGCTATTTTTTTAACTTCAACCACTTGCTGCATCCGCCGTCGCGCAGCTTATTAAGGGTCGCTTTATCTGCTGCATACAACAGGGCGGATAGGGGAAAACATGCTACTGCTGGCACCTCCCTTTTTTCTTTTCCACCTGCATCTATCAGTCCACTCGAACGCCATTACTGATTTACTTTCTATAGTTCCAAGCCTTATTGAAAGCATCCGTAATGCAACTGGAGTCGAACCATCTGCAGCTATCTTCCCGCACCACTCACTGAAAGCTTATCGGCAACATCCCCTTTTAAGTGCACGCTGTCCCATTTCCCTGACGGTTTTCAACGTTCACACTCAAAATCAAATAGGTTAACAGGATGCATTCGCACGCACGTTGGACACACTGACGTGCGTTGACGTGTGTTGCGTATCCGAAACTAGCGTCAATAACCCTCACGGGCTTGTTGCACTAACCGCCCCACTTGTCCTTTCGTTACTGCTTGCACGCATCCGGAGACGCTGATACGGCACTCACCGGTCAAGCTGGGGTAGACGTCGTTCTCTGCTTCAAGGCTGAGTCGTCGTAGGTTGATTGGATTCCCGTGAGCAGCTATTTGTGTGCAACATGTTTAACAACATCGATTAGGATTGATTCACGAATTGACGCTAGATGCTGTTTGTTGTTGCCGCTTATGCTCCCACCGATTGCAGCTCTGATGTTGCCAAGGACACTGCCACGAAACGAACACGTTGTCACGCAGTGCTACCCGTTCGGATATTATGGGATATGAATTCGAAAGTAGTTTGTCTGGGCTCTTCAGAAGCTCATCTAGGTGGCGACTACGGGCTTAACTCCGAATGGACGGACAACGGCGATCATCTGTTACAAATGTATGCGAAGCACCAGCTGTTTCTTAGGAGCACCGCTTTTAGACACCTTGGCCTCCTCCTTTAGCTGGCCAGCGATGGACGCACATAGATCACATTGCCATAATTTACAGGTGGCGTGGTTCCATCTTGGATTGTCGCTGGTTCTGGAGCACTTGCGTCGACTCTGATCATGCCTTGATACTATGTCGTTTTTCATGAACTTTACTGATAGATTCACGAAGCGTCTCCATCGATTACCACATGAGAAGTTATCTCAGTCCATTGTGCGGCAAGCCTACCGGGATGCCATGCTTACCAAACTTCCGCTCTCTTGTCCTAATGACACATCTTCAGTGGAATAGGATCTCGGCCGCAATGCACGATGCAGGAGCCTCTGCTAGCGGCACTATAGATCGCCACTGCACCAGTCAATGGAAATCCGAGAGGTCGATGAACCAGTTTGAACCCAGAAGAAATTTCCCGGCTGGCACTGAGCGCTATGACTAGACGGACTATTAGGCGCGAACTAAATCGGAGTCTGCGTGCTGACAAGGAAGTCTGGTGGACAGTAGGGCTCAAGAGTTGGAGGATTCGAGGTCAGTAGACCATAAGCACACGATCTTCCAACTATTCCGCAGCGGTGCTCCCAAAAAACCAGGTGTCATTTAAATAATCTGAGACAGCGCGGTGCCTTGATTTGCAATAAGTAGCCACGTAGGGCTCGTTGGGTAGAGCACTTTCAAGATCAGTTCTGTTGGCCCCTTGCTCCCGGAACTCTTCCTACTCCGATGATAGCGGCGGAGCCATGGACGTTTAGTTTAGTGGCTCCATCGAAGGCTGAGGTCCAAATCGTGATCAGGGCCATCAATCGTTTTCGTGCTACCCGTCCGGATTCTCTCGCACCCGCACTATTGAAGGATGGTGGTGAGATCCACGGTAAGGTAATCGGCTCCCTGTTCGAACCATTCTGGAAGGAAAAGGCAATTCCAGCTAACTGGAATGGATCGATTATAGTGGCAATATACAAGGAGAGCAGCCGCACTGACTGTGCTAACCACAGCGGTATTAGCTTAATGTCAGAGGTGATAAAATTAATGGCGCCTATTCTTGTTCTTCACCTCACTACAGAACGGGAATCTTCGAGTAGGATGGAAACGTATGCCTCTGCCCAGGACGTGGCTGTATAGACCAAATATTCATTCCGCGACTGATGCTAGGGCAGCATCACACGTACCGCAGACCGACAATAGCTGCGTCCGTTGATTACAAGAGTGCGTTCCATTCAATTGATCGATGCATTCTGTTCGAAATGCTTGTGCGAAATGTTGTTCCTATGAAACATGTGCCTGCTCTATACTGAAACACGAATGGCGACATCAGGGTCTACCGTGAGATATCAGATATCTTCGCGACGGTAATTATAGTTCGTCAGGATTGTCCAATTCCACCATTGTTGCACAACTTCTACCTTGCTTACCGAGTAGGGTCTCGTTTTGTCAGCCAGATTTAGAGTGACGCATGGCTCGAGGGGACAGTTGACCTGACAGCTTGAAATGGAGTCAATGACTACTAAAGTGGTTGCCGTCGGTCCGTCTCTACTTCCAGGCTGGAGTCCACCTGACTCGCCTTGTGCTTAGCTCCAGACTTTACAGGACATGGTTTGCAGTCGACACCAGTGGTGCCTTTGCTGCTATCTCTTATTCGGACTGCCTTTTACGGTGTGTTTGCTGCTGTGTTAACTGCGGGGTGATTGCTGTTTATGACGTGGGGCATTGAAAGCTTCAAGGAAGCTGTCTCCCTGATTCCGCCTTATCTTTGCACGATAACGAGCTGTTTTTGACGGTATGTTGTTGACAATGTGTAGGCGCCTTGACCTTGAATGTTTATTTAGGGCATTGATGTTTTCCAATAAATCCCTCTTCCCTCCCTCTTCGTTCCATAAATCTTCATGTTTTTATGGCAGCTAAACATCAGTTCAAATGGCTGACGTACTGCTGTTGATGATGATGATATGATTCGAGATATCTTTCGTTTGTCTCCATATCTTCCCCGACTGGTTACGTTCCTGGACCTACCCAAGACTACTCATATCGGCAGTTCCCTTCGCTGATCTATCTACAGAAGCAGCTGATATAGTTATTCTTGCTAGCAGTGTACATGTCTGAACGCGTCGCCTATCGGGTTGCGATTTGGAGTGGATACCTGTCGGTCGGCTACTAACATCCTTTCTTCAGCTGCAAATCGACCAGCACGTTTATGTTGGCAGGACCGCTTTCTTACACAGTTATCCCCATCATCTCACCTTGCGCTAACAGAATGCAGCCATGTCCTGGGTCCAGGTTGATTTCATTACCATCAACTACGCGTCGATGCAACATTGCCGATTTAGCGTATCTACCTGGATGCGGATCGTGGCTCGTACTCCTAGTTTTCTCGAAGCGGCCAACTTTAAGGTTTATTACTTGTTACATTTCTCGATTCAGCCTTATCAGGGCTGAATCGGATCTAGGAAGCCGCCGCGAATGTTGAACCAAATGCCTCATCTCCAACTGACGTAGTTTGACTCTACAACGTTTTGTGACAGCTGGTTGTAAGAGATGTCGTCTGTCCTTACGCTTACTACATGACTTTGGTGTCGTTGGTGGTGCTTGTCTTAGCATCATTGTTCACACTTTGTTTTTTCGTTTCGCAACTTTTCTTCGCAGCTAAGCATGTGTTCTCCTTCCCGTTCCTCCCGCTGACGAAAACGGACAGTGACGTGATACGGGCATCCTTAGAGTACGTCCATACGCAACTTCATAGCTTACTTTTTGCATAGCTCCATCAAGTCCACGGATCCTGAGGTGGCTTTGACGGGAATAAAGTTTTTTCAAGATGTTGTATTGGAAGATTTTGTTGCGGAAATATTTCTGCAGCGGCCAGCCATCACTGAGGTAAGCGGGCAATATTTTCTACCACTGATGGTTGCATACACTGCGTTCTACTCAGGTGGAACCAACTTGAGAGCGAATTATTTCCCACTGTTTTAAAGACAATGAGCACAATCGATAAAGCGGCTTATTCGTCACATTCATCCTCCATTATTTGTGCTTGCTACATACTTGGTCGGCCGCATTTACTATCTGCACTAGTATTTTGGTAGCCTTGCGAGTTGTAGCCAACAAGTCTGTTGGTGTTGGCACGTACTCATTTTGGACTGAAATCCATTTTATTTTCCATTTCAGACTTTGCTTCGTTTACTCACTTGTGTTGAATCCTCTTTGGCCATTGGAGCTGCAGATGCATTGACTTGTTTATGTGAGAAGGTGATCAATCGCGTTTACTTTCATTTAGACCCGAACAACTATTCCACCGCTTTTGGTAAGTAGTATCGTTGACTGTCAGAAGCTACTGAGTATCCCATTCCAACGTATGCCTTGTGCGTGAGACTGACTGCAAGCTTTAAGCTACCTATTATTCCTTATTATTTATTATTCACTCGGTCTTCCAGTTATCCATAATTTCCGTGGCCTAACAACTTACTTCCTTTTTTATGACTTCTCAGTCCATCCACATATTCAGTCGTAGATGTGAGCAACGGTGTCAGGTTTAAGGTTTGCTTCTTTTCAGCTTGGTACCCATTATGCACTTCTCCTTGGCACCTTCCCCCGGCCACTATTCATTTGCGCAAGTGACCATGCTCATGCGCAATTTATCTACTTGTTTTTATACTGGGATGTAAATTCTATAGATTACTTTATTTCGATTGGGACGCGAATGATTAACGCTTCCTATTTCCTTTTGACTCTGTCTTTGTACTTATTTGCACGCAGTCTAAATTCCAGAAATTCAATTTGTTGTCGCTTGTCATACCTTTTCCTATGTCTGGAGCACGCCTTTGTGAGATTGCAAGTAGAGTTGGATAATGGACGCTCCAGCATTACTGTATCGTGTTTGAGGTTTACCAAACACTAGTACTCATGTGTTATGTGCTGTAGTGTTAAATTAGGGGACAGTGATCTGGTCGCTATCAGATTGTGACTGGAGGCCGCAGGTGAAAATCGGGCACTTGTACTGATCTGTCAGCTTGAATAGTTCGTACTCAGTATTAACTCTACCAACATAAATGATGAAATCTTTGCCCTCTTTTTTGGCTAGCTTTATGCAATGACAACGAGTGTTAAACTGGAACGTTTACCGAGTATTTCCGATAACTGGTGGACGATTTTGTCAAATGTGAGATCCTCGGTATTCTCTAGCCAAATAAAATTTATGTGTCGTGTGTGTCTAGTTGCGCCTAGCTTCTTATCCAATAGCCTGGTGGTTCGCCATGCGTCATCCTTGTGTTTCAGGTTGATTTTAAGGATGTCTTCATATTGTTGAACCACAACTCAAATTTAAACCACCATCAGGTTCATAATGGAACTCCGTAGTACTGTTTGTAGTTACTTCGGTCGCATTTTACTTCGGGGCCGGAAATAATGGCTGATACTAAACTGTCTCACCAATTTTTCCATCCTCCGCATCTGAACTGCCTCGAACGGTATTTGCTATTAATACAGCGTTGCCTTTAACTCAACTGCAGTTATTCACATGTTGCGTGGGTCTCTGTCGCCAATTAATTAACTATGTTGTGTCGAACTGCTAGAGTAGACCAATCCACCGTAAAAAGAACAAAAAGGCGAGTATGTAACAATTTGGCGCCTATGGGACATGAAGACGAGTCCATTCCGCTGACAGACCGTACTGGTTGTAACCTGATTCATCAAGGGTGTTGGCCAATGCATTTTGCGTCAGCTGTTTTTGACCTTTTGGCCTAACGACGGCCCCAGCCATCCTCTTTAACAAATTATGGACAACATGCTTAGCGGATTGGAAGAAGCTGCTGCATACCTCAATTACATCATAATAATAAGACGAACGAGATCAGAACTGTTCCTCCGAGTGGGTGCTACCCTGCAATACATACTAACTATGGTTTTCGACTAAAATGGGGGAAAATATGAGTTCTTCTTAGCTGCAATAAAGTCCCGTTGCTTCATCCTCCATAAAGACGGTTGCTAATCTCTTAACCGTAATCTTATGCTAGTGTTCGAACTGAAAAGGACTACTTAGGTCAGAACGGCTCTCAACCAGTACCAGCGGCAGACATTGCACCTCAGCCCCGAGGAAGTCGGTTACTCCGTTCCAGCTTGACTCAAGACGGAAATCTCACACCGAGCAAATTCAGGGTGGAGATGCTAGGAAAGTGCGCTTGCTCTATAGCGCAGATCAACGGAGATCGCGCGACTAGAGGTCAGCACAAGCACATACCCGAAAGACCAAAACTAGCTAGTGCCCAAGAGTCAAGTTGAAACAGATAGGAAACACATCGACCAGCAGACACGGGTTAGCCTGAGGGCTCACTTGATCTATTGGACTATAATTAGTGCGGTTTGTGTCAGTGCAACGGACTTGTTTCTTCGTGTCTCAGAAAGTCCATCTTGCCACCTACTTACCCTTTGTTCTTTTACTGAGGGTTGGTCTACACCAACAGTTTGACACAGATCCTTTTTCGGTTGAGGCGCGAGTGATTTGTAATTCCCGTTTTCTGTCAACGCTGTCTCCATAGTTATTTTCATACAGTCTAATTTTCTGGACTTTTATGTTTTAACCGTGCCTACATACGAACACTCAGCACACAAATCTTTTCACCCACGTATTTGTCGTGAATATATGTAAAACCCGTGGTCCCGTTTCGGCGTCGTTATTTGACAGCATATTTTTCTTATCTCCAGGTACCTCTCCGCCTTTCATTTGGGAGCGCTCTTACACTGATACAGTATCTAACCGAATGTGAGTTCCATGTCCCAAGGCTATCATGACCCCTGGTCGCTTGCTCGTACTTGTGTGCGCTTTCCAGTAACCTGTCTAGTGGTTACCCAATCCCAGCAGCTGGGCGGGACTTATTGCTAGCGTGTCACTTAACAATTCCCTGAGCGGATACTAGACTATTGTACCAGAAGCGCGGCTGCAGGTTTTACCAAACGGCCTTCAAGTTTTCCGCTTTGGTAGCTACCTCATTGCTTCATGATATTGTGGCCTCAGAGGCAGGGAACTTCAATGCGCCTCCTCATAGTGCCGACACGCCTAATTTTAGTCATTTGCAGGGTACAAAACGTGAACTCCTTCGTTGTTTCTGAAGCTTGGTTGATCTTTGCTGGTTTTGAAAAATTCCGGATCCGTGGTGTAATAGGTCAAGCGTTTGAGCGTCGCCTCCCGCATGCGTATGGGTGCCGCTACAGTAGCACAGCCGTTTGCGATTACATAGCAGTTAAGCATCATTACAGTGGTGGCATACTACCGGCACATTTTTTCGAACTTAACTTCAACCTTGCTTCTTGTAGTCTTTTGCGCTGCCATCCCATCTCAGCGGCATCAATACCACAATACTTATTATTGTCATCATTGACGACAACGGATGCTGTAACCATAGTTATGACACAGTACTTTACATCGCTGCCAGCTCGTAATCATGACTTGTTGAAGACAACCTTTTAGGGAGAGTATGAAAAATTATCCCTGCATCTCGGCAGCCTGGAGAGCGCATTGTAACATCAACTGCAGAGTGAAACTTTTGATGCAAATAGCCCCGCCTCTGTCTGAAAGACTATCTACTCGTCTGGCATTCCCGTTCCGTAATTGAACAGCGAATTAGAATGGAGACGAATAACTTCGTCATGTCATGCGTCATGTGGCCTGCACTAACTGCTACTGGTGTCCTCAAATATCGCTCTTTGCCTTATTCACCACAGCTGGTTGAACCAGTCTCCTCGTCCCCTATTGGTGCGAATCGCTTATTCTAACGGGTTTCACTAATTTTTACTGCATCAGATCTACATATTACTTGAGGGGTCTCACCACAGTTCCAATCAGCCAGACAGCTTCCGTGCGTCCGATTAAGTATTGAACAATGTTTTGTCTTATCACAACTTATCTGCAGGGTGCGCATCCTACGGGCCCATAGCTGTCCTCCTACGAGGTGGCTACTTGTTGCCCGCAGAGCTATGACTGATGCGATACTATGTGGCACGTTTTCCCATATCGTGCAATTTACGAACGTTCAGAAGACATGGCTGACTATATACATGAGTATGTTGCTGGTGTTGCTATGATCCGTTCCTTTCGTGAATACCGTTTCTCGGTCCCATTGATCACATTGATCAGACCACATAGTTGGACTACACCTTGAATCACCGAGGAATATACCATTTACTTACTTATTTAATCGTTCCTTCGTGTTATATATTATATTTGTGACTACTGATTGTTAGGGAGTAGTATGATAACAAGAAGTATGTTTTGAAGAGGTTCATCATATCAAAGCTACATTGCTACATCAAATCATTACAACAGAACCCATCGCATTTCCATGCTTTTCTCTTGACCACTCACCTGCATTGAACTACGTCCCGTTGTTCGTTCGTTTTCGCTTCGACAAGGGGGTCCCACTGGGATAAAAGTATTGAAATATACAACCGCGGTGTTGCACACTACTTACCCACGTTTCAAGGTTCCTTCGACTAGTGCAGACAGGCTTCTTTCAGCTTAGAGTCCTCCTCATTTTCCTTCCGTAGACCTTTTCGGTCTAACAGAATCTATGCGTATCCGGTTCATGCTTGACTGTCAATGTTTTCCCTTTATGTAGCCTGTTGTGGTGCTGGTGGCGATGCTGATATTGTGTTGGTTTATTATTAGTTCTCTGGTTGATAAGCGCTTATTGTTGAACACAGTGTCAATACAGAAAGATAGGCGTGACGCATTGCGTACTTGTGGGGTAAAATTTGGTCTCCACGCCACAAATCACCAATATCGTGTTATGCTGCTTTTAAACGAACATCAGTTCGAGAGGTATATACTACTTACGCGGCTACCATTTATGTGTATTCGTGCATGCTAAACTATTTCACGTAGTATTGGTTAATTCTCTCCACAACCACACAGAAGTGTGCTGCCGGACTAAATATCGGTCACCTCAGTCTAAGCAGTGTTCCGTTTTACCTCACCTAAAGTTAAACATAATAGGCGTTGCCGTTCTGACTACATCTACCACTCTTAACCTTTCGCTTAGACTATATTTACAGCAATTTATTATTCTGTATTGTTACGAGAAACCAGGTCTCTTTCCTGTATCGTTTCCAGTATTGTGGACACTTTGCATATGATATGCGTCTAAAATGTTTCGGGATACCAATAGCTCAGGTTGATGATCCAGTTGTTCCTTTCTTTGCCGTTTGGAAATTTGGTTGCGGACGTTTCGTCACCAGTCGAGGCGATATCATCATAGCAGTTGACTATAACTTAGTCGTGAAAAATTCCTTATCCATTTCTGGATTTGCCTGGTACGATTTTTCGCGACCAAGCTACGACCAGATCTGCACTGATGCTGTTTTTTTGATTGGCGACGAAACGTCCGCAGCCAAATTGCCAAGCTCGTCGAACAACTGAACAACTGATGATATGCGTTTTATTTTTGGGCACTGTGACTCCTTGGTAACATTTAAATTTTAGCCACCGGAGCAATTCGGTCTGTTTCCTACATTTGCATTTCTCCCTTAACACACACGCTTGAATTCAGCTCATCATCTCAAAACACCAGCAACCCAGCAACTACATCATCCGCACCCAGTACATCCATTGTTCCCGGTTCAACTCACCATCTTCCAAGTCTTCCTTGCGCTGTCTCCGAGTTGCGTTCCCACACGGACGAGGCTATCGAACGTCCGTGCAGTTTCTCTATACCTGATTTTTGTATCGAATTACTTCGTGAGGTCGGTTGTGGACTGCTCGCTACGGTCGACCAGCAGGGATCTGGTGGCGGACATAACCCCTTACAGGGCGAACATAGTAATCGTCGGAAGTTCAATAAATCGGAATCGAAACTGAACTTGGAGGCGAAGCTGCTGCAACTCATGTGGTTATCCATCCGACTACTTTTGGTCAGCACTTCACCGATTGAGCTGGCGAAACCCATGCTAAGACGCGAAAAACAGTCTACCACTTGGAGTACGCTGTGGAATTGGATGTTTCAGGCCATCCCACTCGATAAGGATGTCTTAAATCCTTACGAACTAGTAAGTTTCACCATTTTCGTCTTTCACAAAAATTTTGATATCCATTTTACGAACAGTTCCATGAGAAACAGTTTGAGTTGATCCTCGTTTTGACTTAACTAGGCGAACTCAACGTTTAACTAACAAGGTCTCTGATCGCAATGCACTTCCTTTGACCTACTTGGAATTGTCCATCTGGGTGCCTTAAGTGGTTGACTCGTTCCATGTTTTAATCTGTAGTACTGGATAAGTAGGAATCCTAAAGTTCGGACCTCACATGACTCTAATCCGCTTGATCTATTTGCTCTTCCCCTTACTTTTGTGCTTCATCCATCAGTAATAAATCACTAGGACTTTCACAAAAGAAACACGGTTGTATCTCTGCCATTTTAAATCGAACTATGACATCCAGATAATGCATCGTTGCTTCATCTGGGTACACTTCCATCCTTTATTCTTTTACCTTGATAATAGCCCAAAGGTTTTCCAACCTGTTTGGAACCGTGGAGCCAGCTGCTTTCTTTGTTGACTTGTACTTGGAACGACAGCCCATTGTCTGGTCACTCTTCTGTCGGGTGGAATTTTGCGGAAATTACGAAACAAACTGCATCCGCGTCTCTTCCACACACCATCAGTAGGCACGTGTACTTGACAGCTTTAGGCAATCTGTATTACCTGATCTCGTCCCTGTTCACTCCAGAAACCGTGAGTTCATGGTATTGTTCTTGAAGTATCAGCTTCTACTTTTTTCTTTTACCATACCTACTGATGATGTTTTCTACCTTAGACTGATGGCCTGTTTTGTTTTTAAACATAATATGCCTGGAATTATGAACGTTCATTCCGTCACGTTTTATTCTTGTTGAACCAGGAGTCGATGACACATCGAGTTAAAAGAAGTCGCAACAGACTAGACTCACTAATCGTTTTACTTGTTTCTCAAGGTTTAACCTGGTGGACGTAAATCCATTATCGTCCCACCTTCCCTATTCTTACTTGTTTGGGATATCGGTGCTGATATTTCAGGTCACTTATGTCTCGCTCGTTTTTAAACTGAAGTGCTCTCGATGTCTTTGCACGGGATTTTTCACTGCTGATCAGTACTTTCACCAACCTAGGGTTTTTTTTCCATATTACAATGCCTTTCCGACGCGTTTAGTATGCTATTCATAGTTACCTTATCATTTTTCGGAATATCGTCGTTCTGTACCCACTGGTGCCCGGTGACCGTAATGTCACGCGCTTTGCCTTATAACTCAGAAGTCACTGATTCGAATCGGCGTTGGTTCGGGCGGTCTCGCGGTATACTCAGCCTACGCGCGACTGATAGTGGTCGCGCAGCAGCGAAGCGTCGGCACGGTGTACTTGACATGCCGCTGATACCTTCTCTACCTTAATATCGGATAACACGCGGAACATGCATTGGTGACAGGATTGTGGCTGTGAATAAACCACTTTGTTCATCTGGTGTTGACGCTAATGTGATTTTTATAAATTTCACCGCTTCCTTCGAGTTACACTACCATGCAGACTGGTTTACCTCCTTTCTGGCTCCTCTGTAAGGTTGTATGACTGCGCGCGAATGACAGTAACACTCCAATCCACCCGATGTCCCTGTTGGCGACTCACACTTTCTTCCTGACCGTATTAAGCCATCACTTGATTTCAACATTCTGTAAGCTCCACTTGTTGAAAACTACGAGGTGCTAAAAGTCCATTGGTTTTTTGGGTAATGTTTCGTTTTTTGACACAAGCGAGGTGCTTGAGGTGCTGTGTAGTTTATTCGGTCAACGCGCATCCACATGCTACGTTTGGCCACTCATCTGCGCGCTGCTGAGTATCGCCATGGCTTTCTTCTCGGATAAATAAATAAATAAATAAATTGTATATGGCTCGACGATGTGAGAAGCCGTTCCCAGTAGGGACGGATCAAATAATGGTACAGCAGTTTCATATCATGGTATAATAAATTTAAAAAATGTGAGCACAAAATGAAAATTTGTGTAGCGCGAAGCGGTCCAAAATATTTACATTCCTCTTGTTCTATCGTCTGACAAGTTTTTAGCAGTCACATGAGAGTTGATCGCACAGGAAAAAAAGAGAATAAAGTGCTGCGGGCCAACAAAATATAACCACTTGTGCACTTGACCACATGCATTTTCAGGCACCATTAACTCCGTTCTCAAAAGCGTTATCTAAGGACTGTGCTGTTCGAAACATTATTATCACATTTCGAACGGTTAAATGATCTTTTATCGAAAGCTTAAACAAACGCAATGTGCAACAAGTTCTGATAGATTTTGGAAGTTTGTTCCAAAGCTTTAAGCTTTGTGTGGTACTTCGTTGTTCGCAACCTCCTCGTGGGCCTGCCTTTTCATTCTTCCTCGCACACTTCTTAGCATTCCCCCTGTGTTTTGGCATTGGTGTGATTCACCGTAGACCTTTTCCTGTTCACATTGCTCATTTCTACCGCACTACTTGCACTTGACGCAGTAGCGTCCTTGCTTGGCACATCATATCCCCCTCTTAAAATTGTCCGTAACCAATGACACTGGATGAAACAACTCATAGAGATTTCATTTAGCCTCCTGAACTTCGCACGGAAGTGTCATTACCCGTGTAATTTCTTCAGTGACACAGCTGGATAATTGTATGTGCTGTGCGGCTCTTCGATCTAATCTCCACCCAACATCTGTAGTTGCTTCTTCACTTCAGCTTCCGAAGGAACTGGGTCTGTGGTCTTCACATCCATCTTGCTAGTGGGATCGTGTCACCAAACCTATACGCGCTCCCGTCGTCCTTAAAAAAGAGGTGATACTGTTTATTGACCGCCAGACATGGATTATGTGTAACCCGATAAGAACAGGGCACGACTGAGTAGTTCCTGCATTGTTGATGAGTAGCAAATATTCATATTCTGTCGGTAGCTTCCTTTTCCTGCAGTTGATGGCCTTATTGAACCAGTGCAAAACGGTTGCCGAGTGGAACCACGTAGGTTTGACTAAACTTTCGTCCACCGCTTCCAGCCATCTGCTTTGCTCATCTCAGAACCGCCAACAGCGCTCTAACCCATGGAACACAACCGAGTTTTCTCACTATCTCCACGGCTGGTCAGGGAGACCGCGGCACCCGTTGCTGCAACATCGTTCCATCAACCCGTTCACTTTCATCATCGCTCTTACTGATTCTATGTGACGCCACGAGTACACAGGATCCTTTACCGATGAGACCACCTTGGGTTTTCTTAAGCATTCCTTAAGCTCACTATTTCCCGCATAGTCCAGCAATTTTAAAAATGTGATGTATAAATCAGTAACTAGCGGATATACTGTTTCGGCCCACTTTTCTCATGATGGGCAATACACCATGTTTTCCACTAGTCCAGAAATTGGCTCGGTTCCAGCGACAAGGTTGCCTTGTCCATCAAAGGTAGCGGCTTGTCAGTTCCCACCAATTTGGTGCTAGATGGGGATACCGTCTGGATCTAGCTTGAACGAGGACCCGATGGGCTTTCTACCGTTAGGCCTACTTACCGTATGTTCGTAGTCAATCGACGCTCCTGTTTTTGAATTTATTACCTATAATTCTCGACGCACATTACTGCGCTTACACTTATCCAACTCGGATTCACCAGCACTATCCAGTGGATCTACCACTGCATGATTGTCTAACACACACCATCGCTTCATTCGTTACTGCGATTTTAACGGAATTTTCGCCGAAATCCAGGCGCGGATCAGCCTTATTTTCCAGTATATACCATCTTTTTTTTACCCTCATACGACAGAGTGCTGTTGACGCTATACAGTGATTTCTTACAGCAATAATCCGACATTCCGTTTGATAGCTGCAGCTCGTTTAGCAGCCATCATCCTACCACTAGTCAAACTAGCGTGGATTCTACCACGTTCATCAAAGCTCAACTTTCCACCAAGCCGAGGCCCTGCCCGATCTATGGCTAATCGCCCACTGCCTACACCAGAAAGGTTGCACGCTAACCTCCGTCAGCTTTGGTGGCAACATCAGTCCCATTCGTAGGACATTGTCAACCAACATCGTGTGCCTATCTCTACATGCTCGGTGCGTTGATCGCTGATAGCGAAAAGGAGATAACAAATGACCCACCTGACTGACTCCCCGGCACGGTTTGCAACAGAGCAACAAGGAAACCCTCGTGTACGCGGTTCACGCAGCCCCAGACTAGTTCTTTGTGTTTCGGAAGCGTGCTCCAAGACTGTTCGATTTGGAATAACATATTGTAACTGAAGTACGAAATTCCATCCAAATTGCGCGTTTAAGTCTAGCGCAAGTGAAAGAACGACATTGCACACCAAACTCCATTTGGTTCTGTACTTAGTGTATGCTCAGCTCACTCGTAAAATCGACATTTCAGATAACCCCTGTTAGTGATCACATCGAAATGGATCCCGGACTGGACGCAATTTGCCGATATGCTATCCACAGAATTGATCAGGAACGCCTCCTAGAGACCATACGATCTTATGATTGGAATGAAATTTTCCCCTCCCCTAACTTATACGTTGCAATGCAACTGTTCTACTAACAAATTCATTGTGTCGTAGACCCACTTGCCCCACAAGTTAAAGGCAGCGCTCATGGCTCTGAGAATGCAAGTTTGACTTCGATCAAGCAGCAAATTAGGAAAAAATGCTTCGGAGATTCAGAGTGGCTAAGGAACTCATTAATGTTACAAAGGCATGAGTTCATCGCCTGTGTCAAGCGTTCACAAGTGAAGCGGATAAAAAGGAAGAAAACGCCTGAAGAATGCATGCGAACAAAAAAGCTAGCCAGAATACCACATCGTAGTGCTAACAATGGGCCTCCTTAAATTACGGAACGCATCGATGAGAACAGTCATTCCCCTAATCACTCACTAGCCATCTGCAAAGGGTTTAGTCCCTTCTTCGCTGTTCCTATCAGCCAAAAAATCGAATTTGGACATTCGTGCTTTGAAGTTACAAAAGCAAATTCTCTATGCACTGTCGAGCATCGCCTTACGGAGCAATGGTTTAAGACGGGCAAAAAAGCAGTTGCTTGACAAGTCCCGTAGAATGCTTACGGTGACAATTAGAAGGCAAAAGGCAGTGTCAGGAAAAGAACGCGCCAGATACATGACTCCCAAAGGGGTATGCATTAGCACATGTGTAAGTAACTCTGCCTGGAGTTTCGGAGGATTATAACAGTCCGGTTTGTTCTGTACCAATTCCAACATCTGATGGTCATCGGTTATATTAAGTGGTGTAAATGCGTACGGGTATCATCAAGGTGTTTTTTGAATAAGGAAAAGGTGGGGGCATTAATTACATACGCAAGGAGGGCGTTTCAAAGCGGATACCACCCTTGGGTAGCGTATTCCGCATGCGGCCCCACGTACGCGGCAAACATTTTCGGAAAGGCTGAGGCGTCAAACTTTCCGAAAGCTACTAAAAAGGGCGAACTGGTGGTTTGCTATCATTGATGCCTTTTCAGTCTCCTTCAAACAAGCAAGGTCATTTAGCACGAGCACGCCGAAATCACATTCATGAGAAACCCACCGTAGGATTGCTGGTCCTAGCCGGTACTTGTGAATGCTCTGATGGGGTGTGCTGAGAAGTTTGCACTCAGTGGCGTTAAACTGCAGCATGTTCTCGATTGACCATGTGTACGCTCTATCCAGATCCTATTGTACGGCTGTGTGATCCTCCACTGTAGTTGTTACTCTCCAGGTACTCAATGAGCGCCTCTGCCAAAAGGGACTCCACCAGAAGTAATGTTATAGGGCGATGATACGCCTCAATCGGATTCAATAAGCATCGTTTAAAGACGCCGAGCCTTTTCATTTCTTATGCTTAGGCCCTCACTGGCTGAAGCTCGGAGCGCATCAAAGACGATTTCTCTCTTGAACTCTCATATCTTTTCCGCATAGCAAAGCACATTGTCATCGTAAATATTTCTCTTGACGCGAATGTTCAATTTGGTCGCTTTCCTGACTCTGAATAGCACATGGTAATAATAATAATAATAATATATCAGCTGTACGCCGTGCGATCACCACCAGTCGCACGCGGGCTGAGTGTACTACGAGGATGCCCACCCCTTCGCGGATTCAAACCCGCGCCGCCAGCAAATGAAAGCAACATTAAGTATAATTGCGTAACTGCCCGCATGGTGTACAGCATGCACCAAACTGGCATTTCCCACAGGATGACGCCCCTCGTTAGCGTCACATGGCGCTCCATGCTGAAACCATCGCATTACTACCGGTGTCAAGAATGTGGCGCAGACTGGATGGCCGGCTTTGTCGTTACGACCACGTGTTCAGCTCAAAGACAAGTAAAACTGCGATTGTTGTACGAAATACAACGACGCCACTGGTTAAGCGTTAATGACAGAAAGCTGTTGTGTTATGTGTTGAAGTGAATGCAGATGGCACAAATGTCGAATTCCTTCAGGTATGTTTATTGATGCTTAGAAATCTGGGAGCTAACTGTGGGAATCGAGATAACGTCAGAATTGGCTGCTGAGAATATTTGCGGTGCCAGCAAAAACCTGCCTTCACGTGTCGACTTCGCTGCATGCAACGATGTTTTTGAAGCCACTCCATCGGTAATGAATGATGCTTGTTTTCGCGGCAATATAATTTCCGTGCACGCTGATGTAGAAAAATGACTAGCGCCTTTATCGATGACCTTTGGCTGTAGCGACTAACCGCAACTCAATATGGTGTGACAACAGTCAGGTAGATTGGCCATTTACACATAATTTGGCGACATCCAAATTCGTACTCTCGACCTGTACTGCATTTCGCTAACCAACTATTATCCAGCCTGGTATCAGTGTCTCCAAATGCACGCAGTTACAATCCAGCAATGCTTACTAGATCTGGAGATAAAGTAAACCACCGCACCCGATCGTTCCAGTTTTGTTGTGCTCCAGGTTTCACTGCATGGTTGTTTACTTGAACCGAAGTTTACGAAAATATCCCTTACCCATTGGATTGTTGTCATCATCATTCTCGTCTCACCTACACACCGCTCGTGTACTGGAAGCCGTCACCCTAGGTACTGTTACTGCTCTCTATAATTTCAGCAATGGTAATATGTGGACAGTGCTTTATCGTACCTGCTTACATCAGTCCCTGGCGTCTGCAAGGTCCTGGAAATTAGACTCCTTGTTTACAGGTTTTCCGGTGTGTTCCGATAGAATGAATAGGCAGTCGACTACTGTATCTTTCAGTTTATAATCTGCAGTATCGACTTTAGTCACAATGGGTTTCCACTGATCAATTCAACTGGCCCACTACTATTGTTTGAACTTCCCAGGCATGCATCGCACTCACATATCCGCAGCGGCTAATTATTTGAATGCTAGGTCTCAGTTCATCCGATCCGTACGTTGTTCTCGAATACGCGAGTTAAGTATCGACACATGGACAACGCTTGAATGTCAATGCACCAGGTTTGCTCGTGGTCATTTCACACTACTGAACAACAGTTAACCCCAAACAGTTTTTCGATAAACTGCGAGTATGGTTGAAGGCAAGCATTGTCAACATTCCTTGCGTTTCGGTACTATTACTGTGTAACACAGATTACCTTTCTTCTGTTTATATACTCGTTATTTCTGGGTTTAGTGAAGCTAATGAGATCCTGCCTTGTCTGCGTCCGAAGTTTGGTTCTTCAACCCCATGACACAGTCCAGAATGCCCGAATTTTTCAGCCCCATCGACAGAGTTGCCACTTCCGTCTCACTTGCTTTTTTCATTGCTTGCCCTTTCCTCCATTTTTAGGCCCTCTGTATACTTCCAGTCGATTTGCGCAATCAACTGTCGCTATCCCTTCTGGACATCGGATTGCTGTTCCAATCGGAGAGTGCTTCAGGCGAGTTAGAGGGATATGGATTACCTGCGTACGTTGCGTTATTTAATGCAGGGATCTTCAAGACTTGGCAACTGTTGACTCTGCTAGGTCAATCTATGACTCAACTCGTCAGGTTTCTATCTGCAGTTGATTCTTTGGATCCGAGTGATGGAAGCAAGATGGTGAGCACTGGCATTTTATCTGGCTGCGATTCGATTGATAAGTAAACCATATTTCTCATCGTTCTACCTTGTGGTCTTGACCTATTTCTTGGATGAGCACACATTTTAATGGCTTCGTCTGTTAAGTGTTGCATCACTATGCTTATCTGCGTTCCGAACCGTTCTGGTGTCTAGACAGTAGGGCCTCTGTTTTGTTTTCTGTTAGTACTTGTTTTTTGATTGATTTTTGCATATATTGCTTTGGTAAATGGTTCCTAACCAAGCTTGTCAACTGAAAGATAAATGATTTCGTACCTAGATCGATCCCGCAGTGTGAGATTACGGGTTTCGCTACATTTAATATGCGAGCTGTGATTTTTACCGTTGGCGTTTGAACATCTTGTGTTACTCACAGGGTTTTGAAAAACAGACACTTGTATTTTACATTCATGTTTCTGTTGGTCTGGTTTGCTCACATGCCTGTTGTTTTCGTCCGGCAATGACTTGTTTGTTCTGCTACCCTAAACGCTACTCACGACACAGCCGGCTACCCTTTCAGTTTTCGGGCAGGTACATTACGTGTTTTCTGTTGTCCCATGTCTCCAGGCTTTCTTTCTGCTTCGATTGCTTCAAGATGTTAATCATTTTGGAGCAGTTGACGCATCCAGCATAAGTTACTTTACTACATTCGCTGCAATTGATCGTTTATCTGAACTTGCGTCAAACTCCGGTCAAGAAACCACTGTCTGTTCTTGTACTGACCCATGTATCAATCACGCACTAGGTCGAACAGACGGGTTCATTCGGATATTATTTGGTCATCGCAAGGATGTCGCCTGCGATCACCGTCGTGATTGGCCGTTGTTTCTGACACGGCATCATCAGTTTGCATCTATATTAGATAGGCGCTGTCGTACACAGGAGAATGATAATCTACGTCAACATTTTTATGTTTGCTTTCTAGCTTCAGATTTACTGTATCCGCGGCACGCCTGAGTCCTGCTACTCCCCATTTTCTTCTTTGGCGGGACTGGAAAGTCAGTCGTATTAATTGTTAAGCCCCCATCGTCTTACGAGTGGTTTACACGCCTGGCTTGCAATCATAAGGTCACCGGATTAAATCCGCGTAGGGATGGGCGTGCTCGCGGTATACTCAGCCCACGCGCGACTGGTGGTGGTCGCGCGGCAGCCAAGCGTCCTTACGGCGTACAGATGACACATTATCCCACTTACTGAACTCTTACAACCAGTCACGCTTCTGTACTCCATTTCTCCTAACTGATGCTCCTATCCGAGGAATCGAACGATATTTTTGTGCGTTTTGTTAGTTGTTATTATGTTTTCGCCTCACGTATTCTCATTTCATTTGTATTTATGTTTGGTATTCCAACTTGCCCCATAGTATGTGGGTCCACCGTATTTGTTTTATCATCGACAATCCGGCCTGAGTTGTAGTTTCAAGTTTATCGGTGCTATTCTTACACCTCTTCCCTTGACACTGTTTAGCTTTCTGAGGAAACTCTCAATCTTGCTGTTGAGGGCCTCGATTCCGTCGACATCGTTGGGTCCAATCGCTTTGCGTCCGAGTTCGTCCGCTTTCTAAACAAGCTGTGAGTTGTTTCATTCACCGAACTGCCTGTGACGTGAATCATAGTTTGTTAGAGTTGTTAACTTGTGCCTTTCCAATCCTTGTTTCCCTTGGGTTGTGCTCGATCATCCCCAGGTCCATGAACGACTGTCGCCTGACCTCCACAGTTTTGTGGCGTGGCCAACTTGTCCTCCTCCGTTTGCTTAGCCATCCCATTGTTTCAGTTCGAAAGGCCGCGTTTACTCAGCTACGTGATGTGATACAGGTTAGTCGCAGTTTCTAACCACTATGTTTTCACTATACTACGTTCCTTTATAAGACAATGTTCTTAAGTGTCTGTGATCTCAGCCAAGATGCTGCTATTTTCCACCACTCCATTTTACTATGTATACCCTCCTAAATGGCATGCTTTCGCAATTAGTGGAACGATAATTTGTCAGCGAAAACATTAGCATGATATAGCACTGCATGAGTTATATCCGGACAAATTTCACTGCATATTATCGAGCGCGTATTATAGATGGCGTGTGCATATAGGTATATGGCATCATGAACGTTTGGTATGGTTGGGACAGCAAATTCACCAAAGGGCATGCATCGACGCGCACACATGGACATACACTCGGGTCATTTGTTCGTCTGTCAGCTGGCCTACTATCACGGCAGTGGCAGTGTGACAAACGCGTCCCTTTATACACATATGCTGGGGTCCAGTTGTGTGATAGCCACCGCTTCGCTATAAATAAGTACATGTTTTATTCTCGGTTGAACGAGGCACACCATGATATGACTTGATCAGAAAATGCATAGATGTACAGTCAATTTCAACGATGGTTGTAGTGATTTTAGAAAATAGTATAGAGAACCATGCGTGTGCGTTTTCAGGTACAGGGTCGTAACAGGTGCGTAAATTACATGAGGTATACAACAGGGCCACACAGGAAAAGTCAGTGTTTGATGAAAATGGAATGGCAAGGTGCAGTTATCGTCATATGGATAATGTCGTAAGGGTATGTAAACAGAATATACAATGGAAGTATTTATAGCGTCCAGGCGATAGGTATAACAACCCTCCAAGATTGTTAAAACTTTGTGGAGAAAAGTAAGGAATCATGGAGCATCAGCGAGTGTAGAAAAAATACAGGGAGGGGATTGAAAAGTATGTTTGTGGTACAGTTGGATGATGTTATCGATAAGGTAGCTGAGCCTATTGTCCATACGGCACGTTATTACTAATCACAGTCGTCCGGACCGTGCTAATTCCGTTACCCACCGATCGAATGGTAGCGCGCTGCACAATGCGCATAGACGACGCTGGCTGGGGCTTCCCATTAAGACTTTGGTGAACTTCGGTATAGGTATAGCGATGGAGATCTGATCATGATACGGGGAGGCACTTTCCAAGGAAATTTGTTTTAGAAACATTTCATTCGATGAAATATGAAGGTTTAGTCAACGTCGTTAGGGAGTGGATGAGTATTGTCGAATTTGTACCGGTCGACGGATAACATAACATCATTCGAATTGGAAGTTGTCCACTGGCGAGGTGGGCAAAGCAAAGCACCATGGTAACAATAGATCTCCAGAATGTTTGAGGTGCGCATTCCAGGAAGCATGATGGATTCGGTAAACACACACTGACGAGGTGGGTATAGTATGCAACGTATGAGAACGCCAGGAAATTGGATATTCCAAGATAATAAGGGGTGAACCCAATTGTTCAGACTCGAGGGTTATATGATTCGGGAAGGAAAATTAATAAAGCAAAACCGTAATGTCCAAATATCTCATCCGACAAGCGTAATGTAAACGGCAAGTCCACTGGCGAGGTGGGTGTAACGTTTAATTTATGAACCGCCAGAAAATTGGATATTTCGGTAGGAGATCCGAGAAGAGGATTAGGTGTGAACCCAATTGTTCAGACCCCAAGGGCAATATATTCAATGAAGCGAAGCATGATAATGGCCTTTTATCCGACATGTAAAAAGCAACAGATTCGTCGGTTCAACAATTGAGGACCCCCATCAATCTTCATCCCGAGGGATGGGATGTGGGTGACAATCCGACAGAAAGGAAGCCTCGCACAGGAGAGGAAGTGAAAATGACTATCATATTGATGTCACTGCTTTCCGAACAACCTCCTCGTGGTACCAGCTGGGTGGTTCGGGATTTTCCCGTTCCAGCAAATGGTTCGGCGGCAGTGTTCCAGGACGTGGTGGGTTTTCGCCTGGCAAGCGTTCTCCCTATAAAAAGCCACATATGTCCGTTTAACAACACTGTGACGTGGCGGACGTGATTCGCCACTAAATAAAGTCACTGCCCCTTGCTTCATCCTGGCGAAGCATTGTATTCCAGCAACATCATGCTGTACTTCTGGGGAGCATTGAGCCCCCATTTGACAAAGGAACAAACGAAAGGCGTATGAACTGAGCAATCAGTCACCGGCTCCCAATGGGCGCGATTCCCTGAATTCGCTCCGCTGCCTTGCGGACAGGCTATTCAGCCAAAGGCTCGGGGTGGTGTCCCCTAAGTCAACACCCTACTTCGGCTTGGGCAACCGGGTAGTATCTCGCCCTCTGAGGAAACCATGGACATTGTTATGTTGTGTTTTATTTTACTATTTCTGTACCTTCGTTTGAATCCCATGGTTTCTGATGGCATTATGTCTATTCGTAGACTTTTGCAAATATATTTCCGATGATATTTTTCTAAGTGTGTTTATGATAAATACAACACTACATATATATGCTTTCTGAGTATAGATGTGACAGGAAAGAAGTCAGGCAACGTCGACGCCAGGTTGAGGAGAAAACGAGGCTGTCTTTTTGTATGCTCAGAAGAAGAGCATAGAAATGTGGATCGAAAGCTTGCCGCAAAGTAAACGCATACGGAAGTTGATGGAGAAAAATGGAGTATCATGAGGCAAGAAGACAGTTGATAAACACAAGTGAGACAACCATGCATAGTCGAAGTTGTCTGAGAGAGAGTCGAAGGCGGGAGACAAGTCAAATGTTTAGAGAGGATCGAAACTTGGAAGGTATATAATAGTTAGATGGAGGTGACGCTTATAGCCTGATGGTGAGGAGAAAAATCCCCGCCATAGATTAAGGACGATACAGGTCGACAGTGGCGTCAATGGTTTTAAACCTGTCAGAATAAGGTCTAGAAAAGCCTTACATAGTACTAGTAAAGGAAAAGGATTGGTGCGAACAAGAGCAGACAATAGATCAGACATGAATAAAACGCTCTGGCGAATAGTAGAAGCAGAAATGTATGGATCAAGAACTGTGAGAAGGGAAACAAGACGGAATTTGCAAGATTAGGAGATAGAAAGCTGATCAGAGGGGATGAGAGGAAGGTGTAAGCACGAAGAATATAGGTAGGCAGCAGTGCCTTATATAGCAAGTCATGCAGTCACACACGATGAGCTACAATGTCAAGCGATAAGTTTATTGGGCGGCGAAGGTAAGTGGTGAGTACGCAGCAATGAACACAAAATTCGCACATACAAAGGGGGATCGTGACTGAGAGGTACATAATACAAACAGGGATGAAGAAGGCAACAATGCAAAAGGTGAATAAGACCAACAAGGATTTCGAGGTGAGGGAAACAGTGCGTCACTGCAGTCTGGAAGCAGTCAGATAGTAGGAGATCGGCTATGCGGAATTAGATCAGTGCGCTGAGTCAAGAACAAAGCATCATTGGATATGGAAATAAAATACGGAGGGCAAGCATAGTTGGACAGGTTAGGAATGGAAAACCCTGCATTAATAAAGAACGAATAAGGCCTAAAAAGCTCTAGGGGTAAGGAGAGAGAGAGCGTTTCTGCCAAACCTAGATCAGAAACGACTAAGTAGACTGGGAGTCTGCATTGATATTAAAGTGGGAATACAAATAGAGGACGTCAACAAAAATGGATAGGTTGAAGATGTAAGAAGCTTTATTAATAGCGCGTGAATGAGACCTGCAAAGATTTCGAAGTAAGAAGAATGCACCGCTTGGTCGGCAAACCCAAGATCATTTACGTATCAGAAGGCTAGATGCGATCAGAAAGCAGAAGGCCGGTCCAACGAAACTAGATCGGAGCGGCGCATTGGGAGTTTGCCACCAAAGGAAGAAGCAACGCGCGAATTGGAACAGAAGGTGTCGGGATGAAGAAGCGTTGGTGTATGGCAGTCAATGTCATGGATACTACGGGAACCGGTGTCCCAAAGTCATGCAATAATATACGCGTAGAGAAACGTATAGGTAATTGAAGAGAGAAACAGTCAGCTGTAGACCAAAATTGTAGGGGCCTAAGAGGCTGGTGCTAATAAGTGTGCGGAGTGACTGTTTGGAAGGTCAAGAGAAAAGTCATAGTAGTCCAATTGGAAGCAGGGTCAATGAAGAGGGGAAGAATCAGCCGTGGACCAAAATCGTAGGAACCTACCAGGCTAAAGCAGATATGTGTGTAGAGAGGCTATTTGAAATGTCTAGAGAGAAGTCATATTAGTCCAATTAGAACCAGCCGGTTACTGAAGAGGGAAAGAATCAGCCGTGTACCAAAATCGCAGGAGCCTGCAAGGCCGCTGCTAATAGGTGTGAGAATGGACTCTTTGGAAGTTCAAGAGAGAAGTCATAGTAATCCAAATAAATCCAGCAGGTTAATGAAAAGGGAAGCGTCTTCTGTGGACCAACATCGTACGAGCGTACCAGGTTGAAGCCAATCTGGATATGGAGAGGCAATTTCCAAGGTCATTTGATGCGAAGATCACACGGAATATGCGCTTGCGGTCTACCTTGTTTGTCTGTCAACAGGTGACGGGCGATTGACGAGGTTGGAAACTTGTATTGCAAATCGTTAGCACTCGTGAAATGGATGAGGTCATTTGTGAGACGTGTTCTCTCACCCACCTCGGCTCATGCTCCGCGATTCTCACCTGCAGCTGATGGTCTGTCATATCCACCTAGTCGGCCTTGCAACTACATGTAAATTGGTAAAGGACGTGTGAACGGTTGAACAGTGGTACTGGTGACTTAAGCGACCGAGTATGGATGCGAGTCGTTATGTACAATAATACCGGCTGTGCCGCTGGGTACACACGCGCCACAACGGATTTCAAATGTCGTTAGAATATTTGGCTTACGTCGGCCCCCTTAAACGGTAGTTGCAGTGTTACTTCCATTCGTCCTACTGAGTGTTTCTTCATGTGTATCGGTTGCTGTACGTCATTTCGCTAATTTGCTATCCCAACTATACCACACGTTCATGGTGTTATGTACATCACAGAACTAAGTGATAAATTGCTCTCTCTAGAATCACAACTGAATGAGATGAGAATAAGGCTGGCACTCTTTAAACCTCTCAAAGATCACCTGATTACGTTTGACTACATCAGTAACCCATTGGAGAAGACTGATCCTGTTCTAATGGGAAAAGCAAAGCAGTTAATTGCCTCTGTTGCCTCTGAAGTGCACGAACGAGTATGCAGAGTAAAAAGTTTGCTTGTTTTTAAAGTTTCGGACAGGTTGGGTTTGGATAAAGTAGAACTAACGGTACTGAAATCTTGTAATATGTCTAAAGTTGACTGCAAATGCCAACGTTAAAAAAAAGATCGAAACCTTGTTGTTTAATCATTTTCAAATTTTTGAGCGAGGAAGTCGCGCAGCGATTCCTCCATTGTGGACCCATCCTAGGCCAGTGCACCCAATTTAATGGCATTTTGATTGAACCAGATAGGACACCCTTACAAAGGTCCGAAATTGGCACTGTGCCGCGAACACCGGAAGAAATAACTAGGTTCTTCTTGAAATCTCAGCCAAACGTCCAAAAGGCGAGTGCATCCAAAGTGGATACCAGATGCATTGATTTCGACGATAATTTAACAATCTTGTCAACTAGCTCAAAAGCCGTCCTTTCTTGCTCCACTGAAGCGCTCTCTACACAAAGAACAGATAAAGCGGATTCTCCCATTTCTGACAACAACACTCCCATTATATAGAACTCCTCATGCATAAGGATTAAAGGAAAATCTAATTGCTTAGAACAGTGGAGTAATGACAACTCGTTGGATATATCACAATCCGGTCCAAACCCACAATACACGTTCAAGAATAGACAACCTGATGTAATTCATAGTCTACTGTCGCCCACGGACGACTTCTGCAATCCAGGGGCCTGTGTCTTTAAAAAAACGTGTGGATACTACGTACTCGGTCGCACCCAAAATTCCCTATCGACCAACTTACAACCACCATGTTGAATAATACCAATAACAACTGTCTCTTGGCTACGGCTATTTATCATCCTACATTCCACAACAATCATTGGAAGTGCACAGATAATGCAAGCACATCGGCTAGTAAGACTAAGTTACCACCCGCTCCGTTCCATGTACCTTTAACCTCTCAAGCGGCTTCTTCTAACAACCACTTTTTAGCGGCGACGGGAATGGACTCGCACCCATTCCCATCTCAGATACATCCGGCGGAGGACAGCATCTTGCTCCCACTCTTCCTCCTATTTGTCCAAATAACAAAGCTAGTCCATTGCCAAACCAACGACAACCTAAGCATGATGCGCCGGTTCCCGTCGTGCCCCAAACTCTCGATATCCACACATGACAGCTACCCTTATCGACAGACGTTCTAATGGCCAACTCGGACCCACCAGACTCGCACTTACCTACCATGTGCGCCATGCTCGAACGCAAAGATTCAAATGATCACACAACAGACAGTGATAATTCCCCAATAGTTAATACATTTTAGTGATTCTGATAAATGCCAGATCCGTGATCAATAAACTTCATTTTATAAACACACTTGCACAGTTCAGTGACCCACAACCGTTCTTCGTCACTGAAACATGGTGTTCTTCAGATACGCTTGACTCTACTCTGATGATTCCAAACTACCACCAATTTCGAAAAGATCGCTGTAACAGAAAAGGTGGATGGTGTATTATATACCTGCGCGAAACATTTACTGCTAAACCTATCGACCACTCACAATTGGAAAATATCCCTGAATCTATTTGGCTGTCAGTTGCGAGTGTTTCATCTTACATGCTGCTCGCACGTACTTACAACCAACAGAATACGTCAAACGTGAGTATCACAAACATCATTTACATTTGACTTCGCATCAGAGTTGCCACATAACCAGATTATTGCCGGCGATTTCAACCTACCGAAAATACGCTGGTCATCCACCCAACGTCTACCTTGCACACCTCTTTACTTTCTTCTATCAGAGCTGGGGGCTGGACACAATGGATTACCAGTCCATTCAGGTCCGCCAGTGTACTAGACTTAATATTCACATTGGGGATATCCAATCCACAGACCGAGAACTTAAGCAATCTCCCTCGCAGCGACCATAACATGATCCGACTCAGCTTCCAAATTAAAATGGTCACTAAACTCGCCTCTACAGTGCCAGTTGCAACCCATAAGATAAACTGGGAGTGCTTACAGCAGTTCATTCGTTTCTCCGACTGGGATGTATATTTCCTCTCTACCAGTGTGTACATCGCTGTGGAGCAGTTTTATAAACAACTCCACCATGCCACTGCCCCCTTGCTGCACAAAGTGTTCATAACCCTCATGTCTCCAAACTTGTTGTCGAACACTTCACCAGCAAAAAAACTGGAAAATTAGCTTCGAGATACAGAAAGACCCATGAATTTTCACTTGTTATACAAATGCACGAATTTACCACCAGAGTCAAACACGCGCAGTTAACACGACGAAAAAAAGACGTATATATAGCCCTACGGACAAGCTGCAATGCTAGGGCGCTTGTCAAAATACTGCATCGTAGAACCAGTGACCGCTCTCCTCTGATTACCGAAATTGTTGATGGTGAGGATCACTTACTCCGCGACCTAGCTGAAATTCGTGAAGCATTCAGTGACTATTTTGCCAATACTATGAATCGTGAAGCTGACCCGGTGCCTGTGTGCACAGAGCTTACAGCTTAAGAATAGTCGATATCTCGCTCAACGGTGTCCATCAGGTTATCAAATCAATCAGGTCATCTTCCAAGCTGGGATCTGATGATATTTCACAAACCACCATTAAACTAGGATTGTCTGATGATCAGGTTTACTCTATCGCTGGAATCTGGCCACTTTCCAGACCAATGAAAAATGTCATTTATTATGTCTCGGCATAAAGGAGGTCCCAGACAAACGATTGATAACTACCGACCAATCCACCACACTCCGATGATCACTCGGCTATTTGAAAAACTGCTCAGAAAGTAGATGATGAACTTTGTCGATTCTTTTGGCCTGATCAATACTTCGCAGCATGGTTTTCTTAACAAGCGATCGTACACTATCTGTCAACTGCATTGCCTTAACCACATTTCAGGACCAATTGATTCCGGCTATGCAGTAGTAATCCTGTTTCTTGAAATACACCAAGCATTCGACCGAGTACCGCACAAACGACTGTTACAAAAGTTGGAGAACTATGGGATCCTGGACCCACTACCACTTTGGCTATCGTCATATCTGAATGATCCTCATCAGGTAGTCACTTTAGGTGATTTTCACTCTTTCCCACGCTCCGTCACCAGTGGAGTCATTCAAGGGAGCGTGCTCGGTCCCTCACCCTTTTTGCTCTACATTAATGACATTGCCTCATCTGCAAAACATGGTACGCCATTTTTAGTTGCGGACGATATCAAATCGTCTATAAGCTTCGGGGTGACGAGCTTCACGGGACCGCTGCTCATTCAAGATGACTTACATTTCATTGAATCATGGTGCTGCACATGGGTGATGAACGTCTCGGCCAAAAAATCAAGCATCATGTCTTACAGCTGCTGCATCTCCGAAGGATCTATCACCCTAAACAATGTACGCGTCCCTACACAGCTGTCCACGCGCGATCCTGGTATTAGGTACACGTCCATCTTCAATTTCTCCGAACAGGCCCAATACCGAGTAGCAGGTGCCAGACAGTCTTTGTTCAATATATCAAACAAAATACACACAACGCGTGCTAGAGTTGAGCTTTTCAAGCTACTCACTCGCCCCATCCTCGAATACTGCAGCATAATATACGACAATATGAGGTGACAGAATTGCTGTGGAGCACCTGCATTGGTCAGTTCCTAAACATCTGATTGGTAAACACTTGGCTATGAGTTATCGAGAACGTTGCAATGAACTTCATCTCGAACCACTTTGGATTCTACGATTGAAGCACAACTTATTGCTGCTTTTCAACATGTTACACAAAAAGACCTGCATACACTCAGTTTACGACATTCCTTAACTCGTGCGCTAGGGAACGAAGGTTTTGCACTGAATATACCGAAGTCTAGAACGCACGTCCGCTCTAATTTCTTCCTCATCAGATATAGCTATCTGTGGAATAAACTACCAATAACACTCATGTCATGTGACAATGTGGCAACATTTAGAAGCAGACCCTCCAGTTACTTTGGTCTAACTACCGTGCTCTCTATACTCACATGGGAAAAATCCCTCGATGAGCTATCCCGAGGGAGGCCCAAAAACATCTAAACACCAATGTTTTCATAACTAGACTTTGGCCTCAATCATCCGCTAGAATGTTAATACATGAAACGCATATCGCAATACTACACCTATGCATGTCACCCATGCAAGCGCATGGATACTTCTGTACGAATTGATGTGTCGCTATAGACACAGTTTCTCTCATTAAGAGAAATCTACGTATTGTTATTATTGTTATTATTACTATTATTTGCACGCAACCTGCAGTACGCGCTTGATACTATGCAGAGAAAGTTTTCCGGATATAAATCGTGCGCTGCTATCGAGAAGTAGATAATTTGTCGTTTCTATACTCGGTCGCTCCCATTCTTAGCTTGCAATCTCATCCCATGCTTTCAGCCTGTTGAGACACTCCTTCCCTTCATAAACCGTGTTCACTTATATGTGACGTCCCGTACACATTCGTCATTACATGTTGGCAAATTGGCGCTTATTCCAGCCAGGTCTACCGTTGCCTAGGCGTCTGATTCCTCCTCATTGATTTTTTTTCAGCATGCTACTGATCCACGCGTTGTCTCCGACCCGTTACAACAAGTTAACCCCTTAGAATTCGTCCTGCGGGATGAGGTATTGTGTGAACTCCTCGAATTCGGATTGACGGATGATTGCATTGAAGTAAGTCCCCCATTTTTATTCACTGTTCGTTGACATTGCATCTGGCTTTTCCTTGTATCCGATCACTGATCGCTCCGATACGCCTTCCTACACGCGCACATCATCCATTCGTATGTCGCTCTTGGGGAAAATGTTAGGCAAATCAACTATTTTGTATCCGCATCCAAAGGCCGCTTACTGTACTCTTCATTTGGCTTACGTTCTTGTGACCCCGTAGTTTATTCTAACCGTATTTCTGCTGATGGCTACCACTCTTACTGTCTGCTGCGAGGAGGATTTCCTCAAAAACACCTTAACTCACAATTACTCATTTGAAATGTGTAGGCAGAATTTTGATGCATTCCCTTTGGTTCGATGTTATCTCCAGATACGTACTTTGGCCGAGCAGCTTTTGTGCTGTTTACTAGACTCATATGATTACCTCCCGCAATCCAGTTGGCGTACGTTGCGTAGACTGTGCATGGAACCGGCATCTTCGAACACTGTTGGGATTCGCTATCGTCCTCTGAACATCATTCTTGGCGTATACGCAACTGCTGAGTCTAGCTCGACTGCACCCACAAGCTTTGGCAAATTGGCGTTGGATTGGTGTCTCGGCCACATGACTCCTGCCGGACGAACCGCAGCATTCACGGAGTGCTTGCAGTCTTCTGCCGAAGACACCGAGGTACCATTATCTATTCGCTACCCTCTTTCTCTCTGTATACAATGCCACTTTCCCAACTCAGCGAACATCTTTACGCAGATAATTTTACGATGTTCTCTATCCACTCTGGCTTTGAATCTACGTTCTCGCTTGTCTAATCATTATCCGTTAGAACGCATGTGATCACGCACCATTATCTTCGCTTAAGTAGACCTCGGTTCCCGCATTCACATCATTTGCATCCGATGTAGAGAGACATTTCCAATAGTGCTCGCTCCTAAGGTTTTACTTATCGACTTCATCTTACTTATTTTACTTCCACCGGTGGATGGACCAGAGTTTGGAACCGAACCCCCGAACTTTAGGGTTTTTGGTGGGCACCCTTACAACCAGACCACCCAGTTCCACCAGCAACATTGCTCATAATGGCTGGGGATTCGCATTTGGTGCGTTGCTTCCCACCAACTATGAGTTTTTACCCGCTGCAACAACAATGTTTATTGTGCTATCAGAACCAACACAAAATGTAAGCAGCGATTACAAATCTGTTATTCACGCGATGTTGAATAAGTCAAACTGTAAAAATGTTTAAGCGCTCATCAAATGAGGCGGCTTTTCATCGGTCATTTCCCGTTGTTGCATCCTATGCCACCTGTCACGTGCTTGTCACCTGCTTTTCGTCCACTGTGTCCGGTCTAGTCCACTCCTGCCCTGTTTAGGGTCACCTTGAACTTGGCCCATGTTATGCCTCGTCAGATTGCTGCTGTCCATCTGCGCCGCGCGATTATGGTAAGCTCGCATAAGTGGCACCTGATTCACCTTAACCTCTACCGTTCAACTGGCCAAACGACATTGCGTTCCGTATTGTCACTTTGGATCCGGTGGTGCGCACGTGCTGTTTGCTCCTCGCTTTTCGTACCACTCCGCTTCTTCTCGTCCGTGAACAAGCCGCGATTCGTTCGCGCCAAACGGAGCCAATGCTGCCTTGTCACACGGCCCATGTGTTTGTGGTCTATTCACCGGAGCTCCAAGCGGCAATCACAGCAGCCCGATGACCGAAAGGATTGCGTGCCTGCGATGTAATCGTGTGGCCTGTTCGAATCAGCGTAGGGTCGGGTGACCTCGCGGTACACCCAACCACCGCGCTATTTGTGATGGTCGTGTGGCAACGAAGCTTCGGTACAGTATGCCAGCGTACGGCTGATACTTTCTTTTATATAGTGCCTGAGGAGCTCTTGAGTGGTTGAGGCATCGACCGGTAATCATGAGTTACAGGTTTTCTTCCCAGCCCAGGCTATCTTGACTCAAAGAGCATGAACGAAGTTGTTCTCCGCACACCATGTTGAGAGTGACCAACATCGAGCATTTTCACTTCGTACATTCCTTTTACTATCAGTGGTTGAACTATCTGTGATATTTGCATATATCAATGGCCTGAAACAGTTTTACTCCTCAAAATGATTCTAGCCCTATCTGGTGCAAACAGGACCCTGCGGTTGGACACATTTCAAAGGGTGATTCTCAAGTGTAGTTTTATCCCGTTTGACTTTTCGCTTGTCGTGTTTCCCCTTTTTGGCCTCTCAAACGAATTCCATGTTCGCGCGTACAGCATCTCTGCCCCTATCATCTGATCACAAGGTACTGTTCTCAAGTTGCGAATTTCTCTGCTTACACCGGACCACGCTCCTTACCTCGCTGCACACGATCGACCTCGCCCTTGATGCAATCTGTCCGTATAGTTACATCTAATATTTGCTACTCATGAGTAGTTTCATCAGTACCTTAATAGAACATATATGGTGCCTGTCGCACCCCATCTCCCCCGAAGTTGTTAATCCTCACCTATCATGCCAGAGCAGAGTTAATTTCCCTCTCATCATTATTTCTTTTGCTTTAGATTACTGAACACACTTCGTCCATCCAATCCTGTTGTCGTCTGCTCTTTCATCGTAATCGTGCAGTCCGTTCAGTAGCCGGGCTGGTCATGGCACGGCGTTTACGAAAATTTGTAGCATCGCGAGCAAGCCCCAGCGCTGGCACCTCTTCTTCCCTGCTGGATGCCAGACTGGTCACTGGTATGAGTACCGTGGTAGAAGTGAGCGAGGCTAGCGGGACAAACACTCGTCAGACAAGCACTCCAGTCGAGTTATGTTGCGCGGATGGCCAGCTAATTCCAGCCCTCATCGATTGCCTCATATATCCTCAAGATGAAACGGGAGCCTCCCAACCACTCCCCTTCGTTTTGGACCACATCGATCGAATTGGATGTGAACCGACAGACACGGAACAAGTAGATGGCCTTGTACGGGTTGTGCGTGTTTTCACCGATGATCAAGCTGATTTGAATGTACGTCGAGCTGCTGGCGAACAGGCTCTCATGCTTGCTAAACGTAAGCCCTTATCATCTCGTGGCTTTTCTTTCTGACAATGCCTTACCACGCCAATCTGACCAAAATGGAATACCTTTTTTTCCAGATCCCGGTGCGGCACTAGCGTGGTTGTCCAATGAAGGACTCACCCACTTCACTCAGTGGCTCTCCCGTCTCTTACACAGCTGGCCTTCAACTAGCACTAAAGTTGTCTCTCCCGAACTCCCCAAACCCACCGTGACCTCAGTTTCCATCGCTCGGGTGCTATTACCTGTATCCGTCCGTATCTTACGTTTTGTTGCCGTATGGAGCACGGCTGGCCGCAAACATATGGCAAGCGACAAGGAGTTGATATTAAATCTTCTTTACTGTACGTTTACTCTGTTCGCTGTAAACATGCAGTCGTTCTGCTCATGCTTGACTGCTAACAACCTCGCTGTTTTCTAGTGCGTCTTATTTCTTCTGGATCCGGTGGATTGCATGAAGATTTAATGAGCTTAATGGCGTTGCTGCTCTTTGATCCGGTGGTACGCGAGGCCGAAGAGTGAGTCATAAAATTCATAAACTAAATATCTTTGTTTCCCGAAGACCGATTTTTTCACATTTTCCACCTCTATTTGTTGCTTTGTGGTTGCATTCCGTTTGCCTCCGAGTCACTCAGGCTGTGCGGTTTACTAATTGTGTACTGCGGCACACCTACATTTGTCTCAAATTCGATCTTTCATCTAGCCATATTCCTGAGTCGCCGACTGAAAAGTATCCACCTGGTCGAATCAGTACTCCGGCGTGAGTCATGAAGACTTTGCCTTCAAAACTTCCACTAAAGTCAAATATCGTTGTCATTACATTTACATTTTGTTGGACTGGTAAAGTCTCACTACGGATACTGTTTAGCTCTGTGTGGTTTCTCTGCTTTTTCCATGCATACTTTGCTTAGATATCTACCAACTGGTTTGCTCTACCCACGCCTATTCGACTACTGATTTAACTTTGTTACCTTGTTCCTGAGACTTGTCATGGCCATAACATCGATGTACTTATTCGCTAGTGTTTCGCCCACACTACTCTGCGTTCACTTTCTGATCGTTCACCTTGGCATTTTCTTTCTGTCTGCTTATTACTTGCCCACACCAATTTCCCTCTACACTTCCAGATGCCCGATTTGTCTTCCTAATGCAGTTTTCACTGGCTACCTGATTCCATTTACCTGTCCGACGTATTCCTTGCGCTCGCAATGGCGTGAGCTTGGCTCTTCGGGGACCGTTTCACACAGTCCCTTTCAGCCCCTTTTGGATCTCCTGTCTGTGTCAAATTCCGATGAACAGACTCGAATTTTCCAGTCCATGATCAGACGCGGTTTCCGCATATGTTGGTCGTTCGCATCCCACGGTGGTTTGGCCTCTTTTATAAAGCATACGCTGTCCGTTCTAGGCGTTCTTCCTTCTGATTGTGTTCAGGTTGACTCCGATCTGGTTGATATTTGTTTCAAACGCTGCCGCGATTACACCCCGTAAGTTGCTTTCCTGTCTTTGTGGCGCTGTGGCGTTGTCTGCATTTTCTGCTACCCGGTTCAATTTCACTCATTCTTATCAGCATTCTTTGTTGTATCTCAACAGGTTATGCGGAGGTAATTTCGTGTCGTGTACTTCAGCTGTGCTGTCATAGTCAATTTTGCAAGATTGTTTCCGAAAGTGTGCACTGAATGTTTTGTGCCCGCTTGGACTAACGACTGGTTAATAGCTTTACTGGAGTGTCAAGTCCCACTTCTGCTAACCTGTCTCGCCATGCTACTGGTAACTTTTGAATGCAACCAAACTGCATACCCTGCACTGTCTATAAGTTTCCTAACTGTCTACCTTCATTCCCCATGTCTAGTTATTTAACTACTTGCCATTGGTTCATTCCATCCGCATTTTTTGTTTATATGAATTACTTAGTGGCTTTTTCATTACTTTCATGACATTGACAGTCTAGTTTGCTTGGCCATCATGCTTCTTCCTTGCCGGTGCTCCCGCTTTCTGCATGTTTTTGCTTTTGCATGCAGTTTTTTAGGCCAGTTGTCCATGTCCAGCAGCGATTTGAGCCTCGTTCTGTTCAGTCAGTGGGATGCCAGTGTTCTCCTTTGCCTGGCTGCCGCCCAACATGCGACCAATCACGGGTCACTTGTGAAAGCGATCTCTATTCTTCACCGCTGTTGTGCAATGTGTGCATGCGCCCCGGCATCTGGGTTCGTCTCGGATATGCTCAACTCAACGTCGTCGTGTTGTTGGTGGTCTTGCGGACAATTGGAGCGCTTCCTATCTACCTTACCCGCTTGCTCTGCGGATTTTCAACTTCTCACTTCGTTACTGCATGCAATTGAACAGACGGGCCTGTTGTCTTCCACTCCGTTGTCTATCTCCTTCGGCACGACCTTAGAGGTAACATCAAGGGCCGCATTCTAGCCAATTCAATCCATCTTTTCTCTTGCACTGGTGATTTAAGAATCCGTTTGAAAGCGTTCAAGCTACTTGCTTGTCCCTCACTTAGTCTTCGCCTGTCATTATTCTAGTCATAGTCTTGGTATAGTGTATAGTTCTGCATCACTAGGCATGAGCACGGTTATTCAAGCATAATCGGGCCACACTCTCTTAGGATCAGCTTGTTTCTTTGTCTTGCGAAACGAGTACGAGGTCTATGTGGTACCACCCCAGCTAGTCTGACTGTTACCGAACAGTATGTGGAAGTGTCTAGATGATGCGCTCTGTGTATATCCATCTACGTATTGCATTCGACATTTCCGTCGGCCTAGTCTACTGGCACTTTTACTTTTGTGCTGGACAGCTCTGTCAATGGTTGTTTCGGATGCTCGTGGATGACCGCGGCGCTCTGTCATACTGCTTATTGCAACCAAGTGCCGGCGTTGGTGAAACTGACAGTCGTCGACTCATTTCCGCCAAACGACACCTGGTCTACTACCATTTGCCACGTCTTCTGTATCAGCTGACGGAGCGGCTCGCGTCGTTGGAACGAAGTTCCTCAGAATTCCGTCGCTTTTGGTCAGCCAAGTCACATTGTGACCATTCGGGAACCGATGAATCTGCTCCCAATCGGTTCGTTCAAGCTTTCCTTGTCATGCCCATTTGATCACATTTGTGCCATACCTTTCACTTCAACATTATCTGTCAGCTGAGAGCTCTGTGTTTGAGCAAAAGTGTTCCACGAACTCATTGGAGGGGGCATTCTGAATCACACGTTGTGTGAATGGGTTGCGGCATGTAACCTCAATCTGGATCATGAGTCGCCTTGAAACGAACCTCGATCAATTCGGTCACTGGGACTCTATCTCGGTGATATGGGAGTAAAGGCTATGGTTAACATCCCATAGGTCCCGGATTCAAGTCGCATTCCTGCTGTCTCTACCTGGCGAGTGTGCGAAACCGGCCGCGGGGTGCAATGTTGCGACCCAACAACATCTGGCATTTATGTGTTCCACGAACCCGTTCGTCCGATTCCATTCTTTATTTGAAACTCGCTTTTACCCTGATCAGCCGTCTAATCTGAGCACATTGCTCGTGCGATTTCTCATCACGCTTAATATACATCCCTTCCGCAAAGTTGTTGTCCACCGTTAGCGCGTTGCTTCGCTTTAAAGATGGGCGGCCCTACGCTTTGGGCACATAATCTACCGCTCGAGCTATTGTCTTTCATTCACAACAGCTGCGCCTCTGCTTAGATGATATCACTCCTTGCAGTGCAAATTCACATTATCTGGCCCGTAATCTCACAGGTTTACTGTTCAGCACCGGCCTCCAGCGCTTGAAGCTGAGCATTTTCTGCTTTCCCTCCAACCGGACGAATCGGTCCGCTACATCTTCACGCATTAGTGAGGCATTGTCGTTTATCTGTTAGTCGACTAACGCTATTACTGACACTTACTCATTGAACCGACATGCCAGATACCCGGACTTCTCCAAGTCTATCATTTATTTCGCAGGGCGGTTGAACATCGATCCTAGTACCACGGTTTAAGAATATTCTTAGACTTATCTCACTAGTTGTAAAAGCGCTTTCCTCTCCTAATTTGACTATGTTGCGCTTCATCATTGGAATTATGTAGCCCAACATTCCAACCGCAACTTAATGTTCAAACGTATCGCGCTTGCTTCATGTACCATCCTCGAACTTGTTGTCTTTCAGTTCTCTTCGAGGTTCTGAGATTCACCCAATCCGAGCGCTTGCTAAATCTCATTGTTGGGTGATCTGGACAGGACGGCTTTATCAGACACTGGCACACATACGCTTCCTGCCTCCAAAGACAGGTCCTGTCTTATGTTCCGGCGAACTTACCTGCGCTTTTTTATGTCAGCTCGCTACGATAGTGGTGTGTTCATTTAGCGTTTACCGCTCATCCCCTGTTGAGTACTCCAGGGGCTCTTGTTTTTTTTGCGACTAACTGCGTGCAAGTTTTGAACCCAGTAATCACCCTTCATCCCCGTAATTGCACAGGCCCACTTCTTCGTTTGTTCACTTTTTATTAGATCTAAAGCGTTACATTCGGATACTGAAATCTTTTCTACCGTTCCATTTATCCATGCACAATCAACCCTTGTGCGCAAAGCAACGGACGTCACCAATCATTGTTTAGTACTTTTCAATCACGCCATCTGCTCCTCTAGCATATCCATTGAAAGGTCTGTGATCTAAAATGGACACTCTACATGTAGGAGTTGGTCTGGACACATGTTCTCGTTGGGATACTTTTCGGCGAATGTTGTTTGCCACGGGACAGTGGAATTCCGCGTGTATCAACTTTAGCGCATCGTGTTATCGGCCAGATGACCTTCTTCTCATCACATCACTGTACGCTTCGGACTGTTTCCGCATTACCGTAAACTGCTGTACCATATCCGGTGAAGCGTTTGTGCTCTACTGCTGACTTAGGTGCACATTCCGAATACTTGCTAGAGTTCCCCGTTGCCCTCCCTATCCCCATTTGACTAACCGCCCAGCGGATTCTTCATCACTCACCGGAATCCCCGTCTCTCATCACACAGTATTGCGCGATGCACAAGTACACGCTGTTCTACTACGCGTGTAACCCCACTTCTCTGAGAATCCCGGTGGCTGTTGCTGTTAAAGAGCAGTTGGTCATTTTCAATACCCAGCAATGCTATCACGGAGCACTCATTTGTTTAATTCAACATTTATTGAGCTGTTGGTTATGCGATAGTACACTGCTTCGACCCTTATTATTTCGTGAACACACATAAAATGGAGTCTCACATGCTGCGCATTGGCATGTTCGGTCCATGTCTTTTAATTCCTGTATATTGTGTAGAATAGATTTTGGCTCGATAATCAGCAATTCGACCCATTTTTCTAACCCGTACCTCCTCTGGATCTGAGCAGCTTTTACAGTGTCCTCCGCTTTTGTGTGCCGGCAGCTGGTCGGGCAAATTGTCTACAGTGAATTATCACGCATAGGTACATTTCTCGTGTTTCTCTTCTCAGTAAAGCTCTCTTCACTTGCGGGATCGCTTCGCAATAAATGCTGCTGTTATTGTGTCACTACTCATCATCTGCATTAGATCATAGGCAAACCCTTAAGCAAATGGGGGATATTACAATTTTCCTGCTGGTTACCATATAGAATTGGAACACGCTTGGTACCATCACTACCAGCACTGCACTGATGCCTCCTGGGTTTCCTGCACAGTCAACCGATTCTCGTGAGTTTGCTTTGTAGAGATTCAAAGTCAGTGTCTGGATCGGTCTGTTGACATGTGATTGCGCTATGACATTGACCAACACTTGGTAACTTGTACTCTGCATTATGCATACCACCGCGTCGAATTCTTTGGCTTGCGTTACTTACGCAACTGGATGTTGGATGGGAAAAGAGAGGCGGAGGTCAACCGATGACTTGTTCAAGCGAACGGATGGTTCGCACTTCGAAATTGACTTCGGTTAGTTTGCCTCAACTCTTACGGTAGGGTGCCAAGACATTGAGCGCGTCTGGTTAGAGACATTAATGACTTGGCAAAGAGCCGACCTCAATGGCGTTTGTGTGTTGAGTACTTTTGCCCCCTCCTCTAGCCATAATCTCACTCCAGATGTATAACACATGCAAAGTCCAAATGTGTTCGACAAATCCTATCACGTCAGGTCGGATCAGGTTAGCGTCCGGCGACGATACAGGTCCCTGCTAGCTGGGTCGATCAATATACACACCGTTCGAATGTACTAAGCCATTTTAGCTTCTTTCACTTGCTTTGCTTATTGCTATCAATCCGTTTTGCAGACGTACTCGCCTGATGCGATATACCAAAAAGAAATCTCTTAGCAGCTGTGCGTTCCAATACTATGTTGTTTTTTATACAATATGCTATAAGTTTTGTTGCCACACAACTGCTGAGGTGTTTATGGTCTCTAGCTATGTTGTTGAATGTTGCCAACTGAAAATATCCACGGAATGTCACGTTTCAACCATTGAACACCAGACCACTTGTTACTTGTTTGCTTGAGACCTACATCCCACGCTTCCACCCGTGACCTGCGCAACTACGGGCAACCACACTTTCAGCCACATCTGCGTCGCTGCTCTCCGGACGTGGCACAGTAGTACAGGCTGGCGGTATTGGCTGCTATTCGGCGCTGATCTGGTTGACAATGGCAATATTTCATTGTGTGATGCGCACACGGACTGAAGCATTTCTCTCGATGCGTCACCACTACTAACTGTAGACACAATTCGGCCCACCACACCACTGGTTCTGTCCATTTCCCTCATTTGACAGCTGCGACCTCTGCAATGTGGCGGATCCTGTTTACTTTATTCATGCTGTGATGACTATCACAGCTAACAACGTTGATGAGGGTCTACGAATTCCTCCAGCGAACACCGCCGCAGAGGATTTCATAGATCATCATGCGAGTCTCATTGTCAGGACGTAAATATGTGACGTCCCCAACCAGCCCATTCATATTAACTTGTAGTACCTGTTGTGTGGATGGATTGTATGTCACATGCACTCTCAGTTACGACCACGATTCTCAGTTCGACCATTTCTCCCATGAATAGTGCAACGAAGCGCGAAACCGATGAGGGAACGTAGAGTTGGGATCAGACGGTGCCTAACATTAATCAGCATAATTATGGTTTTCGTGACTAAATCCTGGGGAGCCGCTTTCCCTCGTTATTAGGGTAGGTGATGGCTCAATTCACCGGAGTTTATTATCGTCACACCAGCACTTTCTTTTGTTGTGCATTAACTGTTCTTTCTAGCTTTCTTGTGACGCGATCATCTTTTTCTCCATTGCATGCAAAGTTCACCATGTTCTACACCAACTCAATTCTTCCGGATTTGTCTTCGTTGGAGTCTCAACGCACTGGTACAATTCACACTAACCCCGTTCTCCGACCTCGTGAGACTGCGATTTGTTCTCGGAGTTCTATGCAATCTCACTTCCTCGTAAGATTCCCTAATGACTGGATGTGATTTTTATCGAGCCTAAAACACGTTAGGATTCAAATTGTCAGGTGTTGTTGATTTGAAACTCTAATTCATCTCCCTGAGGACACATTTATGTCAATACTTTGAACCGCCCGTTCCCATTAGTCAATTCACAATAATTTAATGGGATTCGAGTGTGCACTTTGTTTCCTTCGCCTCTATTGACCGAACACTAGCCGTTCAAGTCTAATTTCACTGCCAGGTCTCTTGGCTGGTATCAATAGGAGAAGACCGGAATTCTGCAACCACTTATGATCGTGCTAGCTTCAGTGCTGCTGCCTGCTATCGCTTGTAGACATGTGAGCAATATCACCTAGTGATTGGGCGTTATTTTTGACCATGAACTCGCTCCTATGTTAGTTTCTGCCAACGCGCACACAACTACAGTCGTGCGTTTGTGTCTTCCATGTAGTGCGGATTTTATGGAGGACCCATTTGATCTCATTGCAGTGCTCTCTGGATGTCGGAATTCGATCTCCTATGGCTGCCTGATCTGTTGATTGTTTCCACTCACCTGCTCACACGATTCGACTCAGGCCGTGAGGAAGCGAACGCGTCTTTCATGGGCCTCGGCTCTCTGCGATTGTTGCTTTTATTGATTAACCAAGTCCTTCAGCAGATTTTGGAGCAACCGACTCTTCTGGACTTGATCGTATCAGAGAATCAATCCTTGAACTTATCTGGTAATGTGCCCTCAGACCTCAGTGACACCTTACCTCGGGCACCCTGGTACACAGGAGAATGGATTTTACGCTGTCTAGTCTACCGGTCGGTCGAGGTATGACTTATAAAATTGTAGTTTTTCTTTGTAACGCCGTTCACTTGCATATGAGATCTTCTCCTTTACGAATTGTTGCACATTTTACATTGAGTGGTCTTCCGCAGCTTTTTTCTCTTGCATCATGTTGTGAGCTGTAAGATCGCTCAGGGATCAGCAGCTGGTGGACACTTTGGATCCGTCACCTAATCCAACTCGATTTCGTGACTATTAATCATTGGACCCTGTCCAAAACTCTTTCATGTTTGTAGTACACTTTGCATTTTATTATGGCCAGAATTGTCCAGCTTTTGCCGCACCGACCAATAAAGAGCCATTGGTCCAATTGCCATCAACATATAATAACCGTAATAATAAAGAAAGGTGGAGAACGCATACAAACCCGACGGAAAATTCCACTGATTTCAAGTCAGATGATTTTCGTAATTAATTTTCGGTGTCGATGGCTCCTATCGTTTTGTCACACGATCAGTTTTCTCCTTATTTGAGCTCTTCAGGTAGAGAGCCTGAGCTGGGAGTGAAACCGGGCATGTTATACTTCGCAATTTTGACACCATACCCAATAGACCACACAACTCTGTGAGAAACGCTTGGCGCAGTTGTCATGATTCCAATGTTGGATTTTAGGGTATCTTCACTGCGGTCAGCCGGTAGCCACGTGGTCTGCGCGCCTGGTTTGCAATCATAAAGTCACCGGTTCGAATCTACGTAGGGGCGGGCGTCCTCGCGGTATACTCAGCCCACGTGCGACTTGTGTTGGTCGCGCGGCAGCGAAGCGCCGTCACATTATTATTATTATTATTATTATTATTAAAAAGTGCACTCTCAATTGAACATATTATTTACTTTGGAGTAAATGCCGTCCACTAGCACCGCATCCGAATTAGAGAGTTTTCGGTGTTAATTGGAAAACTCCAGAGGCACTGGGCTCTATGGAAGGATACTATCGTTACCATTGTAGCGATATATGGATTAGAGTCTGTAATCACTATTTCACCGACCTCATTGGCTAGTAGAACGGTATGTACCGACCCGACCATGTCTTTTGGTCAATATCTTCAGCACTTTTCACGATCTCTTCACGTTGACACCTTAAGACTTCAGGCAACCCGTTGCTCTACTGGCAATTACATCACACAGAGACACACAGTTGCCAGTTTTTAGAAGCATGCCACTGTATAGACGCTGAGTGTCCAAAAGTCAACTGGCCATGGTTTGTATCCTAGTCGGCACTTTCCGCCTTAAGAAGCGTTCCACATTGACACAACACCATCCTCGCGTGCTGTTATGCCACTGCCACATTTGAGGACCAGAGAGGCGCCTCTCTGTTTCAAAAATTCGGAATGCGAAGAAGTTACCTGATCTATAGCGCCACACGAACCTAGTGTAGAGTAAGCATTACCGAATTATACAATCTTATCCGTCATACCCTTCATCGCATGTCCATTCACGGCATGAGGATGAAGTGATGTAGGTTGATCTATTCTCGTGTTCAGTCCTTCACGCTATGCATTAACTTAAACTGTACCATATGTCTAACTGTTATTAACTAATGTCAGTGTTGAATCTGCCATATATGTTTATTTAATGTGTCTGCAGCATTTCAGTCGAGTGGCCATTGCAACTGGTCGTTTACCCGGGTTATCGAATAGTATGGTCGGTAAAAGATGACACGAGTGCTTCGGTATGGAGCAATAAATTTTCGGAGAATTTTAGGTTTCTCATTGGGATTAGATTCGTGCGGCACTGGACTCGGGTACCATATATTGCGTAGCTTGGTGGCCACCGATACAAATCTAAACTGAAAATGAATTCCATAAAATTTGTCGCATCTAAACTCTGCCAGACTCGTAAGAGTAAGGTTTGGGTTCGAACCCTGCAGGATCGGGCGGATGTGCGCTACAAACTAGTCTCAATAGGACAAAACGTCTTTCTAGCTCTTTCCTGGATGTATGGTGGCTACCTCGCTGAGTGTAGTCGCGACAAATCCTCTCAAAACACCACAGATCCATTTACTACTTATTAACAACTCCATAATTAATTCCACGTGCGCGTTCATTCTTCTCCATTTCGAAGAGGCTAGGATTCATATCCTACTGAACGTGCCAGCATTTCACCGCTTTCTTAGTAAGTTGCCGCCTATTCAATTTTCTCATCGAGCTGCCTACCTCCGAATATCCCCCGTGTTTGGTTTTATCCTTTCGAAGTGTAGTTATCCAGGGTAACCATAGCAAACATGTGGAAGCCTTTCTCTCACTTCACAGTACCCTCAATCGCTTGCTAACAGTGCTTAACTGGACATCGACGACATGGCCAAACTTCTTGTTCATTAGTTTCCACTTCATTCTAGTGAGCAACATTTCTAGGGGTACATTGGCCCTGTGAGCAGTGTTCGGCATCTCAGGGAGGATTATCAGGTGGAAACAGAATGATGCCTTATTGACATTCTCCCACAGGGCCACAAAGTGCTCTTGTACGTGGATCCACTAAGAGTTTTGCGCCCTCGATACGCTACAGAAAGTTACCATTTGCTTTGTTTCCAACCCATTTTTCTGTACAGCGTTGGTGCGGACCACAAAAAAGAGAATAGTTGGTACGCAATACCGAAATTTCGCTGTCGCTCAACCCTAACCAGTCGCACGAGGTCTAAAGATACTGTGAGAATTGCCCGGTCCCCTACGCAGGCTCGAACCCGAGACCTCAGAATTACAAGTCAGGGTTGTGGTCCTTAAGACCACGGGCCGGACTATTAGTCAGTTTATTTTCCTTCCCTGCTGTTTCCACTTGTCACTCGGTGTCCAAACTCCTCTTTTTCCATTCTTTTTCATTACCTGCGATCCATCTCACATCACTTATTTGTTATCGCTCCATTTACCTTATCGCTGTGTTCCCACGACAGTTGCCTATACCATCTCGACCGTCTCGAATCCCGCTTTATTCACTTGTTTCTATACGCACTTTCTTCGATTCGAGTTATACCAATTCTCAGTCGTTTATGAGTTGCCTTAGTTGCCTTCCTTGTTTTCCTAACTTTATCGTTTTCTCCGGCGTCTGCCTTGCAACCCGGATGTCACCGGTTCGAGTATGTGTAGATTGCCTGATGACCTTCGCAGTATTCTTCGCCCACGCACGGCTGGTGGTGGTCGCGTGACAGCGAAGGTTCGGTACATCATGCTGACATATTGCTGCTGTCTTATAGTTTTCTAAAACGTGCCCATCAACGAAACTTTGGATTTTAGACTCTGATAGTGCTTCGGTGACAGTGGTTTTGCAGCATTTATCCTCCCCGTATCTAGAGACTATCGAACTTCACAGTGCCAGTTATCCGTGGATAAGGAACTATCTCACTCTTGTCCACCTGCCTTTCACTATATTGTGACTTGCTCTCTACACCAGGCTAAATTCATCTGGCACTACGTGCTTGTATGTAACAGGACTATAAGTACTTACTATGCTCATTGTTCATTTGTCCCCTGTCAAGGTTCGTAGTCTAGCCCTGTCGCTCCTCGGTCGAATTGCACTGGTTCCGATCTGGGCCAAAGGATTCAGCACACATTCTTTATCGGCCGAAACTCGTGGCATGCTCTTGGCGCATGGTCTTGATGTGCCTTCTTCGGGCGGTCGGCTGTGGGCAATCGCGCTCGCGGTGTTACTCAATCGCAAAGAAGCCATTCTTTGTCGGATTCAGGCACTTCAGTTGCTTACAAATTTGACTTCGATACCGATCGATCCGCGTGATTCTGGTATCTTTCTACCTCAAATTACGGATGCGACTTCGCGGCAAAATATAACTTCCGAACAATTACGACCAACTCCTTTGACTGAGAACCTCGCACCAGCCGAATCTGTTGAATTATCAGCTATTCGCCAGCATAATGTTGTCACTGCTAGCAATCATGGACAGGAGCATGGTGTACTGTGGCCAGCTGCCGCTCGTGGACTTGTTGCTGAAGGGGATCGTCCCTCCGCGATTTCGGAAAGCGATGATCGTCAATCAAGCGTCATTGACCTACGAGAATTATTTGATTCTGAAATCGGTTCCAGCGATGTGCAACAACGTTTTTCAGCGTTGGTCGATTACTTGCGCCCCTTGTTTGAGAATATTCACGTTGAAACAAATGAAACTGCACGTATCAGACACAGTCAGCGTCACACTGGTACGGGCTCTTCTCGTTTTGAACGCCCATGGCTACTGCACACGATGCCAATTCCTCGAGATACCTTGTTGCCGTGCTACTATGATTCCAATTGTGGGGTAAGTAGGCAGTAATGACATTCGCATGCTTATGCATGTCTGCTGTAAGTAAGCGCTGACCGGCGGCATTACCAGCGTTGTTGATTTTCCCTTTGATGTTCGCTCTTTTGGTATGCATCACCATAAGCTTCCTGCTACCGCCTGCGTTTCACTCGACGGAACTATTGCCCTCAGATGATAATGTTGCGTCAGTGTTGAGTGACAGATCGTGTCTGATCGCTCATCCTCTACACAAATTGGTCTGTGCTGAATTGGTCGTTTTAATCACATTCCCATATGATTTCCCTAATGGAAAGCGCTGCGTTTACCCTCATCTTACAGCTACATTTGCTTGGACTACCTGCTTTGCATCAGTTGCTAATCACCCGAAGCGTTTTCCTTGCATTGCACGAAATTCTCTCGTCCTACCTTCCGCAACCGCTGCTGGATCCTCTGCATTGGAATCAACTGGTTGGCGTCACGACCTGTCTCACTTCCACCATCGTGGTATGTTATTCATTACTAATCGAGTGGCGAAGCAAAGATCTGCTCGTCGCGTTTTGTCATTTATCAGCTGGCGCGTTATGCAACCTTATGCTGAGGTTGATGTTGCATTTCTTGTGCTTCTTCACCGCAGTTCGGCTAGAGCGATCCAGATTTGGCTTGTTTCACGTTGCACTAGATGTGACTGAATCCGTTTTATATTATTTGCCCGGGACTGATAATTTTTTGAAAGAGTTAGTTCCCTTTAGCAATTTGAAAAGCGCAGTAAAAATGCACGCAAATGCACGCATTTCGTATTGTTTGCGCGTACTTTTTCATTTTCGGTCTACTTGATTGATATTCCCTGACTTACATTTATCCTTGCTTAAAATCACCCTTACACTAAAACAGACTTCATAAACATTTTTTGCGCAACAATGACTGTCCAGTTTGCGTGCATACTTAATATCATGTGTTTGCTGTTTGATATCCCCGGTCTGATTGCACTTGATGTGAATGTTGAAAGGTATCCATCTGTCGAAAAACTGCAACCCATATTGCACTGAACCAAGGAGATAGTTTGTCGTTGTTTAGGCAGATGGACTGCACGGTCTTCGTGGTCATGCCAGGCTCAAAGAGTGGTTCCATGCATCAACTGTGGAATGGGCAACGGCCCAGCCACAGCCTTTTGTACGTCTGGTTCGCTTAGTTCCCTAATAAGAATAACTGAAATGCTGCTGCCGTGTATGTTGTAGGAGTGTGGGTCTTCACTGTTGATGAAACGTACCTCACATCCACATGCCTCTCCCGTCTTATTCCTTCGGGTTTACACTGAATATGGGTTGTGTGGATGGAGCTATGAGTGTTGCAGCGCAAACCGCCCATGGTCCCTCTGTAGGCGCAGGCGTCCTGTGACTGTCCCCAAGCAGCCCGAAGTGAAAGACAAATCCGGAATCATATATATATATATATATATATATATATATATATATATATATATATATATATATAATTGCAATGTTGACCGGGGGACTACCTGACTATTACGCTTCACCTCGTTTATACAGTGTGTGGGGCAGATATACTGCCATCGGAATCATGGCCACAGTTGCAAACAATTTGATTAAGCAGAAATGGGCAGTTTTTCTTGCCCAGTTTCTAAATCCTAGTGTTTGTTTTTGACTTTTTTCATATCTTTTGGGATCACGGAACGCTGAATTCTGTCTTGAGCTGTGATTTTCAGGGTCCCAAACCTTCGATACTCCGCATTTCTGGTACCCCAGCCAGAGAATAATAGCGAAGAGATGTGACCGGACCAACTTTGGCGATTCGCCGTACAATTTATACGCTAGCATAGGGTGCTTGTAGACACCCAAAACTGTTGGTTATCCTGCTGTATGTGCTACGCCTTTTTACGTTCATAGTTAATAGTGCTCCTTAACATGCTGATGTACGGACGTTTGTCAAAGTAGCCGCCTAGAACTTTGAGGTGAACTACATTTAAGATTCCAGATCAGATAACTGCATCAGCTGCACCCAGTCAGCACAACTTTGAGAAAACAGATGCGCTGCTCTGCACGCTTGGATGTATGGAGAACTACCACCCGAGATCTTCTGTCGGAACAGTGCGACTAGGCCGCAGTCACTCGTTGTGAATCTGACAACGTACCCGAAAGGTTCACGTTTGTTCATGTGCGCGTCTTGGAACATCCTGTTTGGTACCCGAACTCGCAGCCCTTCTGATGGTGTCGCATTTACCGGAAGTACCTTATATCACCTAGATTGTGTGGCTACCCTTCTCCTTACAAATATCCAGACTGGGTTTGTTACTCGCTCTGAGACACTTAGTTTGCCGGAATGAATGACCGATACTCGGTTGTTACCTAGGTATACGCGATGATTGAAGTGCGCTTCGCCTTTCATACAACCGTTACACATGAATGTTTGCATCTGGCTCGTGTGCAATCGACTGGGGCACATTATTGGGACGCAGACATCACAAACGCCGAGGGAACACCCTTTGAACATTTTCATTCACCGGCTGCCTTTTTTCTAGCTCACTGTCAATCGTAACCTATATACAAATCTTTTTCACAGCCGCTGGGGGCTTCAAGCACCAAACAAACGACAGTTAGGTTTAATATACTGTCTGTTTACCAACTGGGAAAACTCTGGACCTCAACATCCATCTTTTAAAATTTTGTGATCTCTTCATGGGAGTGTGTACATTCAATTCAGTGAATATACTTACTGTCGACAGTTATCTCCAGGTTATTGTACATATGAAATTGGTTAGAGAATTTCAGTAGCTAATCGAAGCTAGAATAGAGTTGGTTGAGTATCGACAGACCACTTTGTTCGTGCGTCGGGATGGATCTGAGTCAGCTGGATCTAGCTGCACAAATAGCGTACCACATATCATATTTAAATTCCGGAGTTCCTCCAGCGTTTCCGTGGTTTTAATCTTGTTTTGTGTAGTTTCATGTTTTATGCTGTCTCACACACGAGCTTGCTTGTCTCCTGTAGAATTGTGTGAAAGTTTGAGGCCTAGCCCGATTTGTCCATCAGCACACTTGCGCCAAACAAGGTTCCATCTCAGCTCTTTGACAGCGTCTAGGTGTCTGTAGACGCATTGGTATTCAGATCAAAATACTGACAATCAACCCGACAGTGGGCAACTTCATCTAGAAACCCTGTCTGAAACTTCAATGCGCATGCTGTGTGGATCGACCCATAATACTTCTTCATTTCTTATGCGTGATACAGTGTAAAAGGTTAAACCACACAGTTAAAGACTGTTCTGTTCACACGTTTCGGTTTCTTCCGCCTTCTCGTTCCTTAGCTTTTAGGCTGTTGCTAGCACTTCCATCCAGATGCTCGCATTTCATATTGCATGTACCCTATAAGTAACCTCGTTTCCCCGTCAACTGTCACGAAATTTTCTTGCGGTGTAGACCATATGCAATTGGCTTCCCCACCTTCAGTTACACCGGTGTTGATCGTATCGCTTGTCTCTACTTGTTCCTTTTTTTCAGAATTACCTCCATCTTTTACTTAGAATTCCTACTGTTGATGTCCAGTTTCAGTAGTCACTTCGGATATCTGCTGTGTACTTAGATTTTTACTGTAGGGTTCATTGGAGCAGCTGCAAGTCAGCTATCATTCCATGCGTTCGAGAGAGCACCAGATGGCCGTTTCGTCCAGTCGGAGCCCATCAGTTGTACGCATCATCCGACTGCAACTAGGACCAGACCCACGACACTAGCAGCAGACTAATATGATTTACAAAATAACTGCGATATAGTGAGGCTCACCCCTTTTGCTATGCAAAGTGCGTACCTTACAGGAGACAGGTTTGGCCTGTTGAGCCACGGCTTCCCAAATAGCAGCTGTGTGACTATCTGTCATTTCTCTCCGCACGCTGAGCTCTGTTCCATGAAAGCAGAGGGCAGTGACTCAGTTTTTAAGATGCTTTGGGTCACCGGAACCATATCTGATTTCCGGTTAGTTCAGTTAAACAAATATAACTCAGGCACAGATATGCGTCGCTGTGATAATGATAGCGAATGGCGGTTCGATAAATAAGACGGTACAAAAGATAAAGTCGTGATCATGGAAGCGGTGAGCAAAATCAGTCGGATTCAAAACTTACCGGCTACGTGCATGAGACAGAATGCAGGGGCGCCATGTCGGATAAGGTCTCTAACTAGTGGTGTCCTATCCCTGGAGTCGCTATGCGCGAAGATGGCAAGCACCGAGCTAGTCAAATTTCGAACATGATTTGTTCATACATTTTTGCCATATTATCAGCCGGTCACTCAGCGATTTCGCCCAATTAAGAGCTACAACGACAAATAATGCGCACTGAAGTGGACGGTTTGCAGTCATTCGGATCATATGGCTGAGTCATCAATGGCCATTTGGTCAGTCGAACACTCCAATGATTCGCCCATAGCCTCTCTTAACAAACACTAGCAGCCGAACTTTACTAGCGCTCACTCTATGCTCCCAACAGATTTGATCAGTACCCCTTACGCAGCAGTGGTTAAAGATGAACGATCGCTTGATATCCTGAATGCAAACTAACCATTTCTCTGATCCGCGCAATAACACCTGCCGCGACATCTGGTCCTCTGGTGACGATCGATGCACTTTTCGATGCTTATGCAAGCAGGATATGTACTTCAGAACAGTGTTTCTTTGGCGTTACGCTAACGGTGACACCGGTATCTAGTGAGAACCGCTCGGTTCCGTCATCAATCACCAAACTCGCACCATTGTTTTCCTCTTCCGTTTCGGAGCACGTTACTAATTGCGACTGATGAGGTTGATGGCAGCTTGTCACTCACTCGGCTCGTGTGTCGATGAAGAGCGCAGCCAACTGTGTGAATTAATGTTAACTGCATTCTGCTTTGAACATGGACATCTTGAACGCATATTGTGACTATTGGTTAGCCTGTGGCCACGCTTGTCCGAAAGTCGGCTTTTTTGCCCACTTTGCGGACTACAGGTATATGGAGCGTATCGGACCCGGATAAGATGTAGTACAGCTGCAATATGCTGCCACCGCACAAGAATCAGCGACGTGACTCCGCGCATGTGCCCGATCCACCTAGGATGGAGCAACTCAGATTTTTAGCTCGCTCTCTATTCTCAGTATTCAGTATTCACTAGTCAGTTCACATGTCGAGCTAGGTGACCTCTTTTCACACATGTATTATGATTGCGTCCTTACGTCTGTTACTCCTCGCAGTTCTTCGAGTGCCTCGAAGTTTCAAGCCTCACTCTCTCTCTATCAGGTCTTGGTATCGCGCATCAATTTGAGTACATTGAAAAAGTGGTATGGTGTTGAGGACTCATTGTTGCGTACATCTATGCGGAGCTGTACGTTATCGGGCGCGTCCCCAGCTTGCGGATCGGGGAATGATTTTCTTGAGAAGGTAACTGCGAATAAGTCTCGTTTGCCTTGCAGGCGAGATGAATAAACAGCCGCGGACAATCAGCGGCAGCGTCGCAGAGCGTGGGGTGTTCTGGGCTGGTCACTTGGTTCTCCACTAAATAGCACAGGTGCTCGTACGGCGCCGTGTCAAAGCCAATGTGGCCGGCTATAGGGTCACTGACCACTCACTCTTGTAACTGGGGGTGACTATCTAACGGAGGGCGGATGAACAATCTCTCTGGCCACCGGCTTCTCTGTGGACTACTTTCGAAAACAATGAAGGCGAATGAGCCAGTTGGCTGTCAACCCTCTTCGTGAATCGTCCTGCTGCCTTGCGGGTCAGGTCTTTAAGATCAAAGGCTCGGGGTGGGGCCCCTTAAGTCAACCCTCTTCCTCGGCCTGGGCAATCGTGAAGCTCTCTGTCCACATAGCAAATAGGACTTTGTTTCCCGTCCTCTTACTCGCTCTCACTTTTTTTGTTATTGTTACTCATGTGTTATGGCATTCTGACAAATGTTTATTGGGCAAGTGTTAAATAATAATAATAATAATAATACATCTATGCTGTTTGATTATATTTTGTTGTTCATTGCAAGTACGACTGTTCTGCATAAGATTATCCGTCATATAGTTGCAGAACTTGGGGTATACACGAAGACGACAGTTTATCGTAAACCGACAGGCACTAATGAGTTACTTCAGGTCGCTAGAAGCATGTTTACGTTGGGCAGCTGCTGTATAGGGCACATGCCGGAAGAATCGCTCGGGAAGTGGTGATGAGTGAGCTTCTAGCCAGTGGTTTTCCGCGATAGTTCGTAGAACGCCAGTTACAGAAAGTGCTAGAGTCAGCTATGGTCCGCAACAGCGCCAATGGGAACGGTAGGGATTCCATACAGCGAAAGAACCTCGGAATTAAGTTCCAGTGTATTAAATGAGGAAAACATAGGGGTGATTTTCCAGCTGATTCAAACACTAGGCTCAGCAGTACTGCACTTGAAAGTCGCCCCTCCCACAGATAGGACAGCCAACTGCGTATATGTAATCAAATGTTCTGCCTCGGAATACGTATACATAGACCAGATTGCGAAAGATCTCTGCATACAGATTTCAGCGCATAAGAAGCGTTGATCGTGTTCCTCGACATCAAAGATGCCTTCGATTAGATGAGTCGATGTGTTCTTTGGAACTGTCTGCTCGGGAAAGATGTGCCCGAGAAATACGTTCACATTCTCGGAGCGCTTTACGTTCAGAGTAAGGGCTTATGGCAAACTGTCGTCCCCCATCACTATCTCAAGCAGTGTGATAAAAGGCTGCCAGCTGTTACCCTTCCTTTTTAACTTCACCATTGCCGAAGTACTGTGAACCGCATTCATTGGACACGACTCGGAAGTTGTGGAGCTGCTCCCAGGTGATCGACTTCTTTACTTGAAGTGCGCCGATGATATTACCCTAGTCTGTGACAGCTCCCAAACGTGCTAAGAAACACTGGACAGATTAGCTCTGACGCACCGTTTCGGGTTTTGCTTCGCTCCCTCGAAATACAAAGTTTTCCAAGATTGGCAGGGACCCACCCTGCGCTAACCCTTGGTGCTGATCAGCTAGAAGTGACCGGGAAATTCGAGTGTCTTGTCAGCTATATCCTTACCAGTGGAATAGAGAATCACGAACCGTATAGCAAAAGTTTGAGGCGCTTTTGCTAATTTGCGCCACTTGCAGCGCCGGCGCGACATCACTCTCACCCTGAATGATGAAGTTTACAATGCAGCCATCCGTTCAACTGTCACGTACGGCTCCGAAAACTGGCCCATCAGATCGACAGAATTAAAGAGACTAGTTACGTTCGATCATCGCTGCCTTCGCAGCCTAACTCATGTCCGGTGGGAATACCGAGTGAGCAATGAGCGTGTTCGACGCCTTGTTTATGGTACAGGAAGGAGAAATGAACCGCTCAGCACCAGTATTTCAGGCACCAAGCCCAATGGGTGGGCCACATGTTGCGCATGCCACCACACTGACTCCCGCGTCGTGCATAATTTGCGCACCAGGAGTTGTGGATGGAAGAAGAGGATGAGTGAACAAGCGATAACTTGGTCAAAAGGAATGAAGTCCCCCACTTCGAACTTGCCTTCGGTTGATGTCTCCCGACTGCTTGGCTGGGATCTGAAGGATGATGAACATCTTTGGATGAATACACTTGTTGACGGGGGGAAGAGCCGGCATCAGCGGCGCTTTTTATTGTGTTTCTTTGTCCCTCCCCTTCAGCTAATCTTTCCCCTTCCAACCACGTTCTCACACCTGATGCGTACTATGGTACTAAGCATCACATTTGCATTCCATAATGTTTCAGATATCTTATCATTTCGTATTGCGGCACAGTTAGCCGAAGTGCTCACCTAACGTGTATTGATGATTGAGTAACAAGCGTATTCAACTCCTGTTGAGGATGAGCCTAATTATAGAGCACCGCTATCGCGGTACATACGCTGGATATATTGAGTGAGATCGATTTGGATATCTCCGAGATCATTAGAGAAGCTTAGCGAGCTGTGCCCCCGAGGCGGCGAAAATCGCGAAAGCAAACAACGTTTGAATTGTTTGGATGGGGTGGAATGCTCAAGTGCATGGATAGCAGTCCTTAGTCCGACCAATCTGACGAGCGTCGATGCTGAGAGTCGGTTCGAAAGCGAACATTGATCCCCCCATCGTCATCAATGGAATACTCCTGAGGCACTCCCACTCTAACCCTACTACTTGAGATGGCTTCTCGACATGTGATCGTAGTGAGTTCATTATTCATCGTTGGCTTGACCCAGTGATAAAGGCGTTACCGGTCCTTCACGACATCCAGGCACCACTCCTAGCACTTCCCTTGTCTATACAGAGACCGCAAGCAATAACGAAACCGGTCATATAATGGGTTGTTGTGAGGGAGAACACCATCGAAACTCTTCACTCCAGATGCAGTACTAGTGATCGAACTAGCCGAGGTTTACTTCAAGGGAAATCGCGGTGCCAATGCAATTTGCATTCCGCAATCCAGACACACGGTGAGTAATACGAAACCCAACAGGGAAATTCTAAGCGCCGGGACAAGTTCCGTTTGCGGGCACAATCGCGTAATGATGAAGGCGTCAGTCGTCAAATACGCGTGTTGGATTCCCCTGTCCGCTCAGTCTGTGTCTGCAGGAAAACCCTAAATAATGACCAAGCCAGTCTTGGGGTATAGCGCCAGGAACCGGTAACGCTGAAACTTTCCGGACTTGTTACTCATGCATCTGTTATCGCTAGTATCGATGTTGCTTGTTAAACATGTCGCATAACTGCATACCGACTAACCTGACCTAGTGCATCAGAAGCGAAACGATGCCCAAGAAATGATCAACCCATCGTTTCCAAACCTCTATTGGCCCTCTTGAATCTCTTTTTCCCTACTTAATTGCTTTCTTCTATGTCCAGTGTGGTAAGAGTTCGGTCAATCGGTGGAGCTTAGAATATCGAGTTTCTCCTGTTTTTCCGGTGCCACTGGACAAGATCCCTCAGAAGTGCACGAATTACTCAGCAATGACAAATCGGCAAACCCAGACTGACACCCGGATTTCACAGCACCTTGGCGTTTATTATTGCACGGTATGCAAGAAGGCCGACGCCATTGTCATGTTTTTTGACGAAACGTTTTCTTGGCGTTGGTCCAGTGGATCACAGCACATGAAACTTCCTGGATTATGCACAGTAATTATCATCGTATCTTCCTCTGCTTGATTTGACAATGGCAAAGAGATCATTTTTAAATGTCGGCACTTCTGAGAAAATCTCCAAAAGACACCTCACACTGCTGAGGTCGTAAGCGGAGTGACACAGAAATAGGATATTGGCACCAAATCGTATCGTCCGTACGTTGCGTAACAAGGTGCGTGAATCACTGTAACAATGGTCTACTCCTGGTCCGATCCTTTCACTATCATGTCCCTTTTCATATCTCCTTTTCCGCACAACATAAGTTGTTCCGTAACCCCTTTGATTGTAACATGTGTGGTGACCAGATCCGCCTCAAACCAATGCTCACGGGCAATTAATCGGTTGAAAATAACTGCTTCCTACTGCAATTTTACCCAACCGAAGCGATCATAAGCATGCTGGACTAGAACCATCGAATCCACTTAAGTCGTTCGAATCAGCCATAGGAGACTGAGACAAGCAGCGCGAATCTGCTCTTTGCGTTCGCTGTTAGACGGCTTATCAACCAAAAAATCTTGTTTTTAATCCCATTTCTTCTCGAGATTGTTTTTCTCGCCCTGGTCATCTGTACGATTCATCATGCGCACTTTAACCTGGGATTTGCGGATCCTTTTTTTTATGAAACCAGTCGAGGTGTGCATTATTCCTCATCTGTGCAGTCTCTGTTCACCTTTTACTTTAGGCGTAGCAGGTGCTCTTACTCCCATGACTGCCGTGCATGTCATCCTCGTTTCACCTTTCGGCCTTAGACGGAGAATGCGCAGCTGATGTCTGCATGAGGACTACACTAAGAATGTTTGGTCTTATTTCCATTGATGTTTTATTTGACACTACACTCATCGTTGGTGTTAAACATCATACATTTTAATGGTCACACAATTAATTGACTTTTTAGGACACCACGGAGTCATCTACCCCGAATCATCAATCCGCCTTTGGTCATTCTCACCCTACGAGCATTCAGACGCAAGATTTGCACCCGAAAATCTTGTGCACTCCTTTAATGGTCACAGCGGTGTGCCAGTTGTTGTCTAACTTGTTGCATCAATTGCCAAAGCTAGTTCTGGCCGAATCGTCGAGACTGCGGATTAACTCCCTCCTGATGAACATTGTGGATCCAAGTATGTTGTCGTTATCGTTCGCCAGGTCACTCCGCCACTTCGCTTAAGTCAATTTATTCTCAGCCTAATTGCGTTGCTTTTTACTCATTAACTGTCATATTCCTTGGAAGCTTCATTTAAATCTTCAGCTCGTCACATTTTTATAATGTACCATCTTCCTTTGTTCATGTAGCTATTGTTTTTAGGATTTACACGAAACAAAGACGTGGTTTTACCTTTTTTCTATCTGAGGAAAGCGATATCAGGACCAAGCACTGCACATGGAGGTCGGCACACGTAGTCCCGCATGCATTTGGCCATCAACAAAGTTAGCGGCGGTATCATCTTGAGTATACATGCCTGCTCCAACTTGACCATTAAGTTGTAAGCGCCTGCATCAGCACGCAGTATCTCATCCGCGTGGCATCGTTGTGGACATTTCTCTTGTGTCACTTGATGAGATCGGTTCTCTTAAGTTGCCTGTCACTAACTGGAAACATCTATAGAGTGTCCATACCTATAGTTGGACCGCGGGCGAATCGCACTACACCAGTCACAGGTCCACACCATGTGTGAGGTACATACCTGAGGTATCTAAACCGAATTGAGAGTGAGAGAGCCAAGACTTTTCGTAGCCGTCTCAAGTGTCAAGAACCCACGTGCAGACGAATCCACATGGCATCGTTCCGGAGTCACATGTAAAAAAAGACGAAGACAGAGTATGTGACGTAAACTGCAATGGGTTGCACGCATCGTGGGAGCACATCATTCTTACAGCTTTACTCATTGTTGTAAAACTCAAAAGCGTTTTTTGTTTCTCACTGCTGGGGAACATGTACAATCCCTTCTCCGGCGAACATCGGCAGTTTCGTGGGCATAGTAATCCTAGTGGCGGCATTAGACCTTGGCAATGCATTAGTGTTAGACCAAACCTGACATCATTTGGGAACGTCCGCAACAGCTCACTCGCACCAAGGTGCCATATCATCAACCGCAACGGTTTGGATAAACAAACTCCGCTGGAAAAGCGCGCAAATTGTCTGCGTTTACGTTTAATCACTGAACTTAGTCGATGCGTGTTCGAATTGAACTGATATTGTCTCCGCCTATGGGTTGCGGGGCCGACTGGGCACACATAGTGACGATGTGTGTCATCCATTCACACATACCAATTGTGTATCCCACTTTCGTGCTTTCAATGTGGCGCCGCTTCCCCGATCATATGGGCAGCTGCGTGCCACCTGTTGGCGCAGTGGTTCCTATGTCTGACTTGTACTTCCTGGGTCACTGACTCGAGTCTGCGGCTGATCGCGTTGGTATGGCTGCGAAATGCTGATATCCAGTTCACACAAGCGACAATTACCATGCGGCCATATCGATGGTATTGATAAGCTTCATAATACAAACCTTGTTGTCTTGGTAGCAACCTGTCATCGTCTGCATTTACCTCAAAATTTCCAAACTTACCAAATTCCTGTGCCATGTATCGTTACTATACCAATAGAAATGCGACTATGTACTTCGGGGTTTTGCGTTGCTCGATTCTTACGCAATGGAAAGTATTCGGCTACAAACAAACCGCCTATGTGAATCAGCGCAAGGATTGTAGTGATTCAAAGGAATGCCATTTTCATGACTCTCATTCTCGTTTCCGTCGGATTTCATCGTGCCTTATAGCGTATGTCATAATTCATGACAACTTTACACCTCATACCGTTTGTATTCATCCACTATTTACGCAACTACTTGCCAACATTGACCACCGATGGACGGTTCTCTCACACTTTCCGTTGCGAAGCGCAGGCGTCGCCACGGATACTGATGCGACACATGCTGTATTGTCTGTTTGTTGCAACCGGTCCACCTGTAAATCGCGGTACTCGTACTGCTTCCTATGTTTGAGGTCACTTCCTTTTGATATCCTCGCTTTCATCGCACCGGACACGATGCCATTATCTCGACTACCTGCCGCGGGTTCCCACTTGTTTGCTGAATGAGATATGTGTGGCGCATAGTTTTCGTGACACCGTTGATTTCAGAGCGTGGTGCCATCAGAAAACCTCAACCGTCCCCGGATTAATAATAAGGTATATTATATCTCGACAGCAAGAGATACAGCTAGCTTCGGGATGGCTGATAGTACTGGGGTGTTGTGTCGCATAAGATTGCATTTAAGGAAATTGTATAACGAAATAATAATACCAAATCTGGTAGGTGCAGCTGTGATTACGTCCACTGCTAAAGTGTGTACGGAACACACTGTGATTTCCTGCATCTAAGCACCCACCTGTTGTAGTGTGGAACTCAAAATAAGGGTGTCCATTGTTGATTATCTTCCAACAGTGAAACTCATCGATTAATCGGATTTCTCTTCTGGAGTCTCGCTCCAGAGTTATACAACTTCATCGTTGTTAAGTTGGATCGGACAAATTTATTCACAGTATTCCAGAACAAGTAAAAGAAAATAAGAGGTGCATAATGTGTAAAATAAATAGTTGCATTATATCAGAAGTCAAATAATGCACGCCAGTTGACAACCGTTGCATAGTTGTGTGAAATATAAACAAGCGGAGAGCTTATACGAATACACGTGATATAGCTGATACCCAGTTGGATCGACCTGCTGGGTGCTGATGCTTCGAAATCTACCGACCGGTAAGCAATAGAACCAGTGAATGCAGGTCGTGTCCCCGTATGGCCATTGTGTTCGTTGATCCGTGTTGAAAGTTTCCTTCCATTGTACCCCATGTAGTGTTTGTCACACACTTTTCAGTTAATTTTGTAGATGACATCATTTTGACTGCCTTGTTTGACTTTATCCTTCGGTCTTGAAAGCAATCCAGTTGGTTTGTGGGTTACCAAGATTCACTGTGGTCGTAGCAATCTCGACGTTAGTTTAGACACGTTCTTGACGTAAGGAAGCGCTACCCGTTTATCTATGTTTTCCCGCTGTTGTTGATGCATTCTTTTCTTTAGCCTTCTTTTGATGGTTACTTTGATACCAGTTGTTTTGCAATATCCGGTATAGATGATTCTCCTCCTACTTTCTCAATTCTGTCATGCTGCAGTATGTTTCGGCGCTTCGGAATAGACTTTGAATGCAGCTTTTCGCGTGGTTCAGTGATGGTTGCTGTGGTAGTTTAATATTTGGTCTGTGTGGGTCTTCTTTCGATATACACATGTTTGAAGCGTTCCGTCAGTGTTTCTGTGGACCAATACATCTAAAAATGGTAATTGGTTGTCTTTTTCGAGTTCAATGGTAAAAGAACGAACAGCATTTATGCGGGATAACCTGAATTCAGATTATTTCGTGTCTTCTCATTCAGCCGCTTACAGACAAATCGTGGAAAGAGTAAAGGAATGCAGTTGAAAAAGGGGGTCAGTGGGAAAATCAATAAAACACTGAGCAAACCAAGTTCATTGCCTGCGTCTTACCAGGGCAAGGCAAGACTGGACACAAAGTCTACCTGTTTGCAAAGGTTTGGTTTCATTCGTCGGATGGCCGAGGCTTCAGCGAAACGAAGCAAGCTCGCGTTGTTTTGTCTGCTGATAACCTTGAATGCGTCACGTGGGTTTTCGCACAAGGTACAATCGAGCAGATGCTGAGCAATGGAGCTGGCAGGGAGTTTTGGTGCACTATTTGCCAGGTTCCGTGGAACTTGTTCCATGGTCCTAGTTGATAGCCTTCTCTCTGTTCGGCCAATGTACATGCTACCGCAAGTACAGATGAATTGGTAAACACATGAGGCGGTAATCTGAGAGTGAGGCCCATCCAAGTTGGATTCATGGAACAGCTTCTTGGTTTGATGTAACAACACGAGCTCAGCTGCGTAGTAGCACCTTTATATGGCTTGGCGTAATCGGTAGCACAATCTTCTGTCGTTCTGTTCCCCTTTGTATGGTAGCGTGATGAAGACCTTTTTCTTTGGGACATCCATTCGTGTTTCTTTCTTAGCAACCTCATTCCGATACCTGGCGATGAATTTATTAAGATAGCCGTTATTGCGTAGGTTAGATTCGATGTATCGTAATTCAGCCTCGATTGACTCTTCAGAGCATATTCGGTGTGCTCTAACAAAACAAGTTCGAACTAGGGATCGTTTATAGTTCATTGGACAGTAACTGTTGAGATGTAGTTATTGTCCGGTCCAGCTCGCTTTCCGGTAAATCGATCTTATGAGTGAACCATCTGCTTTTCTTTTAAGTGAAACGTCAAGAAAATGAAATGAATCCTCTGATTCGCTTTCCATAGTGAACTTGATGTTGGGATGACATTTGTTTAACGTTTCCAAAAGGACTTTCGCTTGTTGGACAGTGTCAACTACAACAAAAGTATCGTCAATATACCTCGTGTAAAAGTGTGTTGCTCCAATGACATCGCGTAATAAGTTACTCTCCAAGTGACCCATAAAGATGTCAGCTAGAATCGGTCCGAGAGGGCTACCCATCTCCACGCCTTCAATTTGACGATACATATCCCCATTAAAGCAAAATTGGATGTCTTTCGTACAAATGTTGAGTAACGTCTTCAATCGATGTGCAGGCAGGCCAACTTTGTCCGCATGCTTATTTATGATGTTCAATGTCTCATCCAAAGGAACGTTCGTGATTTTCCTATTGACCCCCTTTTTCAATTGCATTCCTTTACTCTTTCCACGATTTGTCTGTAAGCGGCTGAATGAGAAGACACGAAATAACCTGAATTCAGGTTATCCCGCATAAATGCTGTTCGTTCTTGCTCTCTCCAATGGTAAACTTGATATCCAGGAGTGTGTTGTTGATTAGCTCATGGGTATTCTGTACCGAATCTCGTTTGATGATAACAAACGTGTCGTCCACGTACCGGATCCATAATTTTGGTTTGATTAATGGTATTGTGATACTCTCCAGTTTTTGCATCACAGCTTCCGCACTTAGTCCTGAGATGAACAATCCCATGGACGTTCCTTTCAGTTGTTGGTATACTTGCCCATCAAAGTAAAATTAAGTTGTCACGCAGAGGTCCAAGAGTTCCCGTATGCTCTCCGGCTTGAGGTTACCTAGTGTGTTCGGTTGATTTCGAAGTAACTCCATCATGGTTTCTTTTGCAACTTCGTGACGGATCGACGTGAAAAGTGCGGTAACGTAAAACGACAGCATAAGTTCATTTTCCTCTATTGTAACACACTTCAGTTTGTTGATGAATTGTTCAGCATTGATGATGCTTTGTTCAGATCCGGCAATTAGATGTTTTACTTTCTTCCACATGCATTTTGCCAATTTGTACAATGGGGTTCCTGGCAACGAGATGATTGGACGTAATGTGGCACTGTCTGTGTGCACCTTTGTTGGTCGATAGAACCTTGCAATGTTTGTATCCTCAGCTTTCATCTTCCATCTCTCCTGCTTGGTAATCTCACTCGTTGTTTGTAGTTTCTTCAATGCTGTGTTGATTTGAGTAATCAGTTTCGTACTGGGATTCTGATCTATAGGATGGTATGTGGTCGTGTCGGAAAGTTATTTGGCCTTTGCAACATAATCTGGTATATCCATTATTACTACCATGCTTCTCTTGTCTGCTGGTAGGATTACAACATTGTCTTCCATTTTTAGCCTTCTGAGTGCTTCCCGTTCTTTTGCAAGAGTATGTGTGGACTTGTTGCGAGTTATCACATCTGTTTGTTTAATTTGCTGCCGCGATTCTTCTGACAGTCCGTCTGTGTCCAAAACCTGTTCCAGCTTAACCAAGTAATCCTTATATGATGCATCTCTGGGGTTAAAGTTTAGTCCTTTGATTAGTATGTTCTCCTCCGTTGTGCTGAGTGGACGGCTAGACAAGCCTTTGATCCATCCTTCACTGTTGGGGTGATCAGACTTTCTCGTAAGCTTATTCAACTTGATATTCAGTGCTAAGTTACGCTGGCTTCTGATGTTGTTTACTCGACGTTGAATCGCGGATTCAAGCTCTAAGTTTTTGAGGCACATCGTAATAAGAGAACAGAACGCCAGACAGATGCGTCAGACGCGCGCGTACGCTACGAGGCGAGAATCAGAGATCAATTTCGATGGTCATGAGCCCGTCGAACAATCCAAACTCAGACTAACCGCTAGAAGATCGGTCACTCACACTCACTGGCGCTTCGTACCGTGCCGCTCTGCTACATAAACGCGCACTGACGATGTCACGGCGTGTAGCGACGAAACGTTGGCAGTCTAACTGCCAAGCTCAACTAATACTCAGACCACCAACTTTTGCATCGTGAGGCCCTTTAAAGGAACATTCCATGATAAAGTCCATGACAAAATGGAATCAAAATGGGAAATTCGGACAAGTCTGACGAACGCCACATGTTATCGGAATGCTATCCGACAGGTCACCATATACCCTGACGTGTTCGAGTATAGAGCACGCAAAAGTTTCACCTATTCCGTGGGAACACCTTTTCGCGCAAGTATTTCGGACAGAATTCATCGATCGACTGGATCGAACGCACTCTTAGAGTCGAGGAACACAGCTATTGTCGATCCCCGGTACATGTCGCGCTGTTCTGTCACCTGCCGCATAGTGAATATATGCTCTATACAGCCCCGCCCAGGCGAACGCCTGCTTCCTCTTCCGTAACGCGAGATTGCCGTTCGGCAGTCATGTGACAAACGAGAATTGAGGCTAGTAATTTTGTCACCACCGGCGTTAGGCTAATACCCATGCTTGCCTACATCACCTGAATAGGTAGAGGTCCAGAAGCATAGAGACAACTAAACTGCTCTCGGAACTGCTAGATCCAACGAGCCATATGGCGTTCCTTAATGTGAAACATTGCAACTACTCTCTCTGATTGTTTCCTTAACGCCTAGTTTTCTGGGACCAATGCTGTGTATCAGCTGGAATTGCTTACTATAATTGCCTACTGCTCCTGCCTCCCCCATTTCTTGAGTCTTACTGGTCACCAGGCTTTCTTGTCAACACGCAGGATCCACTTTAGTTCCCGCCTAACAGTCCGTCTGATCACATTGCGCTTTTAGAGCCATCCGAGAAGTTTCTCCTGGGTTCCAACAGATTCACCGAATTCTACGATATCCAGTGACTGGTGCGGTGATGATCGATAGTGCCACAATCAGATGCTTCTGTATCGTGCATGCCAGTCGAGATCCTATGCCATTGAAGTTCCGTGTAATTAGGATACGAGACCGAAGTTCGGTATGCAGTGCATCCTGGTAGTCTTGCATGACCGAGGGCTGAGACAATTTCTCAGTCGCCTATTGGGAAAGTCGCTTGGTGCGCCTCCCGGTAAAGTTCATGGAAAACGACAGCGTACCAAGGCATGATCAGAGTCGACGCAGGTATTCCAGAACGAGTGGCAATCCAGGATGGAACCACGCCACCTTTAACTTATAGCAATGTGGTCAATTTGGGACTATCGCTGGCCAGCTACAGGGGATGCCAAGTGGCACTTCGGCGCCCACAGTGTCTAAAAGCAGTGCTACTAAGAAATAACTGGTGCTTCGCACACAGTTGCTACAGACACTTGCCGTTGTCAATCTGTTCGAAGTTAAGTCCATAATTACCACCCAACTGAGCTCACAGGCCCTACTTGTGCGTCCACATCCCCTATCTGAACTAATAGCACTGGGTAGTAGCGCGTTCAGTTCGTGATAAAATGTGTCCTACACAGCATTTGAACTGCAGTCGGTTGGGAGCATAAGCGAAAATCACAAACAAACAGCGTTCTGTACTATTTCGTGAATAAACTTTGGGTGATGTCGTAAACTTGCTGCACATAAACGGCTGTTCACCGGAATCCAATCAACCAACGATGAGGTAGCTTTGGAACTGACTACGATACCTTCTCCAGCTTGATCAGTGATTGCTGCATTAGCGTCTCCGGATGCACGCAACCAATAGAGAGAGGACAAACAAGGCGTAGTTAATTCAACAATCCCGTTAGGGTCATTGATCCTAGTTTCGGACACACAACACGTCAATACCCAGTGTGTCCAGCGTGCGTGGGAGTGCAGCCTGTTGATTTATTTGTCTTAATGTGCGAAGGTTGAACACCGCTGGGGAAACAGTACAGCGTGGCCTTATAAGGGGCTGTTGCCGACAGGCGTCCAGTGGGTGTTGCGGGAAGGTAGCTACAGATGTATTGACTTCAGTGGCCCTGCGGCTGCTAGGAATTATTGAAGGAAGATTAATAATGGGGGTCGGGATGGGAGTAAGAGAAACAGGTGGAAGAAAGAAAGGCGCCAACAGTAGCATGTTTTCGCTTATCCGCCCTGCTGTATGCAGCAGATAAGGCGACCCTTCATAACCTGCGCGACGGCTGATGCCGGGTGTGGTTGAAGTTTGAAGAAGTAGTCACGATTGTACGTGGGCTGAGATACTGCCATGGCGCTCAGACTTAGACTGGCGGACAATTAAGGTCGTCAACTAAACCCTTTGGCTCAAAAGCCTGTCCGCAAGGCAGCAGGGAGGTGACAATGTTTTAGTTTTACAGAGATGGACGCCATCTCATTTCAAACCTCCAACCTGGAGGGCCATGAGACTGTGTTTGTCTGACCTCGAACCATTGACTAACCTGGTATGAGTAGCTCTCAAGGTGCACGGATGCACCACCCAATTTAGCTCAGTGGGTCAAGGGGGTACGCAAACCGTCGTACCACGTTAAGGTCCAGTCACGCTGCTGAGATGAAAGCCGCTACATCGGCGAATACCGACGATTGTCGGTTTTTGACTACGAAAGATAGCTTTTTTGAGAGCAACATCAGGTGAGCAATGTGGAAGTTTGTGACTGAGTGCTTGGAGTGAAAAGTCCCTGCCTCCAAAAGTTTTTTCTCCAAAACTACACACATTACCTCGGCCGCGTATTGCGCATTGCAGTCTATATTTACGTCTGACGTTATTTACGCTCCCGGAAGAGATTGCAAAGTGTGCTGCCGTGGACAGCCAATGATGTGGAAAACGAATATGAAGAAAGCAATCCTAACCTTAGCATCAGTCAGACCAGTGCGCCTTCCAGGCTGGGGTCCATGTGACAGACTCCCACGAGTTACAAGCATTGTATACTATGATCCGCAATAGACTACACTGGCGCTATTGTTCTACAGTAGTATCTACCGTTTGATGTTCGATCGAAACACAGGAAAACAAAATGCCGTATGAAACAACGAATAACTGTTACTTACTTTTCTGCTGCCGTATTCCATTTCGCCGTAGTTCTGATGGTACATATTCTGTACTCAGACACTGCGCTCAAGCTCATTTGCTTCTCCCTGTTTCGACTACAAAAATCTGCCTGTATAAAGCGAACATGGTTAGATGTCACTTGGCATGTCAAGTTGTTTGGATTCAGGTCCTCTTTTCGACTCTTGTCATGAGTAGGAAGTTTCCTATTAGCGCCCAGCTTGTTGACATGGCGTTTGGATTATTCGCTCCTTTGTTCCTCCATCCCGCTTATTTTCCTCCTTTAACCGCCAACTCACTCCCGACGCAGAATGTGACTTCAGTTTTGTTGATTTTTCCGTTTTCATTCTTTTCTGCAAACTTCTTTTCGGTTCGCATTGCGACACGATGGTTGAGGTGTTTCTCAACTCTAGCTTACGTGTAGAATAATTATGGTGATTACGATTAGCGCCTAGCAGTCACGTAAGTTCCAGCATACACAGTTGTTTTATCTCTTCTCCGACGACCCCGTCGTTTTCATCAACCCCTTTTAGCTACTACGTCGGCAAATCGCCCCGCTATTTCGTTTAAGTATGTTAAGAGACCCACTTGTAATTTATTTGAACCATAAAGCACGCGGCATCATTTGCTGTTTCACTCTCTAGCAATTTTCTTGTTGGCACTTTCCACACTTCTTTGCGGATCAGCTCTTCTTGAAGCCTTCCTGACAGCCAACTCCGCAGCTAGTTGCCGCACCTGCTCAAACAACGGTCGTGTGTGCATGGATTCTTGGTCTACAACAGCGGGACAATTGATATCCGCTTTTTCTGCTTGCTTACGTGTGTTGCGTTGCCAAGCGGCAATGCATAATGCGTTTCGAGCACAGCTTGCTTCAGATGCACGCTTCTTGGCTCAGCTGATTCGTAGTCTGAAGTACACAGGTAAGCCGAATAAACAATCATCTGGGTTCTCTTGTGCCATACCCAATCGGCTGTGGAACCCGTCCTCATGTGTTGGTTTTCATTTGGTGCCAGATTCCATCGACCTGTTGGCTCCTTTGTGGCGTGAACTATTCGTGCTGCTCACTTACGTTCTGTTACCATCGGACGACACCGATGCCGATGATCTCCGGTTCCGCTTGATCTTGCAGCCGCTTGCATCTCAGGTGGATGCGGTTCTTTTGATCGCTCTCGGCATGATGGACCGAAGCGAGTCAGAGTTGGTCGGTCAGTGCGATTCACCTCAACGGAAAAAGTGAGCAATCTGACTTGTGATTTCTCTCATTCAACTGAATCACAAATCAACCATATTTCTCTGATTCGCTTTCAGTGACGCTTATTACTGCAAAATTTCGCGGTCGACTCTCGACTTCATCACCGTGGCTCTTTCGTGCCACCGGCCGCTGTCCTCCAATCCCATTCTGCTCAAGATGGAATCGCAGGCATCCTCTACTCAGACCTTGGTGGCGTCATTCACTCGACGCCTAATCTCTTTGACCTCCGCTAATTCATCGGACAGCCAGCCGGATAAATTGGCCAATTCTACCAAGCGCCCTTTTGTAGTACACCTCACCACCAAGCTGCCGGCCAGCTTTACAAGCTATCGCCGCGCCTTGTTGGCTACACTGCGCACGTTGTTAGGTGTGTGTCGTTCTGCCAAAGCTGTTGCTCTTGAAGGTGAGTCCCCAGCTAGAATATTTTTCTGTAATACATATTATCTACTGTGTTGATTGCTCGATTAGCTTCCTTGGTCTGCACCGTCCTTCTCCCCCGGCTTTTTCTTCGGTCTCCTAATGTATTCAACAGATGTATCGTGTCCTATATTCGAAAGTCACCATTTTAATTGATCTTATGTGTATCCTGTGTTCTTTTTGTAACGGTGAATTTAAGCATGGAAACTCCACAGGCATTCAACCAGTGGTTATAGCGTATTCATGAACTCCGGAGTAAAGTTCATTGTGCTCTAATCAGTTCACCGGTCAAGATAAACTGCGAGAATCACTTTGTCTATGTTCTCAAAGCCCTTCGTGTGTTTGCTATTTTATTTTGGTGTCATCTCTGCTGCAGAAGATTTTTGTCACACTTGTTGCCTGTTGTGATTCGCTACCCTAGGGTTACCCTGATTGGCTGAACTTCACTCAACACTGATTGATCGAGTAGCGGATACAGCATTACCCTCTTTTGCTCTTCGCCCCAGATAATCTTTTGGAACAACTGATGCTGAACATGAAGCTCGTTCAGGCCAAGATGGACTTTTGTTTCTTGTCCGCGCAAACTGGTACTCCCACCATTGAACGTCGGCACCATACTACTTGGACATGGAACACACTGTCAGATGATCTGGTCTCCAAAATGGAAATCGTGCATAACTTAATCTACGTTTACTCAGAAGCGCGAAGGCGAGTTGTGGATGCTGGATTTGCTCAGGTACGCAATGACTGGTCACTGCCATTTGCAGTAGGCTAGAATCGGGGAATATAACGGCTTCTTATTCGTCGCTCTGAAGCGCGTCTTCTGTATCCTCTCGGTCTAGGGGAGTAACAAGTTCTTGCCAGTGACGTTTCTACTTTATCGACGCTCTTTTGTACTGCCCACCTTGCCCCACTATTTTACAGTTCACTCAGCGCCTATGGCCTCTCGCTCTACAAGACGATCGTATCCTTCACTCTCTCCTTTCTCTGCTAACCAATCTCACTGCGGATTGCCCGTACGCGAGCGCATCCCTCGTCAGTAATCCGAACGCTATCCCCTCCGGTTCGATCAGTAAGGTGGCACAAGAAGAGCGATTCTCACAGGCAGCCAGGGATCGAGGCCCATCTGGTGCTATGCTCTACCGAGGTGCGATTTCGGCCGATCACCATTCTATTGTTTTCACTTAATCTATCTCACTATTCACAGTTGTATCCAGCGACGTGCCCGTGTTAGACGGAGATACATTGTTCACCATGATGCTGATGACAGTAGTATTCATTTGGTGCTGTTGCATCGGACGATGCCTCCACTTTCCTTCCCGATATCGTTATCATCCGTAACTAAATCCGGCTGTCGTGCTTGAAATCGCCAATGATGGGGTTAAGGGGGACGTATTTAAGAAATCTCTGTGGTAGCATTCGCTGTGTGAACGACTTGTGAATTTCATCAATTCGCTTCTTCCCTGCATCTTGTCCTCCGCCTTTTCCACTAGCATCGATTTTCTTAACCAATTTAACCCACATGGAAATGTCCTTGCGCCGCTCATTTCACGTAGGTTTCACACTATTCGTCCGAATGAATGGAACACCGGTTTCCATAACAGATATCCTCTCTGTGAACATGATATGAACTCCTCTTTTGAGACACCGGTTGAATATGTGTTGGTACAATGCACTGCACGTCTGCTAAGACCTATGGTCTCATGTTTCACACTCGATCCCCGTTATGTAATCCTAAATAGCAAATTGATTGTTTATGCGTCTCTTCATTTCATCTATGAGGAGCATTCTCTTGTGATTGTGCATTACTAAAACTTGCGTACATCGGCGAACGTTCACACTCTTCTGCACCTGTTACTCCCATCCGTTTTAGGTCAGTCGACACCCACATCTGGAATGTACGATGCGCCGGGTGCGTCTGCAGCCGTTCAGTCTTTGGTACAGCTTTTATATCGCCTTGTGCATCCCATGCTATCCCATGGATCTGTAGGTAACACCGCCACTCAACTCTCTTCATCCCGATTCTCCACCTCCACTGGAAAGCTGTCCCCAGCACCACAATCGATAAACGAAGTGACGCTGCGGTTCGTCTTTCAGCTCTTAGCTAACATGATGTGGGCTGCGGAGGCTCGTTGTGCATTACTCAAGGTGAGAGGCATGCCTGTGTGATTATTTTCGACCTCAGAGTGTCTCAGTCGGCAGTTTCTGTGTGGAACGAAAGCGACCGTCGAGCATATACCTCCAACACAATCTCATAGATGACAATAGTTGTCATATTTCTCGTTGCGTTTCCAGAACATGGCAGATAAAAATATATATATTCTCTTGTGAAGTCCTCTCCATCAGAGACCCCCAGAGTATCATACAGCGATGGAAGTACTTAACGAAAATGTCCAAATTATTCCAAGGTTATTACTTTACCCATGTTTGGGCTCCCAGGTAACATAAAACCATCACACCGGCTTCTACATAAAGTACTTGTCGAATACAGCAGAATGGATGTATAAAAACGGACTACTGCTGGTACCCCGTTCTTTATTTTCCATATGGTTTGTTAAATCTCCCCTCATCCGAATGACTAACCTTAATTCGATATTTCCGGGCGTAAATGACGTCAACAAGATAAGCTGCATGTGAACTCTATTCCGCAGGATCAAATCACACCACAGTGTTACGGAAGCAAAATGAAAAAGAAGAGAAACATCTGTTTACGTACTTCATTCACAACAGGTATCCACGCATTTTCATGTGCAACTATGTTAATCGCAGGATTATAAGTGCCACAATTAAACCACGCCATGTATGACGAACGTCTCAGAACTGACTTCCAGACTTCTCAAACCACATCACTTGATGGTGGTATACAAACTAACAGTCACGCCGAAAGCCAGTGTTGTCTACAGGATTCCGTGCCAAAACTGTGAGGGAAATTATGTGGGCCAGACAAAACGGAAATTGACTACGAAAACACAGGGGCAAAATGTACCGTATATTACCGCGTATAAGCCGAAGACTTTTGGACAATTTCCCATGTCTGTAGTGGGGTGGGGGTCGACTCATACAAAGGTTATGCGCAATTGGAAAACAATCACATGCAAAATTCAACCCTATCTTGCCTTAGTACCACTCGCTAGTGACAGACGGTATCCCAGGCGGTGATTTGAAGTGCCTATATATAGACATATTATGTTTCTGACGAAAATTCTCGGTATATTGCACACTTGATTTTCGCGACGGATGACAGCAACAGAAACATACTGATTATACAGAATTAAACACATTGGAAAAAGAAATGACAGAATAGCATGTACCGGTAGATTTTATAGGCTCATGTCCGAACGCTGCATAACAGTATTAAAATTACTCGAAGCATTTAACCTAGAATTCGAGTCAGAATCTTCATACAGTTTCTGGTACTGGTCCTCTGTCACTTTGACGTCAAGGTAAATATCGTTATATTCAACTTCACTGCTCTCTTCATTGTGGTATTCCTCAAAAATGACATCGTCCTCACTTCTATCCATAAGATTACTGATGCAGCACTTTTTGAGTGATCGTACGTCACACTACGTTCACCCACTCTGCAATTGTAACAATGTCAACCTTTTTCACATTGCCACCCTCCGTCAACGCTAAATCAGTTGATGCCATCCATTCAATCCACCTGACCCGAAGCCTATTTTTAATGGGCTTAGTGAGACAGACATCCAGTGGCTGCAAGACTGATGTAAGTCCAGCAGGAATTAAAGCCACGGACAACTTCAGTTCACGGCCTCGTCTCCCCACGTTCTTAGTTCGGTGTGCCCTAAAGGAATCCCAAAACAGCATAGATGGTTTCTTTAAACGGGCACCGCTTCGCTTTCTCCAAACTGTATTCAGCCTTTCTATAGTGCCACACTCGTCCATCCATCCTTCCGCGTGAGCCCGCACAAACTCGCCGCTTGCAAATTTCGCTGCTTTAGGCAGCGTCCTACGCTTAAAAATAAATGAAGGTGATAGATGGGAACCATCCGCCATACACCCTAAAAAACTGTGAACCGTGTCTTCTCGTCTTTACAAGAACTGCGTTAACACCCTACTGCTCCACCGTGTGATTTGAAGGTATATCAAAGCACACAGGCGTCTCGTCCATATTTCTTATTTGGGACGGTTCTAAGTCGTATTGCTTTCTCAGCTGAATCACGAACCTTTGAAAAGATTCAACTTTGCTGTCCAATTCCTTCAGCAGTTTCGGGGTTAGTTTTGTGCGAATCCGTAGACACATGTCGAATCGGTTCATAAAACGATTGCACCATCCGGAGGAAGCAATAAGATTCACCAGTTTTGATGGCTAGAATTCTGGACTTTTTAACATTGTGAACGCCCTGATCCGAATGTTTGTTCGCGTAACAATTAACCCGCTGTGTCGTGATTCCATAACTTGCTGCGTTAACTTTTCTTCCAGTGCCGGAAACGTGATTGTTTTATCGCGCGATGTTCTCTTGACAATTCTGATTTTTCCTTCCGCAATTCTCACTTGGTTTTCATTCACCGTGAAATGTCATGCAGCTATACAATTAGTAGATTGCTCGGCAAATGCGATCACCTTCAATTTAAAGCCAGCAGCATTTACACATCGCTTTTGTCCAGACATTTTTCACGTTTCCACGACTTTGGAAGATCGCACGAAATTTGCGCATATTCCCTCTCAGCTGGATCGTGTGACGTTGCGTTAGCGCTATATTAGTTAGCTAATCACATCGTTTATACATTATGCTGTTAGACAAACCGGTACATTGAAAATACGAAATCCCACACCACCAATCGCAAACGTCTATTTCACCAGCTGCTCCACTGTGATTCAGATGCACGAGGCCCCTGACTATGTGAGGTGCTGTCTGACACCCTCTCACCTTACTCCATATTTTCGGTTGTCTCACCTGTTTCGTGTTACTTGTCATGTATTCAATACACTGTCTAGTGCGGTTAAAATCTTTGTTCTGACGGCTCTACGCTCTATTAACTGCGATCATAACAAATTAGGTCGCCAAGATATGACTAATAGTGGAGCAGCTTTCGTTTGAGCACACTCAAGTGAGAGCAGGTGGTGATAGAATTGCGAACAATCTCGTTTCTCTTCTCGCTGCTTTTTGTGGGAGTCGGCTAATATACAGCCTTACGATTTTGCACAAATTCGACGTTGCAGTCGTACTGTCGGCCTATACACGGTAATGTACGGTGCCTACAGAAACCATTATGCGTCATCTTGGTATTCGATGTACGCCGATGACGAATACAGCTTTGATTTGATTACAATGGACATTCCGATACATGGTGACACAAGGAAAGGAAAAGAATCCGGAAGCTTGGTTTTCAACGGAGAATTCAGTAAATCTGTAGATCCGCATTGATCGTGTATACCAACAACTGGGAAAGAGGTTAGACGTATTGGAAACTGTAGCCTGAACCGACACAGACCAGCGACTGAACAACGATTGTGGGCATGTTCTGCAAGCATCCTGGCCATTGCGCTAGCGAAATTGTTATGACTCAGAAATTACCATAAGCCATCCTACGTCGCAGCAAAATTCACACCGGCCCACAGAGATTGTTCGTGTATCCCCGAGTGCCCAGAGGCAACCAATCCGGATGAGGTCTAGCTACAAACGCTTGCGGTGTATGAAGGGGACATCCTCGTAAGCGACAGCATCCGTCTCTGGATTTTTTCGAAGCTCAGCACCTGCTAACAAGCTATTTGCTACTGCGTGCTGAAGATGGTGGTGAAAATTTTACAATCGAATTGATCGAGCCTTCAACTACCCGCCACTTTAGGTTCGCCATCTGCTTCCGCAACGATGATGCTAGCTACGAGAGCAATGGCTTATCACCGGTACTGACAAGCAACTCTGCCACCCATTCGCGTTCGCCACTTTATTTTGGAACAGAAATCCAAAGCGCGAGCAAGTGTGTTTCGACCCTGACGTGGCCGTACAGAGCACATTGCCAATCAGTGTTTGGTTGCTTCCGCACATGTTGCGGACCCACGGTAGCAGATTTTCTCCGCTTCATTAGTCGATCGCTCAATCGCATGCCGCACACCTTGCTGAATAAATATCCCCACAAAAATTGCGTGAATTTGATAAACGCAGTACCGGAACACTTCGGGTCACGCATGGCTCTACAGAGGCCTGAGGGAAGTTTCGTGATTGCAAGTGGTATTCACCAGAGCAGTCCGACTTATCCACTGCTTTCCCATCTTATCGTAGACTATGTCATACAGTATTCCCTCGTAGAGTCACACCGTGCGGGTTTTGAAGTCCTATTATGGTGGTGCAAAGCTGATTGATCTGGGTTACGTTGGGGAGGTCATTGTCTTCCTGTTGGACAACCGCTAGGTGGCACATTCAATCCTTGATAGGCTGTGCCGGGGTCCCACCATCTGGCGTGCGCTTTGTACCTTTCAGTTGTGGGGTGCTACTGCGGAACCATTAGCCAGTTGATGACCCCTTGATTCTTGATGCAGAGAAACTGGAGATAATTGGTGGATTCAACCATCTTGGTGTTTTCATCAGCAGGCACCGAAGGTAGGTCACGTGATACGAGAGCTGAAATTGCCTTCATGAATCCGTGACGCCTCTGACATCGGAAGCGGATTTCCGTTGGCGTTAAGGATCGATTCATGAGTAGATCCGTTATCTCTGACGGTGGAACTTTCTTCTTATACTGTTTTTGATGTGTTACGATATACTTGGCGCAGTGAATTTCGGAACAACCTATGTTTTTGCCGGCGATATCAAAATTGTCTACGCTTTTTCCCCCTGCTATTGTAGACGAAGCTACCAGTACGATCCAGCTCGACCTTCGCGCGCTCGGAACCTACTGCTCAAGGTGGGGAACGTCATTTACGACAGATAAGTGTTACAAGTGCGACATAGCATCTGGCGGTCTAACCATCCGTGATAAGCCAATTAATATATGCCATACGGTTCGGGGCCTGGGACTGAGACACTCATACCCGCTCATCTTCCCCGAACAATTAGCCTACATCACTGAATATTCTTTTTAGCTTTCAACTTAAAAGAATCCGTACTCTGCGCATATTCATCACTTTCGTATCCCTTTTTGGTATACTGCTCAATGGTGTATAGAAGCATAAACAAACGAGACCACGTTGTACAGTGAACATTGACAAAGCGCTTATTAAGTACATCATCGAAATTGGAATATTCCGAACGATGTGAGAAACACAAGCTTCATCTCCTCTGGTTGGAACGTATGAAGCACAGTCCTATCATATTCTTTAACGTCCTGCACATGGCAATAACACAACCACCATTATACAATATAAGAAATAAGGAAAATTGTATGATAGAATGCAGGTCAAACACCACCAGATTCGCTAACTTCTTTCTTAACAGATATGCACGAATCTGGAACAAATTGCCATCCGCGATATACGTGCTTACAATTCAGAGCAGGAGTTTCCCAAAAGGACCAGCAGATACTTGACCGCGCAAAACGTGATTCATCTGTTGGGATATCACATGACAAATACCCTAGGATTTATATAGTACAGAAACCAGTCTGTAACAGAGTATTGTAGTGGGAAGGCCTCTACACTCACTGCCTTCCTTCTTACTCCTACACGGCTATGCCAACGACAAAGTTATCACCAACAAATGTGCAAGGAGGAAGAAAGTCAACCGAACATATCTCCACATTCTCTGTCTTCATCGTCGATGTTTCTACAACACTTGTTGTTGTTTACTCTTACATTTATCTATTCTAGGTTCCCCTCTTTCATGTGAATGCCAACAACAGCATTCGACACTACTAAATAGCCTCGAACAAAGCTGCCAATACAATGTGCTTAAAAAATTGATACCTACTTTATACATTTCCGTATTCATATCTTCAAGGGGCCTACCAATCCCAACACAACTGTGCAACATCAGGTAATACGCTGAAACAACAGATAACTTTTATACACTATCAAAATCGATTTTCATCACTATTGTACATTCTTCGATCATTCGTGGTCGTTAAACTAGAAAATACTTTAATTTTCTGAACAGAAACATCTCGCAAATAAGAGAATATACAATTTATACCTTCAGACCTTTGTTTACTTAGCATCGATCGTGTTGTGCAGCAATAGCGTGTCAGCAATAACGAGTGCCGGGCATTGTTAACCAGGGTAATTCCTCATCTCAGCTACTGAGGTTTGTGTACGTGTTACATGTATCTGCCCATTGCTGGATCTCAATACTCGAAGAACGCAATCATTAACATGGCACTGACTCACACTGAATGCTGTTTGTTTGTTCCGCCTCCTACGTTAGGGTCCACAGGATGCACCTAATGCCTGGCTCAAGACTCTACAATGCACATTTTGCAACCTTCGTGGCCAAACTACTTATTCAATGTGCACCCTGTGCTGATCTATGTGCGAAGCAGAGTTGGCTGTGACGCGACGCAATAAAAACTACAGAAAGATACCTCACTGATGGCGCCCAATCTCTGTAATCGTGTTGTGTTGGGAATGTGCAGAAGCATTGATCCTGCAAGTTCGCTTAGAGCACTAGTTTTATGCATAAACCCCTGTTCCCATCATTTTGAATCACAGCCATAACAGTACCGTGGATGGAAATCATTCATATAGATTGCTAGCGCGCTGCTGACCATAACTAAGATGACGCATAACTGGCTAGTTGCTTCCACATACTTTCTTCACGTTGTGACCACGCATACACTACTTACCTTCAGGATACAAGTTGCACTGCACCGCACTCTGTAGTCCGCACGAACGGCTGGTTGGACGGATAACCGGCCCTTCTAACGACCATGGTTTGTATCCGACCGCATCTGGACGACTAGTTTCTGTTCAGCCTCAGTTAATACCCCCTACGTGAACGGCCGAGTGAGCAATTTATCTGTCTTGTAATGCAGACCGCCGATCAAATCCTGCCAACTGTCGGTAACCTTACGCCACCCGTTGCTCGCATGCAACTAGTTTTGGCCGTGTGGTAGTGAAGCGTCAGCGTACCGCCGATACCACATTGACTTGATTTACAACGTTTCGGTGATTGAACCGTGCTTGGTTGATGATCGGAACCAGACAGCGATTCGTAAACTTATAACTTCGTCCAAATTCTGTTCCATGGTGCTAAAACTGGTGATCCGGTTGTTCATGATATGCGCGAATCTGTGCCGACGTTTGTTCATCTGGGTGTTGTGTTGCATCTTGTATCGGATAGCGCGGCACAGCATGTCGGAGTTCTCTGTTTACTCCTCATGCAATCGATGTGCCGTGTGGAGTACCACAAGGCTCGGTTCTTGGACCTCGTCTATTCTTGGTGTTCATTAACGCTTTGGCGAGATCAAATACTTCCGATTTCCTATTTTTCGCTGATGATAACAAGATATGGCGAAGGATCAGAGGACCGGACGACCATGAACGGCTCCAGCACGATCTTAACACAGTGTCGAACTGGTCAGTTCAAAACGTCCTACCGTTCAACGTAGACAAATGTCGCGTTATACAATTACGCCACAGACATAACTACATCTATTTGCTTGGGAAAAACGGATTGCAGAATAGCTCCCAGGGACGTGACCTTGGTGTGATCGTACAGAGCGACCTAAACTGTTCAAAACAGGCTGAGGTAGCTGCGAAGAGGCAACCAGCACGTCGGCATGCTGCGAAGGGCATTCGGGAGATTTGACCCACCAATCTTCCCAATGATGCACAATTCCTACGTGCGCTCGCATGTTGAATACGCTATCCAAACTTGGCAACCTTGGTTGGAGCGCGACCTAGAAGCGATAGAGGCACCACAACAAAGAATGTAAAAATGCCTGCGCTATCACTCTTACCACCGAAGACTGAAGTTGCTGGGAATTTCCAGCGGACGCTATCGAAGCCTGTGCGGAGATCTCATATTAGCGTATTAGATACTGTGTGACCCCAACCACGTATGTCGCCATTTGCTGAAACTTAGCCACAACACGCAACTCAGGGGTAACTGCTTAAAGTTGAAGGAACAATATAGCCGTCTAGAGTGTCGACGGAATTGTTTTTCCCTTCGGGTTTGCCAACCCTGGAACGCACTCACAGACTCAGTTGTATCCTCTCCTACCTTGGATGTTTTCAAAAAACGATTAGATGTTTCTCTTAGCTCCTAACATTTTGTTACCTAAGCTCCTCTATTGTGGATTACGCCAAGCATGCTTTTCAACAGGATTTATGTATCGAATGGACCTAAGTGAGCAACCATATTTTACTTTTCTCACTCCTTACCTCAACGATCACTGCACCCCAGTGTATTTCTGAACGTTTACGCTGGATAATTTTTTTTAAAAATTTTACACTGATTTTAGTTATCAAACTATTCATCTTGGCAGACGTTCGATAGATGACCCAGACATATTTTGATTTCATCATATTCACTGCAACCATTCTACGGGACGTGTCAAGCACTTGCTTTTATCCCGTGATAAATCATTGTTCATAAGTGCCTACCGTTTGCTGCTCATTTCTTGAACACAACATGGGCATGGCAACCGGAAGTCGACCTCGAGTGGCAGCCGGTCACCAAGCATGCTATTAAGCAAGTGTTCGGTGATCGCAACTGGCGCTTTGACCTGTAGAGGTTAGTGCGAACACTCCTGTTTGGTCCAACTAGCAGCACGCAGTTATCGATGAGGCGCGCGAGTAGTACTACATCTTAACTATTTGGTTGGCGAGATACTCTGCCACTTTTGTTCACGCATCATGCAAACGAAACTTTCTGCCGAACACTTTTCACGTTCGGTCTCTGGTATCTATTAGTCCGCCACAGTCATTATGAATCCCTGTATGCGGGCCACTTGCATTTATGGTCAAAAGATCAACTGAGACTCAGGTTGCTACACAATAGGAGTTAAATTCTACACACACTTTTATGTCTTTCAGACCAAACTACTACATCACTTCACCGAGTTGGACACGCGCGTAATGTGCAAATCACGCCGTGGACAATTCACTTTGACCCTGTGGCTTCAGCTTCTGGTCAGTTTATCCTTCACACGAGATGGACAACAGATCTTGTTCGGTCAATCTCGTGAGTCCGCTTTGTTTACCTTACAAAGAATACTTTTGTACGACACGTGCTGTGATGGCTTCGTAGGGTTTTCTCATTTTCTGTAAATTTTCTATTGATATTGGCTGTCACTTCAGTGACTTTCGAATTCTGATGTCATGATTCGCATGGTAAAACAAAGCAACTTCGTGAAGCGGGGCACCCGAATCCATCGCCTTTTAATACACACACAGATACCTGAGCTTTTACTCTAAACAATGCGATACACGCTTTTGGAGACATGATCACGGAGGTGCTGTAGTGTACATTACATCAATCATGGGCAGAGCAGATAGATTCAAATGCTGGTCAGTTATTTGTGGCCGAACGGGCACAAACGGTGGTGTATGGCCTGATCTTTGTCGCAATCAAGGAATCTGTTACAGGAAGATAGTGCAAGGCCCAAATAAATGTTTGTGTTGAAATAATTTTACAGATAAAGAAATTTTACTTGGGAACTGCAAATTGTATCGGTGTGTGCCGCCGGTTTGCGGTTAAATCAAATTCCTGCTAGTAGCAGTCATCAGACCCCTCAAATTCCAATAGCTTGTCGGATTGTTGACATGTTCCCGGGCATAACAGACAGGGTTGGTAGAGGAAATCAATCAAAGGTAATTGGCTGGATCGTTTTGAGCAAGAACAATCCTGCCAAATCAGTTTGAACAGGGTTGAACGAAACGGTCGATGTGCACCCGCGCCCCTCCCCTACTTCTATGGCCCACAGCCGTTCCCTCCCCATCAGACAATGCCTCACCCAGTCGTGTAATTCGTTTCCCGTTTGTCTTTTCTAAGATCTATACCAACGACTGCCACCGTTGTCGATGTTAGTTACTTTGTCAGACACTGCTTGTATGGAACGCACTCCAATTGTGACTAACAAGACAACTGTAACGCACTGTGCTTTACGCTACAAACGCATTTATTCTTCCTTTGCTGAACTCTAGGTATACCGGAAGTGCTGGTGTCTTGTGTATCACATAGCAAAGGACACAACCGAGAACGAGCCTTGCTGGCTATGCGAAATTTGTGCACTAGCACCACACTCAAGAGTCAGCTGCTCTCCGGAGGTAAGACTGCACTAATGTCGTCATCGCCCACTCAATACGTGTCTTTCGGGAAATTTGCTTTTTCCCCGTCTCTTATTAGGGATGTGCGATAAACGGAACAGCGCTATCGTGGAATGACCACTAGCATCTCAGCGATGCTGCTTAACTGCCAGATCGGACCTCAGTTATTGATCTCTCCCCATTACTCGTTTCGCGTTGCCAGATAATACAAAATCGTCAGCAACTTAGCGGCCACACAAATGTGAACTGGGCCATCGAGTATTCAGTGATGTGAATTGATACTGTATCGCGCAGTTATTTCACTCAGATCGCGGCCCCCTGGGCTGAATTTCATTATCGAGTTCGGAATAATTTGGAATATTGGTAGCTCGGGAGGCTTGCTCAGTTGTTGTGGAGTTCTGCGCGCTGGGCATCTTGGTTGCAGACGTTTCGCCACCATTATCGAGTGTTCACAGCTCCATGAGGTGTGGTCCATAAATACAGTTGTCGGCCATTTCCGCGCATTCCACCTAACTATTGTCTCGTATACATGAACAGTAGTGATGTGGTAGTGTGGCCTATTGGCTGGCCTGGTTTACATGTTTTACAACGGAAAACTGAGTTGCGCGCTGTGGCTTCGTCTGGCGAATTGCCCCAGACTTTCCACTAACTATGTCCAAGCGCCACCGGGACCGGGGTGGGATAGCGCCACAACCTGTAAATAGTCGGCGTGCTACTGTTCGACACGAGTCGATGATACAGTAACCGTATCCGTCGTCTTATGTAGGGGATAAGAAGGGGACTAAATAGTTTACGATATTTTATACTGGAACGCTGCCTCGAGTAACCGGTTTCCTTTTTTGAACAGATTCCCAAATGCTTGGATGCATCAACGACATACTCATCTCCATGACGCAGAATGAGCAATGTTTGGACGCGGTCTCACTGGCAGTTAGCTCTCTGTTGGCTCTCGTCTATGGCAACCAAAAGGTAAGACCAATAGCTCATTATCTCTTCCTGCCGTCAGTGCTAGAAAAGTGCGCATAGTGATCAATAAACTGTTGATTACGAGCACAATGGCTTTTGTGCTCAGTTCACGTAATTACATGTAAGCACACTTGTTTGCAACACCGTTTTAGGGAAGCCAACTGTCCCGACACTAGCATCAAAATGGAAAACCCTTCCGGCCGAACACGCGTTGTTCAGCGCACCAGCGCGAGACCGATTCACGCTACCGCGTGACTACTCAACGTTTTGCTACAATCCACATCTTCACAATTATCTCAATATTATCCGAGCGTATATGATCGCGCTTCCTCACCGGTTCACTGCTAGAGTACCGACACGTAGGTGGTTTTGCTCGTCAAACGGATACAGTTCAGATGGTTTCGATCTAACCTACGAAGCTGCGCAGCGTTTTTTGTTTGATGAGATTCTGACACCATGTAGCAAAAATATTAGCTTGGACTGTGACGAGATCGTTACTTTCGGTGTTGGCGTGAGCAAGTTAGATAAATGTACCAGTTGAAAACATCACAGTGGGACTCAGTCTGATGTTCATCGCGCACTCGCGAAAGTAGTTAGTGGTTGTTTCATCTTATCTGGAACCATCAACGGTGCGCATATCATCGTCTGTCCCGTACAAGAGAGTGGTTAAAACCATTGGGCCACTGAGGACGGCAACGACTGATTTACGCCTTGTGATGTAGGGCGGTTGGCTCTCCACTGACTCGCACGTTACTACTGTGCAGAGTACAGGATAGTCAACCTGAGCAACGCTTTCTTAAGCTTAAGATTTCAAAGGACTTACAGTAATATGGGCACTCGGGCCAAAGTATTAATTAAAAGGGATGTACCATGGCTTACAACTCTGTGTAACAAATGTGTAACTTCTCCAGAAGTCAGATTATCATTCGAGTACTCACTTCGCGGAGCTGCATGCCCTGATTGACCATATGAACCGAACCAACAACCAGTGGTTAGCGTCTAATTTAAAGGCATAGGCCTGCAGCTTTTGATCACTGACTAGCGGCCTGACTCGCCAGTAATCATCGCCTATAGAAGGGGCACGAATCACACTAGATTGGATCAATGATCGATTTCCAAGACAAACGCCTGTTTATCACTATGAATTAGAAACCGAATGATATTTGGTTGAACGTGTTTCAGGCCAATTATGCACTTAAGCTCACAACACTCCACGCTTTTCTGGAGCACAACGCCGTCAGCTATGATGCTCTAGGACTTAAACATAGTGGGGGCTACTGCTGTATGTGCTTCCTAATCTTACTACGCTGTAAGTGCTATAGCCATTTTGTCCTGTTACATGCGGTATAAAGTGCTACTTCTGATTTGTGGCCATCTGTTGCAGTTTTCACATGTCATATCATCCATCCGAACCCCCTATGCACATCAGGTTCGTGTCCTAATTCGTTCTGCTGGCTGTCTCCACCTACTAACGAATATATGGTCGGCGTGTCAAAGACTTCCGGATTCCATGGATCTCGTCCCCAAAATACAAAAACTGATTGCGCAACTACAGAAGTAATCAAGGTGATGGAATATACTCATTCCAAGCCAAGCATTTATGGATCAGCCTCATTTTTGACCTTTGTCAGGGAACTCCCCACTATATACGGAAACAATAAAACCATACTTTGCTTCCTTGGTGTTTTCTGCGTAAGACATCCACCTATCGCGACAGTGAATAGTCGAGTGCTCAATGGACCACTAACCAGTTCAGAGTTTTGTCAGAAGCGATGCCCAACAAAATACATGGATCTAAACCAAAAAACCGGTTTTCAGAGTGACACGCTTTTCCCACAGTGGCACTGAAACGCGTGAGAAGCAAAGTGCCACTATCACCTGCAATGCTACCTTGTTGACCAGGGTGTGTTCGTGATGTGAGTACTCGTAGCCAGATGATCTGACAAACACACTCTGACCCCATGTTCATTGCTGCGAACACGCATGACCCAACATGGTTTTACGTTCGAAATAATACGGTGGCCGTAGTCATTGACGAATCGATGTGATGCCGTGAATCGAAAACCGACTATCAGACTGATTTGGCACGTATGACCCAGCATCGTCATCACCGAACACAAAGCACACGTTCACCGGTCGTACACAAAACAGGACGTGATCACAGTTGACGTGCTTCGGCTGGCGCGTAAATCGTAGCGCAGTTATGCGATGATTTCCAAGGTTAATATGCGAACAACTCACCGAGTCGCTTGGCGCATGCAACGGTCGATTTCCCGTGGGTACCGGCTAAACTACAGAGCACATCCGAGAAGAATAGGTAGTACAACGGCTAGATGAGGTATCCGCGTGCTTGACTGCAAGTAGGTTGGAGTAGATTTGATTTCCTGTCATAAGCGAGTTGGATATCGAACCTCTGCAAAGTGAACACCCCCTGATCATGAACGAATATTGCCCATAGGTCAAGGAGTCAACTATGAAGATATAACCTCGTATATCTGGGTGAATTCACGGTTACCCGTATGGGAACCTCCAGCAAGCAGTGATTGACATCACATCTAGACTTAGTCAGACTGGCGTTATACATTCGCAAAGGCACTGTACGGCCAACTAAGCACATAGTCTCTGGCCATTCAGCATATGTACTGTGCTGCTAAAGCGGTACTTTCAACAGAACCCGAAAGCTGCTGTTACCTTCAGTAAAGGAGGATGAACTTGTCAGCGCCAAAGCACATCGTGTTTACCAATTTGTGTAACTGTGGCGGAAGTTACATCGGCAAAACCGGCCGGGCTTTTGATTCCAGAGTGAAGGAGCACTTACCAAACTGGGTTTAACTCGAAGTATATCAGCCTCCCTCCGACCATACGTGCTCGCGTAAATCGCCAGTGTCATCCATAGGCAGGTACATTTTGGCAGCTCGTCACCGGATTAATCCTTTATCAGCGTTCCGGATTTTGTTGCGTCAGACAAATTCACGCCTTCTGTGATTTGTCGAGGCCGTCTCGATAAGCCGAATTAGACCAGCTTTGTATCCAAAAGCAACTAGTTATTAACCTGCGATTGGCGTGATCCTAATGCCAACAACAATGACCACAACCACTAACGTGACTGGCTTGATTGTGCCCTATGACGCCTATAAAAATATTTCCCGGTTATTGTATTGGTACTGAAGAGATATTACAAAATGCTAGCATCTGCCAAGGTTTGTCTTCTCATTGCGCTGTTCAGACTGCTGAAGGCAACTAAGTGTTTTAAATAAATGACGTGTCAAGGAAGTCCCGAGGCATGAGAAAAAGGAGCATCGGACAGCGAAGTTGGTTGTGGTTATGCATCGTACCCAAATCTAGCTAAGCCATGACACCGCTGTGAGGAAAACAGAGATGGATACACCGTAGAGTTTGTTTTGATTACAAAAGTTGGATGCATTTTCAGCTAAGAAGTAAAATGCAGCAGATTACTCTTTCCCAATCTGATCCGGCCCTTTTGCAAATGCCGACGAATACCAGATGTTTCTATAACGCCTTTTATACACGCTTGACCGAGCTTCCATTCTACCTGTCCCCACTATCACCAGTTAAGGTTGTCAATCGGTTCATTCACTTGAGTAATTATACCGCCTCGCAGTGAAGTTGCGGAAGAATTTACTGCACATCGGTGTGCTCCGTGGAAACGGAAAGTCATTGGATGGTTGGTCGAACATAAGGTGAGCAATCCTACTGCGCAAACCACGGAGATGGACACTGGCTACTGAAGACAATAGGACACTGATCGACATTGACTGTTGTTGCCTGAAACGTATCGTTCCGAACCGAACGAGAAACCATTAGATCCATTACTCAGGGCTTATCAAAGAACCTAGCGGCCTCGCTAACCGACTTTGCCAGTACGTATCAGGTCGTGTTTCTGAAATTGCTTGCATGAAGTCCTGGAATGAAAGAAAGAAAGCGCAAAGCAGCATGAAATGTCGCCTGCATTCGGTCCACTATGTACTTTGTGAGGAGCGACCCTAATTTGCTGTTCTCAGATTTTTCCGTCGTCATGTCCACGGTGTACTTTCTGCATTTATTTACAAATAATTTCTATTTTTAATCATCATGGCGACACAAAGCAACCGGACCCAGATCGAGGCTGCGTTGCTCATGGTTGTTAGCATTTCACTCCATGGGCGCAATGGTGCTATTAGGTAGTTTGCAACAAACCACTCAAGCGTTGAACCAGAAGTCTGGCAAAAGACATGCTGGCTGGACACAGTAAGAAGATGGGTCAAATATGTTAGGATCTTAACGAACCTTCGAGACTAGCTCGTTGATGCAGAAGTAAGAGCCCATAGTGCATAGTATGCTAACTAGCGGGTGGTGGATGCAAGCTAGAATCGCCCGCTCAGTGAGGACTACTGGAATCATGACGTCTAACATCCCCCCTCATCGCAAAACGAGAGAGTAGACAAGTCAGAATGGGAATTCAAATTGAGCGTCGTAGAGCCTCAACATGGTCGTTATGAAGTTCAGACACCCCAAAGTTGCAGCGATGCCTAAATTGTCTTGTTTCTGAAAACACTGAGTTTTCAACGTGAGACACAAACATAAGCCTCGGGAGTCCCGAATTCGTGATGTCCGGCTGGGTCCATTGATGAGAATAACCTGAGATGATAGCGAGTGCGATCGCACGCCCATTGATGTGAATCCGCGATTAAACAGTTATAAGACAGGGAAAGAGATCGGAAAAACAGACTCGATGACAAAGTTGGGAAAGACCATCGAAGAGACTAGTATGGTAAGATCCGACTTAATAAGATAGCACAGTAGGCGAAATCTGTGATTCTCATCGAGGTGATCATTTCCGGAAGATAAAGGAAGGAGGCGGCCCATCAAATGAGCGCACATTACTTGATGCAGATGCCCACGGGGACTGTGCTTGTGTTAGATAGCTATACGATCGGCCAGGAGAGTGATGGTGAGAATGCAACCAAATCCGATCATGAGGCCACAGCAGTGGGCAAAGAACAAAGGGATTATAGACGCGTTCTTTCGTTCCCGCTCCTCCTCAGCGGCCTGCATTTCGGGAAGCTGTTGCAAAAAAAGAAATTAGAAAAAAATCAAGGCACGAGGAGGATTCACAAGTGGTATCATTCAACTACCTAAAGAACGTGCGAAAAAGTCAATTAGAACGAGAACTCAACCGTAAACGGGGGGTTAGCTCGCGAGTGTGGACTAAATAGAGAAGCAAGAAGGCATCAACAGCACGCTGGTACGGGATACCAGCTGCCCCATTAGTCGCGTATTAGCTAGTGGTATTACGACAAGAATGGAATCTATGTAAGCTCGAAATGGAGACACGTGGATTACATAAGCCAGATGCTAGAACCTCACTCGGACACTTGCAGGCAGGTCTACAATGAGTTCGGTCATGGACATATCACGATGATCTAAGACTTGAAGGCGCCTCAGATCTTCTGACCGCAGGGGCCAAGTCTCACTACCATAGACCAGAACGGCCCTCACTGTGGCCTTGTATACACGGCCTTTCAGATGGAGGGAAACTCTCTTCTGTCGCCAAGGATGCCGCAGGTTCAAGAAGGCAGTTCTGGTCTTTGCAATGAGTGAATTGACTTCAGTTTCAATGCGCCCATCATTGCTGATGTAGTTGCCAAGGTAAGCGAATTGATCACCCACTACGAGTTCCTCGTTAGCAAGGGTCAAGAGGTCATAAAGTCACTGGCGGTCCTGCAGCAACTCTTTGCACTTTGGAGGTGCGAAGCGCATACCAAATAATGGGACCACTCTAGACAGGCTCTTCACGGTTAATTGTGCCGCCGCAACATCGTCGAAAAGCAAGATGATATCGTCTGCATAATCCAGATCAAATAATCTTTTACCAGACCTACATCGTGAGATTCCGCAAGGGATCACTCCATGATAGAATCCACGACGAAATTGAACGAAAATGGGGAAATCGGACAATCCTGAGGAACGCCACTTGTTATCGGAAAGCTATCCGATAGGTCACCTTAGATTCTGACGTGGCCTGTAATGTTCGAGCACATGGGATGTTCCCATATTTCGTGAGAAAACCTTACCGCGCAAGTATTCCGAACGGAATAGATCGGTCGACTGAATCAAACACACTCTTGAAATGGAGCAATACAGCTATTTTCGGTCTGCGGTATGCGCGGCGCTGCTCTAGCACATGCCGCAAAGTGAATATATGGTCTAAATAGCCATGTTCTGGGCGGAAACCAGCCTACTCTTCCCTAATCCGAGATTCCCGTTCCGCAGTAAGTTGACGAACGATAATCGAGGCCAATAATTTTGTCACAATTGGTGTTAGGCTAATACCCCTGTGGTTAAAACAGTCTGTGCGACTGCCCTTCTTGCATATTGCCACTATAATAGATTCGCTCCAGTTAGCCGGGACACCCTCGTTCTTCCAGATACGTTCGAATAGGGAGGTCAGTGCCCTGCAGAGGACCTCATCCCCATCCTTAAATAGTGCAGGTGGGGGGGGGGGGGAATCCGGGCCAGCGGCAAGAAAACGGTTGAGGGCTGTGATCGCGTTTCGGACCTCGGCCGCCCACGGAGGCTGTAATCTAACCGTCCATGGCTCGTCCTGCATCACCTGAGTAGGAAGAGGTCCGGGAGCAAGGGTCCAGCTGAACTGATCTTGAAAGTGTTCCGACCAACGAGCCATACAGCACTCCCTATGGTGTATCAGTGCACCCGCGCTATCTCTGATTGCCTCACTGACGCCAGGTTTCCTGGGACCAGTGGTGCGGATTAGGTGGAAGAGCTTGCGGTAATTGCCTACTGCTCCTGCCTCCTCCATTTCTTGAGCCCGACTGGTCCACCAGGTTTCCTTGTCAGCACGTAGGCTCCGCCTTAGTTCGCGCCTAATAGTCCGTTTGGTCACATTGTGCTCAGAGCCAGTCGGGAGGTTTCTTCTGCATTCCAACAGGTTCACCGACCTCTCGGATATCCAGTGACTGGTGCGGTGACGATTGATAGTGCCACAAGCAGATGCTCCTGCACCGCGCATGGCGGCCGAGATCCTATTCCAGTGAAGCTCAGTGTCATTTGGACAATGAAGCGAAAGTTCTGTACGCAGTGCAGCTTGATAGGCCTGTCTGACAGAGGGCTGAAACGATTTCTCAGTTGCCAATCCCGCTTGGTTCGCCTCCCGGTAAAGTTCATGGAGAAACGACAGCGTGCCAAGGTATGATCAGAGTAGACGCAGGTATACCAGTACGAGCGGCAATCCAGGATGGAACCACGCCATCTGTAACTTATAGCAATGTGGTCAATTTGGGTCCATCGCTTGCCAGCTATAGGACGTCAAGTGGCACATCGGTGCCTATTGTGTCTAAAAGCAATGCTACTAAGAAACAACTGGTTCTTCGCACACAGTTGTAGCAGACGCTCGCCGTTGTCCATCCGTGCGGAGTTAAGCACATAATTACCACCCAGCTGAGCTTCTGAAGAGCTCAGACGCCCTACTTGTGCGCTTATATTCCCTGCAAGTATTATGCTATCTTAACTAGTAATACTGCGTAGTAGCGCGTTCAGTTCGTCATAGAATGTGTCCTTGACAGCATTAGGACTGCAGTCGGTGGGAGCATAAGTGTAAATCACAAACAAACAGCATTTTGTATTACTTCGTGAATCAACTTTGGCTGATGTCATCAAACGTGCTACATATAAACGGCTGTTCACCGGAATCCAACCAACCAACGATGGCTCAGTCTTGGACCCGTGAGTGCTGCATTGGCGTCTCCGGATGCGTGCGACGAATAACGAGAGGATAAGCCGGAGGTAGTTAATTCAAAACCCCATTATGGTTATTTATCCTACTATACACATCAATACCCAGTGTGTCCAAGGTTCTTGTGAGTGCAGCCTGTTGATCTATTTGTCTTAGAGTGCGAATGTTGAACGCCGCCATGAAAACTGGACAGCGTGGCCTTATAAGGGGCTGTTGCCAATAGACGTCCGGTGGGTGTTGCGGAAAGGTGGTTGCAGATACTGTGACTCCAGTGGCTCTTCGGCTGATGGGAGTTATAGAAGCAGGGTTAGTGATGGGGGTCGGGTTGAGAGTAAGAGAAACAGGTGGAAGAAAGAAAGAAGGGGGCGCCAGCAGTAGCATATTTCTGCTTATCCGCGCTGCTGTATGCAGCAAATAAGGCAACCCTTGATAACCTGCGCGAAGGTCGGTGCAGGATGAAGTTTATGTTTGAAGAAAAAGTCATGGTTGTATGTGGGCTGAGATACTGCCAGGGCACCCAGACCTAGACAGAAGGGCGATTAGGGTCCTCAACCAAAGACGTTGGCTTAAAAGCCTGTCCGCAAGGCAGCGAGGAGGTGGCAATGGTTTAGTTTTACAGAAATGGACGCCATCCCATTTCGAACCCCCAACCTGGAGGACCAGGCCACACGAAGTCGGAAAGCATATTCCAGGAGGAACAGTACTGTTCGGGCAGGCCCTTTCGTCTGGCGCCATATTCTGTATCACTGAATCCCTTTGAGGGAATCCGGAGCATAATAAAAGCGTTTGTGAAGCAAGCCGTGAGGAGGCACTATTTTGAGATGCTTCAGGGAGATCCTGTGGCTGTATTTTGCAAGAGCGAGTGGAGAATGCGCTTCTAGGAGCGAATTGTACCTGAGGCACAAATTTGCGCTACGCCCCAGCACTGCCAACAAATGATCGATCATGTGCTCGTGCTATGCATTGCATGGATTTGTAAATCTTTTTTGTTAACATAAATGTATATGATATGGAAAGGTGTCATCACTTTTATGTATCCCTAGTTCATAGGTTCGACATTCAGACTAAATGTTGGGGCGCGCATTTTGCCTATTCTTCCGGTGTGGCGTTGCGAGACAACCATAGGATATCCTTATAGTTCAAAAGAGTGGGGACAGCAACTGCAGTGGTGAAAAAAACTGAATGTCTGTCAATAAGTGGTATGTCATTACACAGTGCGGAATGTAAACGATTGCCATGAAGACTGACAACGCGCCTGCAGTTCGTGCGGCAGGTAATCACGTTTGCGTTCAGTATGTGTGCAACATGCTTCCAGTCGCGTCCCCCTTCACAAATCTTAAGTAGTATATTTTTCACCTCCACCGAGCAGAGCACGATTCCACACAACTTGGTGTGCCCATGGAGTTAGCTTCACCGCTACGTTAGTCACCGTACCAGTGCAGTCGGTAGCAAGGCGAGCACGTGATCTCACGTTGCGAACAAAGTCCATGAGTATGGCTTATTCGAGTGCAACGTGTCATATGACGCACGCGATGCAGCTTCAAGCGTAACCGATGCAACCATTTGGGGGAACGATGCAAGGAATTGAGAAAAGGTGTAGTTCAGAGTGTCAAATACGATCCACCGCCAAAATGATAGTAATAGTAATAGCAACAACAATGATAGTTCAAGGGGAGCATGCAAAAAATATAACCGCTTTCTGGAGCAGTAAAGGGCTAGAAACGGGCGGAATGCAAGATTGCTAACAAAAGCCAGCCATAGTTAGCCGTTCCGTGAGCTTACTCATGCTATCGGCAAACAATACACGTCGAAACAGTCGGTTTTCGAGCGAGAGGAGCGCATGACCGAGTCGCTGAAGGTGATTCCAGTTGGACAGGCACTTCAAAGAGTATCTGGAGTCCGTTGCCCTACTCCAAATAACGAGCTGTAGTATTACGCATGCGGCTCTCCAATCAACTAATGGTGATACTTGTGAAGCATCTGTGACCTGACTCGGTCAGCCTTAAGCGCGCAGTGGCCAGGCAGTAGTAACACGCTGATACGCGGCACCGTCGTATCGTATGGTTAATGGTATTGTGAGATCGCCTGCACTCATGTAAGCTCGAACCGGTGACCTGTAAATTACAAGTCAGATGCCTTAACCAATCGGTCACTGACCGACAGGCACAAATCTTCTTCTTTGCAGCTGTCTCTATACGTGACTGAGACTTTCAAAGGCTCCATGAGCTTTGCCAGTGACGCGAAAGTATAAGCGTATATAGATAGTACGCTAAACCGGTTGATTACCACCAGCGACTCTTCCATGATTGTGAAATCTTTTATTTTCAATGTGCAAAGCGCATACGGAAGCGTTCGGCACTGTGCATTAAACTATACGGCAAAGCTGAACCCGATTCGGAGTCAGCCATGTCATCCGCATACTATGACTTTAATAGTCCGTCGCGCAATGAACACAGGAAGTCACAAAGTTGGAGATGAAGAGAGAGTCACGACAACCGTAACTTAATCCATTAGTCGTGTAAACTCGAAGTGGGGTTTGCTGTAGCCGTTTACATGATACAGAGAAACCTCCCAGGCGCGCTTTTCTCAGGTAGGCAATGCGATTGGATTCAGCGCTGCTAATTTGTGTTGGATCTCGTCGATGATGGGATTAGTTGCACTAAAATCCCAGGGGAATTACGATGATCCGGATAGCAATCATAGTGTAAGCTGAATTGCTTTTCAGTTGGTTTGACTGAGAGTCAACCAAGCAAGAGTAATATAGCAAATCTGCGGAGATCGATTACAAAATTGTAAATACCGAGATCCGTGGATCCGGATAACTGGAGACGTGAACTGAGTAAGCAGAATCACTGGAATCCGAGTCTGCTAGCTGCAAATACAGCGGAGCACTAACGTCCTGTGTGCGTGCTACGGTGGCACGTATCAACTCCGGAAGAGTGTAAAACTACAGTGTGTCGAATGCAGGTCGATTCGACATAGCGTGCGGTCATTGAAATACCAAAGTTGTTGTGGCGGTTTACATTCGTTATTGTGGCGTATTGAGCCAGTATTGCACTTTCTGTGGACATAAAAAGAGGATTAGCGAAAAGGAAAAGAAGCAGAATATGAGGAAGGATAGGTGGCGAAATGCTGATGGCAACGAAGTGCGCGTCTAACTCGAAAGCGCGACTGCAGAATCCCATTCGAACCAGCTCCAGATCTGTTATACGCGACTTAAGAAAAGTCAAAATAACTCGTATTTTTCGATGGTAGAGTGTCACGCACCTGCGATCCCGGCGAACCGAAGGTAGGAGTAGACGGGCTTGCATTGGTTTGAAGAGAGTAGCAGCAAACCACCGAGTAAGAGCGGAGCTTTCTCGCTGTCGGAGACAATTCATATCCGCTCGCGCTATATTGATGAAGCTAAATTTACAATCCCTAATATGTTGACCCTATGGCCATGTTTTGAAGCAGGAGGAACGTCGACTTCTCCGAGACCGAGTTCCTCAGACTGTCAACGATTAACCAGTCGCTTATAAGCATACCTGGAAAGTGCGACTGAGCGTAGTTCAGGATATCAGAAGTGTAAGCCTACCATCATCACGTTAATGTCTAGTCCTGTAGCGATAGCTAGGCTCCGTTCATAGTTTGCTAGCAGGGAGGTTTTTTGGTTAAATACGCATAATTATCCATAGGGCTTTGAGAAACCGGCCAGTGCTCATGAATTTGAGTCTGAGTTACGCAGCCAGTGATGGATCTGATTGCCAGGTTTAGGTGTTTCACTCGCTTTAGATTATTCTCTCTCTCATATTACTTATGCGACGCAGACCATATGACTGTATACATAGGTTAAGTACGCTTGTCTTGCACCCCGTTGTGTGAGCACATGTGTTGAGACATGGGAAGGAGCTATTGAGCCTTCTCGCTGGCTGACGTCTGACGATTCTCAACGAGTAAAATGTCAAAGCCGGCATGCCCAGCGCGAATGTTTGTAAGGCGCCCATCTGTCAGATGCCATAACCTAGATTACTGACTCTTCGCAACTGCTTCCCGTTGTGGAGTGAAATGGGTTGCACGGCCATTATGATAGTCTCTAAATTAGAGAAGTTCCATCGAATGAAGGGAGTAACGGCCTAGAAACCTCAAAGTACACACTTGGTAAGTATGCTCGGATCCACTTGCACAACAATGCTATGCGCATCGGAGGGGCAATGCTGATCGTGGATCAGTTTTGGGTCCCATCTGCCTGTATACCACAGTTTTACTGCTTTAGTTATAGTCTGGACATGGGATGTGTGTGTGTGTGTGTGAAACAAATGCGCCATTATTGGAAGCATAAAATCTCGTGGTATATAACAGTTGTGGAATCCCACCTCGCGAGCGGTATGTAGAGAAACGTTTGATCCTACTAAAATGAAAGTTAAAACATCTCATCCAATATTAGATGACAAGGCAATGAGAAAATAAACAGAACGAAAGCAAAATCCCATATTCAAAATGAAATGTCGAGAACAACAAATCAAGCTAGCCAAATCGCTGTTAATCGGTCAAAGTGGTTAGATACCATACTGATGGCGAAGCTAACTAGTCGAGGCGCATCAAGGAGAGATGATGCACATCGGGTCATAGGAAGCAAAGATCATATTGAGTTCCGCTATTTTCTGTAGACCTGTAGGAACAACAGTGTTACGAAGTGCGAATCGGAGAAAGAACGTAGATGCAAATGCTCTATGTTTGCCTCCGCCACATTAACAAAAACTTCGCCACTTCGTATGTCTGTCTGTGAATACACGATAGCACTCCAAATGGCAATCTAAATTCTGTACTAAAACACAGACCAGTGCGAGTGATATGACTCACCATGTCAGCGAGAGATATGTACAAAAAGAAGCCCGCTGTGACGCCAAAGATGTATGTGGACGCATCAGGCATTTCACCCAGTATGATACCCAAGAAGAAGCCCAGATAAGCCATCGAAGCGGAAACGAGGTTTAGTATAACGGCCAGGGAAACGGCCAATCCAGATCGAAGAAATATGGCGAAATCCCCTGCAGAGCGGTGAAAGAGGGAAGCGTTTCGAAGTGTTACAACGTCCGGTACAAAGTCACACAACAATGTGACGTTACAGACACGAGTAGAGGCGATGGATGCACAAAGAACACGAAGGTACAGTGCGAAGCTAAATGTCCCCAGAGGCCACAGGTGAAGTAACAATGCGGTATGGACATAGAACATGGCAAACACTACCTCGTCGTCACAGCCCGATTGGGTCACCTGCTCATGCAGAGCGGAGAGAACATCAAACGTCTACAGTGAAGTGGAAGCGTGATAGTGCCGAACCAGCAGTGTTAGTCCAACACTCGGAGGACAGAAGCTTCCACAACTGCACCGATAATGTTCCTTTCGCTAACTCTCGTCAGACAATTAAAGTGGAAATCTAGTTTGGAAAACTGGGGAGGCAAGTATAGGAAAAATCAGTACGCAGACTAATGTTTTATCAGAGCGCATCATTGGTCATTAGCTATGTGGCACGGTCAAAACACATGGGTGAGGGTGGGCAAATTAACCGTGAATGAAGCTAACAGCCTATCAAGATTAAGGTATAGTAGTGTCGCAGAAAGGTGTTTATTGTTAAGTCAAAATTGGATTGGTAGTTGTTTCAGCTGTTGTCAAAAAACATTGCTTGTACACATTAGTGTGCGTTTTGGGATGGTAAAAAGGACTTTGAGACAGCTAACTTGAATTTGGTGTTTTGTTTCAAGCACATGGAGAAGTGCACCTTATTGCGTTGCATCGTGCTAACGCACAGCGTTATTCAGCGATCGGTTCTGAGAAACCGTAACAACCGCGATGGCCGTAGACTCCGGTTACATGCACAGAGTAGTTCGAAATGGCCAGTGTGTTACAAGCACAGAGTGAACTATTCTCAAAGCGAGCAATTGTACTGAGAGGAATACGTGTGGGTTATTCAGCGAAGCGACACACAATCGCCACAGCGAAGACGCCGGTATGTGTGACAGGATGAGCGATGAGCTAAAACGATGCTATGCGAGCATACCGTACGGATTATGAAATCGAAACTGATCTGAGAAGTCTCATATTCCGGCACATGCAATTCACACCAAAAGTGTACCGATGAACTGATAACGGCTAAGTAATTTACGCTTCAATTAGAGCAAAATGAAGTAGAAACACAGGATCATCAGATCAAAGCGGTACGAGAATGGAGTATGTTTTGCAAAATTTCTATATCATCAATTATACACTAATCAGTATGTGATGAGCAATTTCTTGACACAATAACATCAACAATTACGATGCTCTATAATGGCAATGAGTTGTCCTTGCGTGTTCAGTAGCTTGACACAAGTCGATGAGCGACGAAACAATTGACTGCTTCTCCAACACTGATGTGCACACGCGTATTCCGTTCGAAATACGCAAAAATTTTCAAGTCTATCTGTGTTCCACACTGGCTTGAATCTGGATTTGCGATGTAGCAGGTTTCGTTAGTGCGACCTGACGAGTTCGACTGGATGTAAACACTGACGATCGATAGAGACGAGTTTGGTCGCTGACTGCCATTTGTAGTCATCTATGTATGTGGCTGGGGATGCCAGTGAATTCCTTGATGTGTAGTGGTGAACCACTTTAACAGCAATAAACTTACGCTCTCTTTGCTATACTTGTTTTTGGTGAATGAACAACACTAAATGCCACGTTTGTGGTGAGAGCACGTGGCGGCGAACAAACGTGGAGATTTCACAAACGTGCCTAAGATAAATACCGTCTCCGACGGACAGGTGTGGACTGAAGCTATGGCTTCGGCACTGTAAGCAACCAGAGTGGGAAGTACTCCGCGAACAAGCAGACTTTCGAAATCCAAACCGTAAATGCTCCCAGGAACTAAACGAGCCCTCGTCTTCATGGAAGGCGCTCGGGAATTTGTCTCCTTAAATGACGTAAAAAGAATTAGACTTTATAAGGAGTGGATTCCGTTTGTTCCTTGAAAATCCATAATGACGAGCAAATCTTCCTCTATTTGGACCTTAACGTGTTGCGACGGTTTGCCTACCTAGTCGAGCCGTTGAGCTGTTCTGGGTGGGGCCCTCAGGCGCCTTGAGAGCTAGTTCTACCACGTTGGACCAGACGAACTCACTCTAATAGTCCTCCAAGTTGGTGTTTTTAGTTGCATGGCGTCCATTTCTGTAAAACCAAATTATTGTTACTTCCTCTCTGTCTTGCGGACAGGCTTTGATTGAGGACCCTAATCGTTCTCTTCTCTAGGTCTGGACGCCCTGGCAGTGTCTCAGCCCAAGTTCAACCATGACTATTTCTTCAAACTTCAATCACATCCTACATCTGCCGTCGCGCAGTCTACCAAGCGTCGCCTTATTTGCTGCATACAGCAGGGCGGATCAGCGAGAACATGCTACTACTGGCGCCTACCTACTCTCCTTTCCACCTGTTTCTCTTATTCCCCCGCCTAACCCCCATTACTGGTTTTCCGTCTAATAATTGACTGCAGCCGCGATATCACTAGTGTTATACCATCCACAGCTATCATCCCGCATCACTAGGTGGACGCTTATCGGCAAAAATCCCTTATAGAGCCACACTGCCCCGTTTCCCTGGCGGCGTTCAACCTTCGCACTCTAAAACAAATAGGTCAACACGCTGCACCAAGGACACACTGGATATTGATGTGTATTGTATGTCCGAAACCAGGATCAATGACCCTCAGGGGGTATTGAACTAACTGCGCCCGACTTGTTCTCTCGCTATAAGTTGCACGCACCCGGAGATACTAATGTGACCATCACTGGTAAGGCTGACAAAGAAACCTGGTGGGCCAGTCGAGTTCAAGAAATGGAGGAAGCAGGAGCAGTGGGCAATTATCGAAAGTGCTTCCAGCTGATCCGCGCCACTTGTCCCAAGAAACCAGGCGTCAGTGATATAGCGAGGTTGTACTCATACATAATAAGGAGCGCCGTATGGATCGTTATGAAGACCATTTCCAAGAGCAGTTCAGTTGTCCCGCTGCTTCTGGACCTCTTCCTGCTCAGGTGTTGCAGGTTGAGACATGGACAGTTAGTTTAGAAACTCAGTCGGAGGTTGAAGCCCAAAACGCAATCACAGCCCCTAATCGTTTTCGTGCTGCTGGCCCGGATTGCTTCGTACCCGCACTATTTAAAGATGATGACAAGGTCCTCTGTAATGCACTAACCCTGTTCGCACAGGTAGAGACCATGGTACCTAATTGCGGAACGTAAATCCCGGATTAGGGAAGAGCAAGCAGGCTTCCGCCCACGACATGGCTGTATAGATCACGGCGTGTGCTAGAGCAGCGCCACACGCACAGTAGGCCGACAATAACTGTGTTCAACGATTTAAACCGTAAAAAATGAAATATGTCAGCTTATACGCCGTAACGGCGCTTCACTGCCGCGCGACCACCACCAGTCGCGCGCGGGCTGAGTATACCGCGAGGACGTCCACCCCTACGCGGATTCGAACCGGTGACCTTATGGTTGGAAAGCAAACGTGCCGACCACTCGGCCACCGGCCGTACGTTCGACTCAGTCGATCGATCCCCACTGCTTTAGATACTTGTGCAGAAAGGCGTTCTTATGAAATATGTAAACGTTTTACGTGATCTGTACTCAAACATGTGACGTCGCATCAGGATGTATCGTGACTTATCCGATAAATTCCTAACAACAATTGGCGTTTGTCAGAGCTGCCAAATTTCTCCATATCCGACCAGCTTCGTCGCGGAGTTCATAATGGAATCTCAAGATGCAGGCGCTGAAATGCTACCTGGTGAAAAGTTACTTGATTTTGATTATGTGGACGAGATTGAGTTGCCGTTTAAGTGTTGGCCATGTGCAATAAACTCAGAGTAGCCTCTTCATAGTAGGCATGTGCTACGCAATTTGAAAGTGCAGTGTTGTTACAGGACCACCGGCCATTTGATGTCCCACTGACCAGTGATAGCGAGGAACTCAAAGTAGTTGATCAGTTTACTTACCTTGGCAGCTGCATCAGCAATGATGGATGCATAACCACTGAAGTCAGTTTAAGCACTGCAAGACTTAGTACTGCCTTTCTGAATGTCACATCTGTGGTGACATCTATTGGTGAACAATTATTTACAAGTATCAAGATAATGAAGGTGACTAAAGTAAGCCTAACGTCCATGGGAGGAGCTATGATTCCACTCGCATCATATGTCAACAACCCACAAAGCTTAGTGAAGGTTTGGGTGCCTGTAGGTTAGCGACCCTAAATTACCGTGAATGCGCAGCCCGTTGTTATGCTACCAAGACCGGGACAAGTGCTCTATTGTGTACAGGGATAAAACATTCGGATATGTAGTCGGAGGGTAACGTCGTGACACATGTAACAAGCAAAGCAAACCTGCGACGAGGAGGCTTAACTTAGTTAACGTGCTTCTATTGTAGTACCATCATGTTGGCGAAGCCATTTCCACGTTACATCGCATTGTCTGAAATCAGTACATAGATTAACAAACAAAAGCTGGTCAAATAACACATGGCAACGAACTTTTTATTAATCAGCTTACCCAATTCGTGCGGTAGCTCTTCGCAAAGAATGGACAAAGTCAGACTGAGCCCGAGGCGCAAATCCGTGATGAATCCGGCACCAAGAGACAGACCATCCATGAAGTTGTGAACCCCGTCTCCGACGACGATCATCCACACAACTGGGTCCAGCGTGCCCATGCGAGCGCAAAGATTCGGAGTACATAACGTGAGCTTTTCTGTAGGACGGATGGGAGCTGCGCAATGTTCTTGATTCTGGACCGGTAAGCAGAGTAGCCGCGGGAGAAGTCATGAACTCAGGCGAGATAATGCATAAGAGCGAAAAGTTATGAACTATAGAAACCCGTTAGGATCGGTATTGTTTAACAGTACAAAAGAAACCGGAGGGCGTGTGAGATTCGTCTTCAACGGGGGGGGGCTAGCGCAAAAGTCATCCGGTCTCCAGTGTTTCCTTTCATAAACTGGCGACATGATGCGATAGTTGGAATGCCTAGGTGATCTAATTAGCCATGCTGCGCGGTGTTTTTTGCATCTTCAGAGTCACACATACTAGTTTAGTCAATGATAAGAGGCCAGAAAAATTCTGCCTCTTGGTCCTCCAGGTTAGGTTGGAGTGGTTGGGGTTGGAGTGAGGATGGCCTCTTACCGTATAAAATGGGCTCTCTGTCGTCCAGTGCCAAAACTCCGTTGCTTTGCGGTCAGGTAGTTGACTGAGAACCCGAATCGTCCTCCTGTCTAGGCCTGCGTTGACAGTATCCTGCCCACACAATACAATACGATGACTTTCTCTTCAAATGATTCCTTGATGTTCTGACCGTCACAGAGGATAATCAACAGTGGCCTATTTGCTGCATTGAACAGGGTGGATAGGGCTGAAGATGCTATTGCTCAGGCTTTCCGGTCCTTTTATCCCCACTGTTAAGCGCTTTACCCTTAGATCAGCACAATGGCTGAGGTGTTCCCACCTCTAACTAACGTGTAAAATGAATGAATGAATTCATTAACGAAAAGAAATTGGTGGGTACTGTTTTCACTCAAAGTCGGTTAGAAAAAGGATGACGAATCAAAAAGTACACAGTAACCTTTAACCTAATACCAGAGTGCACGCATCAATATATAGCAATTGAGATGCAAAACATAAACACTGTAAGATACCCCGGATCAGCTAGGATTACACAAGTAGATCATAGTTGTAAAGTTCAAAAAGAACTCTGATGTATCCTCAACCTGGATGGATTAGTTGAGGACACGGTATCTCCATTGTACAGTAATTCCTTTCACTCTCGATCACTGACATATCCTTGGCGTTTCAAGGTCATCCATAGTATTCTGTTACTGTGACACTGCCCAAATACTCGCACGCTGCCGCATGCTTTATAATTTCTGTCCTCTTGCACTACGATTGCAAAACCTATTCCTAAGTCATGTACTGTGTTTAATATGCCTTCAGAACCACGGTTACAGGATAATTCGTTTTATTCTTCTGCCCAGACCGTGCGTTGTGTATAGGTTTATTTGTTCGTAGTTTACAGTTTGGGTTTCGTACAACGTACTTATTTTAAGCTTCGTATCCTTGGTACAACAGTGCAGCAAAGTAGCCACCAGGCTGATTCCCAACTTACGAGGTATGCCATACGAAGACCGATGTAAGAAACTAGGGCTGTACACCCTAGCTTATCGTCGGCTGAGGGTTGACCTCATCAGGACGCACCGAATATTACATCTGAGTGATTACCCCATGTTGAGACAACTGCTTCATCTGCGCACACCAAGCTGCACGCGAGGACACCGGTAAAACTTATCGTACCACAGTTGAAGCTGGTCGCTCACCAACTCTGTTTCGAACGCAGTGGTGAATGTCTGGAACGACCTGCCGCAGCACATATTAGAGGCGAACTCAGTGTCCGAATTTAAGAAGCTCCTAGACAAACACTTTGCAGAGGCAAAATATAGAGAGCGGAACGATAAATAAGGAGTATATGTCCAAGAGCGACGAATGATGCAGCTACACAGAGAAAGCTCTACTCGCTGCTTCGAACCAGTATTCAGTATTCAGTCATGAGATCCCCGTGCTCAAGATAATAAGAAAAATGTGAGGGATCGAATTCCTGAATTTGGTGCAGCCACGGGAGGAAAACAACCACAGTGGAATGACAAAAAGGTGGAAATAAGCCTCAGATGAACATGAGCATTAACAATGGTGGAGCCAACAGTAAGAGATTGGTAGTGGAAACCATGATCCTCAAATAGGAAGACGTAACCAGCGAAGGTTTGCAAAGGCGCCTCGAGCTTTTGCTATACGGTTGGTGATCTCATCTTCAATCCCACGGGCGCTGGTACACCTTCTCGGGTAGTTGAATTTTTGAACGACTTCTAGCTGATCCCCACTAAGGGTTAGTGTAAGAGGCGGTCCAGGCCAATCATGGAGGAAACGACAGTCAGTGCTAATCTGTCCAGTGCAGCTTGGCATATATGTGGGCTATCACAGATTAGGGCAATGTCATTAGCATACTCAAAGTCAAGAAGTCGTTCATCTGCGAGCAGATCCACACCCTCAAAGTCGTGTCCTGTGGACACGATTTCCATGACTTCGTCAATAGCGAAGTTCAAGAGGAAAGGTGGCAGCTGGCATACCCGTCTCACAAAGCTGGATATTAAAGGGCGATGACAGCTGGCCGTAAGTCCTCACTCTGCCTGAGCAACGCGCGTGCAATGCTCGGAGAATATTTACATTTTTCTCAGGTACACCTTTCCTGAGTAGACAGTCACAAAGTGCACGTCTATCCACCGAATCGTATGCACCTTTGATGTCGAGGAACACGACAACAGTGGGCCGCCAATATATGTGACGGTGCTCCAACAACTGACGCTAAGTGTAGATGTGGTCAATACAGCCACGACCTCGACGAAATCCGGCTTGCTCTTCACGAATATGGCTTTCAAGAGTGTCAGTCAGTCCGTAATGGATGACAGAGGCAAGCAATTTGGAAACGTTGGAGATCAGACTGATTCCTGTACGGCTGCCGCATTCCGATCGTGAGCTTCACTTGAAAATTGGGACTACGACGGAGCAGGCCCAGTCGGTTAGGACAGATTCCTGCTCCCACAGTTTCACTAGAAACTCGTATAAATCATTCACAAGAGCAGGTCCTCCGAATTTAAAGAGGGCTGGTGGAATATCATCTGGTCGCGCGGCTTTATCTAACTTTAACAGTCCGATCTCACGTTCGACTTCTAAGCGAGAGGGTGAATACAAAGGGACAGCCCACGGAGCGGGGCGATCAGTGGCCGGCGAGAAATATAACAATTCCGAACGATTAAATTGCCTACCAAAGTGCTCAGCCCAACACTCCAAGCGTTTTGATAAACTGCGGATAGGCTGACCACTCTCGTCACAAATTGTTTCATTAACATCAGGTCTCCTGCTGCCCGTTTCCCGCATCAGCCGGAATAACTTACGATGGTTATCAAGGCCAGCGGCCATTTCCATCTCTGATGCACGATGAGACCACCAGGATTCGCGGTCCTTCTTCAAGATAGCACGGAGTTTGGCCCAGAGCTCTTTGCGAGTTCCATTGTGTTCGCTTCCAGCCGTCCCGATAAGTTCCAGAGACTGCGAAGAGACCCTATGTCCATTTTGACGATTAGACTTACCACAAGAGGATTTGTCTGCTGCTAGTAACGTCTGGTGAATAGGAGACCAGTGAGCGCTTACTCAACTCGCACGACAGCGTACGTTGATATGAATTCAGAACAGCTGGCTTCGCCAGTTGGTTGGTGTCAATACGCTCACAGCGTCGTCGTGGGCGTCCGCCAAAACGCATCCTCAGGCCAGCACATACAAGTGCATGATCGGTGTTCACACATGTGCTCCAAAAAGAGCGAGAGTTCTGGACGCAACCCTCCAATCGGTAGCTTATCGCAATGTGATCGATTTGCGTCCATAGCTGGTGGGTGCCAAAGCACGCTTCTGCGGGTGCTATGTCGAAAGTTTGTGCCTGAAGAAAGAGATGAGCATCTTCACACAGCTGTAGCAATCACTCACCGTTATCATTACGGGAGCCTAAACCATGTCGGCCACACAGATGCAGTTCATCACTGGGTAATTTTCCAACTTGTGCGTTCAGATTCCCAGCCAGCACAACAGTGTCCGAGCTCCTTCTGTGGCAAAGGAGCTGGGTCAGTTGGCGATAGAAGTCGTCTTTCACCGAATCATCGCTACAGATTGTGGGTGCATAGGCAGCAATGACGAATAAACATCTGTAAGTCCCGTGCGGCTTCGAAGCTTTGAACAAGCCAGCCAATCGGACCGCATACAACCGGCTATTGGTTGGAATCCAAACAACCAGAGCAGCTTCAGCTCGGGGACTCAGGGCAATACCAACACCGGCTTGGCCGGTACTCGAAGCTGCATCGTCACCGGATAGGCGCAATGAGAAAGCGCTGCTGGTGTCACCTGAAGGGGATCGCAAAGGGAGCACTGAGCTCGAGTCTTGCCGACGCGTCTCTAATAAAAAGCAGATATCGATCGAGAGGGTCTCTAAAGTTCGGGCCTGTTGACCGATCTGTAGCAATGTGTGTAGATTGAGGCATGCCAATCTGAAGGATGATCGAGGGCAACAAATGGAAGTCTGTGAACTGGGGTGGACCGCTTGCTTGGACATGGGCTTGTCGACAGGGCATGAATGACGCTAAGCGTTCACGTGAGTTGAAACTGAAAGGTAAAAAGCTATCAAAGCAAGGTGGGGGAAGGCCAAGAATTTGGGGGTTGAAAACAGGGGTCAGAAACGTGAAGCTGGAAAGGGAGGTTAGAGTGAAAACGCGTAAGAGGAGGAATAAGAAGATGTGTAGTCTTGAGCAGTAGCATCCAAAACCCTATCCACCCTGCTCGATGCAGCAGATAGGGCACCGTTGATTATCCATCAAGAAATTGTTTGACGAAAGATACATAGTATTGCATGGGCAGGATACTGTCAGGTTGCCCAGGCTTAGACAGGAGAACGATTAAAGTTCTCAACCAAAGCCTTTGGTTCATAAACTTGACCGCGCAAGGCAGCGGGTTTGGTGTTGGGCTAAAAGGAGTCCGTTTTAAGGAATAAGGAGCCACCCTCATTCCAACTCCCAACCTGGAGGACCAGGAGGCTGAGTTTGTCTGGCCTCTAACTATGGACCAACCTGATATGAGTGGCTCTGAAGGTGCAAAAAAGCACCACCCATCATAAGTCATTGGATCTCAAAAGCACACAAACCATCGC